AATAAGTATTGAAGATAATTAGTTTTGTGTCTTGCTCGCGTATGCAATGAAAACCCCAAGTGCTGTGCCCCACCAATATTCTATTATGCATGAAATAATAAGATCAATTAGAATAATTTATCTTATTATTTATATGACTATTATCCATTGCAGTTGTGGTAAAACTTATGATGACAAATATTTATTTAAACATCTAAATTCAAAACATCATCATAAATTTGTGGAATATAGATGGAATAAAGACGATACAATGAAAAAACTTTACAAGAAAAGAAAGACAGAAATGAAAAATAATTTATCTTATTATTTAATATGAAAAGGAGTTATACAGATTATATTAATATAATAGATGAAATGGAGAATATAGAACGGGTTGTCATAACTGATAATAGATGTAAAAAAATATGTTATTTTATTTTAGAATTAATTAAGTTTTTGATACAATATATTAAAAATATAAATATTAATATAAATGTCAAAAAAGAAAAACAAAAATAATAAGACAGGTTTAAGTGTTTCATCAACTGATGAAGAAATTGTTAAAGAAGCATCAGTCACTGAGTTTGCTTGTCCTATGTGTAAAAAGATGTTAGAACTTAGAAATGAATTAGAAATAAAAAATAAGGGTAATTGCAAATGCAGTTGTGTACCAATAGGGTTCAAAATATCTAAAAATGATAAGAAAATGAACATTGATAAAACTAAAGACGGCATCAACTTAGAAACAGATGCTCATAATATTTGCATCAAATTTGGAAATGAAGCTACAACGTCAGATAATGTTGATAACGAAACACAGGAAACTATTAAACAAATGATGAAAAATTAGTATTTAAAGACTAGAATTAACATAATTTAAACATTTAGTTTTAAAAGTAAAGTTGAATAATATAGTATATGGTTGAATTTTCAAGTTTAACACATTTACATTTTGGAGCACTTGAATTAGACAAGCAAATTGGAGACAATAATTATAATGGTGTTAGTTATTATACTTGTAAGTGTGGATGTAAAATAGTCTTAACTCGTACTCAAACTAAAAAATATAACTGTTTATTACTTAGTGTTGGTCTTAGCTATGAATATTTATATCTGGACAAAGCGTTAGTATGTGGACATACTCAAAAAGATTTAGATAACATTGTTAGAGTTATGGTAGAAGGCGAAGAATTTAAACATTTAAGAAACAGAGGCCTTCGAAATTAAAATATTTAGTTTTAAAACTTTAGTTTTATAATATAGTATATATGGAAGGTGTGGATAAACTATTTTTGAAAATTGATGAAATAATGGAACAAAATAAACGCATTTATCAACTGTTAGAAAGTATGAAGAAACCAGCTTACAATAATACTAATAATTACCAACCAAAAGAAGTTGATAGAGAGAGCACTGAATACAAGAATAAACGAAATGTATATATTAAAAAACTTAATGAAAAAGTTATTAAAGAACCTAAACAATCAAGTCTGGATTTCTACCAAGTCAAGTATATTGAAGATACCAAGAAATATGTTTAATCATTAACTAACAAAATTTCGTGTCTCAGAAGTGGTTTGTTTATTCCTGCTACTCTGTAAGTTTTATTGCCCATAATATCATATTCAATTTTATCAACATTGAATATCTTATTAGACCATTTAGAGTTATACTCTTTTCTGTCGGTGTAATTGCCCCTTTTCTTTTGAAACACTTTTATCTTATCGTTCTCCTGTATTCTGGGATACTTTCTTTTGTTCTTTTCTCGTAGTTTCAGATTGACCTTTACATTTATTTCATTGTCGTCCTTGTGTGCTTCGGTTGGTGTCATCCTTGTTGACGAGTGTAATGTACTGTTATACTGTTTCAATGCTGGTGTTAAGGCATCGGTCCATTTCATATTATTAAACCTAACTCTATCGTGAATTTTGTTTTTCATCGTCCTAATAAAACGTTCGGCTACATTTGCGTGTGTCTTCGTTATTATGTGTTTGATACCTTCGCTGCTGAAGAAATCCTGAACTTGGTTTTTGGTTGCAAATGCTCCATCATCATCAGAATACACAGACATCGGATAACCCATCTTTTTAAAACTTGCTCTTAGTGCTTTTAGAACGTGCTCTCCGTCTCTTTCCTCCATCGGAATTGCATCTGCTAATTTACTGAAGATGTCAATCACGACTAAAGCATACTGAGGAACATTCTTGTCTTTAGCTAAAGGTGACATATGCATTATGTCTATTTGATATTCATATCGTGCGAAGGGAGCGGTATAGGAATTTGTGCCTCTATAATTTTTGATTTGTTTATTTGGTTGTTTCTTTAAGAAAGACTTTACATCTTCTAATGTTATCGTTGGGTCTTCTTCCTTTGCCTTCTTGTGTGTTGCTTGTGTGCTTCCGAAACCCTCGTCTAAGTCATAATAGATGTTGCTGATTATTTGGTCTTTTGTTAACCTCGCCATTATATTAAATTGTTAGAAAATATGTTTTCAATATAAACCCCCACCCCTTAACATAAAATAAAAACTACTTAAAGAAAAATGGATATAATATAGTAAGAGAAAAAATGACACTGTTTAATTATGATAATTGTCCTTGTAAAAATAAAAAATGTAAGTCTGTCGTAGCACTAGCTAATATTTTACCTGTTAATGTTTGTAATCTTATAGGTGGCTGTATTAGAGTAACATGTTTTGATTGCTGGTATTTGATGCATGAAGAAGAACATTTTATGAGAGATAAAGACATTCCTGAAGAAGGACTGGAAAAAGCAGAACTTCAATTACAAGTTATTAAACTAATGCAAAATAATGTGTTTACTCTACTAGCAGAAAACCAATATAGTATGAAAATAAGACATTACAGAAAACACATTGACCGAGTATTTGATATACAAGAAGTTAAAGAACGGTTTAAAAATAGAAAAATGTATTATCAAGCATTAAAATCATACTGTAAGAATAATGAATATGAAGTTTGTATCATTTTTAAAAAATGTATTGACATTGAAGATTTAAAAAATTTTAAACGTTGTGGATTTAGCTTTCCAAACCTAAACAGTTGTTGGTCATATAGAAATAACAATTATTATATGAGATATATTCTTAGCGAATTAATTGACATTTACATAGACCAATTAATAAAAGGATACGGGCATTATTGTTGTGAGTATAGTATGAGTTGTTATATTGGTTGTATCGCTGGTGAGATTGAATACGGGTCAAATTAACTTTTGTTTATTAATATTATCATCTTATAATATGATTAAACATTGTTTTTATAATCTAACAAGAAGGTTAAGACAATTAAATTAAACCTGAAACCCAGACTGGCCAACCAGCAACCCCTAGCCAAAACTACTTAAAGAGAAAAAGCCTTATATATTAAGAGAAAAATGAGTGAGGGTAAAATGTCAGAGAATAATTTTATATTTGAGAATTGTGCTAGCTTACCTGCTGATGTATTAAAAGGTATCATTGCATATAAATTAGGGCGACCTGAGTATTTGAAACTAAAACATAATCATATTAAGACATTAAAGAGAATACAACAACGATATAAAATAGACAGAACAGAAACAAAAAGAAAGACAAAGCGCTATACTGTTGAAGATGGCGATGATTTCAAGAGACACATAATTGAGTATTACATTTCAAGAAATATACCTTTAAGCATTGAAAGCATCGAAGATATAGTTTTTAATGAAAATGAAAACTTAGATTGTTTGTTAGATGGCATTGAAACCGATAACGGTTATGAAGCAGTGATAATAGTTGAGGTAAATATGTTTGTAAGGTTTCATCATTTCAATTATGAAGACGACCATTTTAACACTTTTAGTTTTTATTTTCGTAGTGATGATTTTGTAGATAATATAACCATAGATAATATATCCGAAGTAATGATGGAGGCACATCAAACAATATACAGATGTATTGATGATGAAAGAAGTAGAATGAATTTTGGAGGAGTACAAAACATAAGGTTTAAGCTAATTGTTGATGAACCTGTATAATTCAAAACTAAACCATAATTATATCATTTATATTCTTATATGTTATAATTATAGTGAACTTTTAATCTATAAACATTTCATTAAATGACAAACCAGAAGAACCGCCCAAAAGCCAACCCGTGAAACCACAGAAAGTCCTATCCTCTTTCAATCAATAAAACTAAAAGTTGAAATCTGGAACGAGACAGGGGACCAAATCATCAATTCGTTACCACATCCATATCGTTATTTCATGCCCCCAAAATCAGCCTTGAAAAAACGAATAAGGTGGTACACGTGTTGAAATGTGAAATAAAAAACAGAACAGGCAACCATCAACCCCCCACCCCCTAGAATCAGCCTTTTATACATTTTTTCCCCCCCCCCCCCCCGGTTTCCGGGCCTTGCAGGTGATCCGGTTTCGGGATAGGTCCAGGTGTTGCAAAGGCAGGCCCTGGACCGCCTGAGGAACACACAGCTCAGCGAAGCTGGACGAAGCGCTCGATACGGAAAATCCAGGTTTCAGGACCCCCCCTCCGACCCATGGTCTTGGTACCCCTGAGTGATATTGGGTGGGTTGGTGGAGTATAGTGTTTGCCGGAGATCCCACATATGTGTGCTTGCTTATCTCTGGCATGGGTGGCTTCTCTTTGCTTTCCCTGCAAAACTGAACCACCGAAAAGGCATCATTACCTCCCCACTAGGAGGGTATAAGCTTTCAGTGGCTGGACCCGTTGGTGGACAACATGCTACATCATGCAAACAAACACACATGGCTGGATCTTTTCAGCTTTGCCCGTTAAAACACTTGCTTAAAACAACACATATCTGCATCCCAAGAAACAGATTCAACACGGAGGTGCTGTGAAAAGGTGGACGCCTCGAAAATCTTAGCTTAGTTGTTCTCCCCGCCCAGTCGTTGACATGTTGTAGATGCTGACCCGATGCACTTTGCGCGCACCGCGCGCCCTTAATCAAACTTCACGCACACACCAACGAACATGGAACCCAGCAAACGCTCTTCTTCAAAAGCAAATTGTCCAACAGCCCGGGTCAGGGTCCATGGAGGCTCCTTCCCGGAATGCAGCATTGGAGACTTCGGCACCCTGTGCCTTGACCAACTGCAGCGCCACCTCCCCATACATACCTCGAGAGCACAGGAGGCTGGCGGGGTTCGGGGAGGTTCTGGAGCTGCAAATAGCAATGCAAAGAGACGGCTACTGAAACGCCCTGAATTATGCGTGCGTAAATGTGTATGATAGATAGATATACATATATGTATATATATATATATTATAGATATGTATGGTTTTCCGCGTTCGTGCCTGCATCTGTGTCTGTGACTGTGCGAGCGTGCTGCGTCTCTCCGTAACTCCGTGTGCAGGCCGCAGGCTTGTCTGCAGCAAACATCACTTCTAGCTGGCCAACAGAAGAGCTGTGGACGAATGCGAACGCAGGCAAACGTGACGTCTGAATCAGGCAGAAGATGTGTGTCAAAGGAAGTTTGAGTGGAGCTAGGCAAAACGGCCACGAATGGGATTACGTGGATCGTCCCCACGTAGCATAGGTACGTGATGCTATCCATGGCCAGGGAGGGGTGGGATGGGCTTCTCAGTGTCCACTCAAATGTTTGAATATGATGTCCTTACCGCCATGCACAATAAGGCCCTAAGAAACTGCAAAAACACGTTCCGCCTATAAAAACCATGGTTTCAACCTCCACAAGCCCATCCTCAGTCTCATTCGGCCCTTCGAACTTCTGCCCCCCCCCCCCCCCCAATGGGGCCGGTCTTCTGCCACTTTGCGCCAACCGGATTCCCGCTAGCTGAGCAAGGGGAAGCACATCCCATCATCCCCCCGCTATAGGTGGGAGGGGGGCGGGGGGCCCCCAATTCCATTTATCTAGTCTTCACAATCAAAGGGAAAATGGAACCAGCAATGGATTTCCAGGGGCCCCCCTCCCCCAATTGCATTTTTAAGGGGGATATCCCATCAGACTCCCCTTGGCAAAACGTGACTCCGACTCCGAGGATCCCGCCGTTGTGGGTGAGCCGCAGGTCCTTCAGCAGGCCTTGGCCTTGGAGCATGGACAGGAAGCTCACCTTGCCCTCGCCCAGATCCACCTGCGAGCGGTCCACTGGATGCGGAAACCAACACCAGGTAAGTAGGTCATGTGGTTGTAGCTGGGGCAACTGAGCCCCCCGTATAACCATGAGTTGCCCGCCCCGCATTTATTGAAGAAAAAAAAGAGAGAACACTGGGGCAGCTGGGCCCCCCGTATAACCATGAGCTGCCTGCACCATTATTATATTGTCTAAAAACAAAACAAAAACGAGAACACTTGGGTGTACAACCGGCTGTACTTACCAAGTTGGTTGAGCATCCAAGTAGGCAAGGCCCGGCCTGGAGCTTTAAGCACAAATGTGGCGACCGACCCTGTGACAAAGGAATTCACTCCGGGGGTTATAAGTAGGAGGTCTGGGACACAGTGTCAATTGCGCGTCTCCCTGTGGTTTCAATGTGGGGCACTGAACAGCTTTGGGCTGCTTACAACGGACTAAGTCGACTAAGTGAGGCGGACCCAACAGTGATGTTCGAAGTCAGATTAGGCAACATTCAAAGCTGGACTCTGCGATCCACATGAAAGCAACCATCATTGGCAACGCGTGGGGTGTAGTCTTGGCGCGTTCTCTTAAATTAATGCACTCCAAAAAGGAAACAGGGCCCCGTTTGATTTGAGACAGCTTTCTACACAACTGACAAATGAGCGTAATGAGCGCGTCTTTGTTGGAGAGTGGGACGTTGGGCTTTCTACAAAGCAGTTGTTTCAATGATGCTAGCATGTAAACTTGGTCCTGGATCATCTAGCTAGTCTGCGTCAACATCACCTCCTATCAATCCTGATTTGAATTATTTGGCAGCTCCCTTGAACAATACTGCATCCAGAATCTTCTGAGTGCTATGCTTCAACACTACTGTAAACGGGATTCAATTTGGCTTTGACCAGAACTCCTCTGTTTCAAAATAGATTTCTACGGTGGTGTCCTTTCTGAGGATGACCTGCTCAATCTTTTCATAGAGCTTAACAGGATAGAAGTCTAGCAGAACTAGTTTTAACTAGAATTATGACGTCCTGGCTTAAACGTGTTTCAACTAGGTTGTGAACAGAATTTGTCGTTCAAATGGTATGTTAAGGTGGTGTCCTTTCCTCGGAAGGCTTGTTCATTCTTTAGATATGATTAAAACAAAATTTATATAATTCCAGTATAATTTTATTTCAAACTGGAATCTAGAGAGCATGTCCTTTTTGAAGATGATCTCAATCAGATGATAATTGGAACTCTTATTCCGAAACATGTTTCACAGGTGATACCTTTTCCCAGCAGGAGTTGTTCATGTTTGCTTCATAAGAATTAAGTAGAAATTCATAAGGACCAAATTCTGGTAGAATGGATGACTGTTATTGGAATTAAACTAGGGTCTTGTTAATCAAGATTCCAAACAAATATCAAATAGCTGTTGTTACATCAAAATCAAAATTGAACGGTGTTTTATTTTGCTATCCAAACTAATTATGGAATTTAATAAGAACAGAGTTCTAGTAGACATTCCAGGTTAAATGCGGTGTCTTTTTTGAAAAGGACTTCAATTAGGTGTTCGCAGGACATCAAAGTTCAAATTAAAAATTAACAGATATGTCCTTTCCCATGATTTTATGCAAGATTCAAAATAGGAACTACAAGCACAGAATCCTGATAGACTGTTTAGTTTCAACTATAATTTAGTTGGCGTTCCTAAACAAAAAAACAGGAGCTCAGCTAGAGTTTATATGAAATCAAAATTGGACAGCAGAGTCTACTGGATTGTTTTTGATTGGGGGACTGGGCTTGCCAGGATAGCTTTTTTGGGACAGTCTCAAATCTTGCGAGCCTGCCCCCAACAAAGTGTGGAATTGTCCCAGCAAAAACAATTCTGCAAAGCCCAGAGAAACAAAAACGAGAACACTAAGAAACTGTTAAATAAAAAAAAGTGCTTATAGAAAACCCAACCTTTCAGGAAGTGCCTTTCTGCTTTTTTGGGGGTACCCCATTTTGGTTGGTTGAAAACCACATTTTTTGCTTGGGAGGGGGGGCAAATGGTACCACTGCACGGGTCTGAGGTTAAATGACACTGGCCTCTTGCTGGATCTCCTTGCGCTGCAGCGGTAGGAAGCCTCGCGCCGCAAACAGCTTGTTCGGTTCGAAGAGGTCCGAAAAAAAATATCCACACAACTCATGCAGGCAATATATACCAACATTTCACCCAGTTGGAGGGTAAATGCGAGTAAATCTTGCATACATACTTCGGGTCTGGCCCTAAACCCGGACGAGAGGCGTTCCTGACAAAAGCTTTTCCTAAAGAACCGGCAATCACAAAACCTCAAAGGCAACTTGAAACCGGCCTTCCCCAGGGCTCCGGCCTTCCCCAAGACCAATGTTTGAAACCCAAAGGGGTGGGTTGGTTTTAACGTTACCCGGCCACCCGAAGGCTTCGCCATACTTGGCTGTTAATTTGAGTATCGGGAATCACCTGAAAAGTGGCTGGACATAAATCTCCACCCAGTTTTGATGTCCACCATTTCGGGTCCCTAGTTGAACAATTCACACCATTGGTCCGTGAAAATCTGGGGCTTCATCTTTCCAAGTTGCTCAACTCCAGGCGCCGCAGATGTAGACCCGCCAAGCCCCGCAAGAGGCTCGCCCGCGCCGAAGCGCTGGGCCTGACAACGGGAGAGCCTGGACCGTGACCAAAAAAGGCTTAGAATCTGCTTCCCCATTGGTGGTCAGTGGTTTGGAGCCGGTGGTTTGGTTTGGCAGCTGGTTTGAAAGGGAAACCTCAACACTAAGGAACAAAGGTGCGCAAACCACCGGCAGGAAGTGCGTGGCCACTTGCTAAGGTAGTCAAGGAACTGATCAACAACCTACTGAAAGTACTCTCAACTGGGTCAAAATGGGTGTGTGGGTCGGGTGTGCGATGGGTTCTGAAAGCAGGATGATAAATATGTACTGTGGATGGACGAAACCCTGCACCGGTTGAAACCATGGAAGACCACTGCTTGCTGGTAGATTTACAGGAGAATCGAATCATTCCATATTTTTGTAAGGTGCTGCGAAATGCATGTTGCAACCATCCACAGTATGACCCTCTGAATGCCGTCTCCGGAAAAAAAACCCAAAAGTGGTCTGAGTCTGAATTCCCCACAAGCAAAAAAAAGAAGAAAAGGGAAGAACACCACCCTATCAATAAGCCAGGGCTTCTGCTTCAGATCCCATCTCTTTTCACCAAACCCAAGCCTTCGCACCTTGATTCGACAGCCCCACGGCCCGACGGCCCGACGTCCCGGCCTTAGGGGCCTCGCATTGGAGCCATAGGACGCCAGCCGCAAAGACAGCTCCTCGGAGCGCCCCGAAGGCACAGAGCCCAGCAAAAGGCGCCGATGAGAAGAAGAGGTTTGGGGCTACCCCCACCAGGGCCAACGGGAAGAAGAAGAAGAAGTTTGGGGTATGTACTCTAGGTATAACCCCATGAAAAAGGCACTCATTTTTTTCGGCTGCAAGTTGGCCCTTAGATGGTTGGTTGGTATAGGGAAAGTATATGGAAAACCGTTGCGCAATTTGGGGGGTCCCTAAAAACAGCCAGACCCAGATCTCTGTCTCGCATTTTTCCGGGAAGTAGAGGCACGGAGACATGGATTGCAGATACCAATCCAGGGAGTGTTCCGCGTGCCTTTCAATTGCGGCTTTCTGGTTTCCGGGGTGTCTGGAAATCAGCCCCAGGGTTCTTTCAAAAAACCATGGAGGGGGACAACAAGCGGTTAAGTATAAACGAACACTATGCGTGTCTATAGCACGAAGCCTGTCTTCAATATGGTTTGGTGCACAAGGGCCCCTTTCCAAAGAGTCTTCTGCACTTCTATATTGCGAGGACCCTCCGCTATTGCTAGCACAACGGAAGATGCTTTTGCGTGTGTTGCTCTAACGGACAAACGATGCACTGCCGCGCTTCTCTCGCCAAAGTCATGGGAAACAAAGCAACTTCTTGGACCCACTTTCCAATTGTCTTCCTATATAAGACTCCTTAAAAAGTGTAGAATCCTAGTATACATCAAAACCCCAATCCTTTTTGGGGAGCTCCTTCGAGGTGCTTTGCACTTTGAATTTGGAGTACCCTTTCTCAAGCAAACATCGCACCCATAGCACCTGGATGGTACCTGGAAGATCAGTTTCCTCTCAAACAGACCGGACCCCCAAATTTCGACGTGATACTGTGGATGGACGAAATCCTGCCCCACCTAAAACCCGGAAATGAAGCTTACCCTATAAACACCAACCAACAAAATGGTTTGCTATGGTTTCTTAGGTGGTGCGACATGGATTTCGCAGCCACCCACAGCGGAGGGAGGCTACTCCTCCAATGGCAGTGGCTCAGACTTTGAGGCTAGGAAGCTCCCCAGGCTGCTGAGGAGTTGGTCCAGCATCCTGCGGAGCGATTTGGGGCCAACGCGCCAGCCACCTGCTACCTTTGTAAAGATCAGCATGGGGTGGGGGCCTGTAGCAGTGTGCAAAACAAATAGGCCTTTCTGTTCTGACCCCCGAAAAAGGCACACTTGTCATATGTTTGAGATTTTGGGGGATCCCCAAGGGGGACAGCCCCCCTTTTCATTTCAGCCGGGGGCTTGTTTCGCGGGTTCACACCTGACAAAAAAGGAGTTCGCGACGTGTCCCAAAGCAGCGGCGCTGGGAAAAAACAATTGCCCCCCTGTTTGTTGGCAAAATTTGGCAAATGTCTTACCCTTCCTCCCACGTTGCCACGCCCGTGGGAGGGCACGAGTTAGAAGATCAGCTACTTTGAGGGACCCCTGTGAGGTGCCATGTTGGCGGGAGAGAGGGTATATGGAAACCAGGTCAGAAGAAAAAAGAAGCAAAGGAAAAGCAGGTACTGGGGGTCTGGGCGTTGAAAGGTGACATCTAAGCAACCAGAAGGGGACATGCAAGGACCACTGCAGAACCTCCTCTTGAAAGGGAACCACGGGTGGCAGTGTCTCCGGCTCATAGGATGCTTGCCAACAGGCCAAATTTCATCCAATTGGGATACTCCGCTGCGCCGCTACAGATTAACATGGAACCCAAAAGGCACAATTTGTAGAGGAAACTGAGTGTGGGGCACCTCCCGTTTGGGATCCATGTTGCTTAGTATTTTCCCTGAATATCACGGTTTTTTCCCATACCTCTCTGCGGAAGGGTTTTGCTCGTGTTCAATGTGGTGCAGGTGGCAAGTTGCAAACCCACAAGGCCCAATGGCGCGCAGGGTTGGGGCCTGTGTAGCCGAGCTCAAGAAATATCGAGGCCTCGTGAGCTTTTGCTTGTCATGGCCAATTTCCTTTGCCAATCGAGGAAACAAAAACCAGGACTCCGAGAAAACGACTGATTCGGTTTCTTGGCGCCCCCGTTCTTCATTGTTCACTTCAAGCCGACACATGCCAAGAGGATCCGCAATGTCCCTTAACCCAACCAAGAAATGGGCAAGTTCATGTAATTCACCTGGAGCAAAGTTGCGCGCATACCAATGGTTGACACTTTGCAAGCGACAGCCGAAAGGCGCCGAGGGTCCAAAGTCCCCCTTACAAGCATTCGCCTCCCAACCCTGACTAAGGAGGTACGGAGGTACCCGTGCTATGGCAAAGATGCTTAGACCCGTTTCCAGCATTGAATTCTAAGTAGCTGGAGCAAAGCGAATAGCCGAGCCAAGCGCCAAGAGCGCCTCTCTGGAATTCGGCCACTCTCCTGGGCAAGTGGGAATCTCCGCAAAAAGTCAGCGTGCTGGCAAGGGAAACTGAAGAAATGAAAACCCAAAAGGCGAAAAGAAAGAACAAGATACACTAAGTTCGGCAATCCTTTTCCAGCAGCCGCCCCTTCAGAGACAAGCCCCAAAAGGGAAGAAAGGCAGGCAGCAATTTTCCGCCAGCGAGTTCCTTCTCCATGTGTCTTGCCATTTGGTTCTTGCTCGTTCACCTGGCAGACTCGAACATGGAAACCGGGCAGAGGAAAACGGTCTTACGGGACCACATCAGGCTCCGTGAGAAAAACACAAATCCAGTCCAGTCACATAAAAAAAGAGCTAGATCATCTTGGATCCCAATCCAGTTCAGCTCAAAACAAGGACCTTGGGGGCCTTTTGGGGGCTCGCTTTGTATTTTTCGTGGGGGCCGCCCAAACGAAATGAAACAAATTGGGGGGGTTTCCACAACCAGTCCTCCAGCACATCCAGGCGCAGACTCCGAAGCCGATCCAGGCTCAAGGGCCGCCTTCACTCCGCCCCGCGCGCGCGCGAGAGGTGCGAGCCTTCGTCCCCAGGGTTGGACTTTTGGGAAGCTCCCTGAAAGAGGAGGGAAGAACAAAGGTTTTGGAGTCTCGGCCAATGGCGTCATTGCGTGCGAAATGGATTTGTCATGGCCAATATTGTTTAGCTCACTCCCGCAGAGCTACAAGGAGATCACCTTTTGGGGCCACACAAAAATGGGTGCCAAGGGAAACCCGATGATTTCAGTCGATTGGATGCTCTGGGCTATTGAGATTGTTTAGCTCACTGACTTTGCCAGAGCAACGCCTGGAAGAGTACCCAGGTTGTTTCAACTCTAGCTTGTAAATGGTTTCCCCACGGCATTGAGCGAGTTCCGCTAGTTGTAGAGGCTTTTGGTACCTCACTTGCCCCAAGCGGACTTGGAAATGATAGGTTAACCTTGCGCACCCCCAACCCCAGCCCCACCCCAGGCCCCATCCCACATCCAAACATGCACCGGCAGATCGCCTCAAATTTGTGTCATCCCTGCCTTGAGCTTCATGGCAAGCAAGGGGGTTCCAACTCAAAGCGTGGGCTTTCCAACTCAAAGCTTGCCGTTAAAACACCACCAGGAAAAAGTATCCTGAACCCACGCCATTCCCTACGGAAGCCCCAAACAATTAAGATGGTGGGGTGATTTTTGGGTAGCTTGAGCGCCAGGCCCCAACCAACCTTAAAGATGAGCCATGTCTCTGGTCGAAACCCGGACCCCTGGACTCGGGTCCCCAGAAAGGCCTGTCAGTGTTTAGCGCCAGCAACGCCACCTGGGAGGCACCTGGGAGACTTTTTTCATGCGACCAGGGAAACCAACCCAGGCTCCAAACAGCGAAGTTTAAGGATGGAAGTTTGGACATGGGCAAAAAACCGATTGGGGGGGGGGGGAGAGTGCTGGAAGATGGGGAAGGTGGCTCCATCGTACGCTACAACTTGGCTGCTGTGGAGAGGCTATTTCCCTAGATTCGTCCCCCTGCACGATCCAAAAAGAGCTTCTCAAATTGTGAAAACAATCATTCAGTCAGATTCTATCCAGCAAGGACCTCTCCTTGGTTTCTGCAACGACCCCTCTGCAACAAGTTTTCAAGTTTTTGTCGGCTCCAATTTGGAAAATCCGAGCTGCTTGAGCCCAACAGATAAAGCTCAAAGATCCAACCAAATAGCCATAAAGCGTTGGGTGCCTGTTTAAAGGGAAAACGAGGAAAACCGAAAGAACCAACACCCACTTTCTTTAAATTTTGGGGAAAAGAGGAAAGCTCTTTCAGAAACAATACCCACTTTTTCGGGGGGCCGGTCCGATTCCTCAAAAGGAGGCACAACTCAAATCTTCCGAGCCATGTTGGTCAACCACTCCCGCGTCCGTATCATTCAACACCTTGGACCTGAAAGACAGGTTCTGAATGTTCGATGCTGATTTATGATTGCACAAAGTGCTCTTGGCAGGACGCAGCTACGAGTGTGACGGGCTGAATAAAACGAATCGGGTGGTACGATCAAACCAATGATCATGGGGAGCATGGGGGACGATCCCACCCTTCTCGGGGAAGGGTGTGGGGAATGTGCGGGTCCCTCCATTTTTAGGGGGTGGGGATCGAAGAAGGCTCCCTCCATTCAACAGCGAATGCCCCAGAGTCTAACAAAGTTTAGCCCGGGGCAAACGCTGAGGTAGACTTGCACAGTTCCTTCAACAAACAAATGTTCTAAAACCCTGATTGGCATAAACAAGCACATGTTTGAAACCCCCTCATCCCCCATGGCACTTCCACAATCTGGACTCATATGAAGCATCTGCTGCTAACGGCCACGCCGCATCAACTGGCTACACCACATTTCTAGGGGACACCTCTGACACCTCCCCATTCTTTCCTGGATCCTCCTTTTCAGAAAACCATCAGAACCCCAGGGGAAACAGCGATCGGTTTTTGGAAATAATGATGGTTGAAAATAATGGGGAATCAAACAACTAGAAAATGGAATGACCCTTATAACTTATAAACCATCCAACTGGTGGTGTCCTTCAAGGGAATTCCTGGGTTCATTCCCTCATTCCCTTCTGAGCCCGGTCCTCCAAGGCCAGGGAAATCCACTCCTACCGCCATCCTTCCTCCGCTCAAAGACCCCCCCAATAGTTGCAATAGGCGAGTGAGGGCAAACATGGGAATCTTTCCGCACCTCGCGGATCTCAGGCTTCAGTCCGGTGATGGGACAAAAGGCACATTTTTTCAGCAGTTGATTCAGAGGTCAACCGGGGTTTCCCCAAATCAAAAGTTGCAATTGACTGGTGGTCTCGATTGAAACGATCGCCACTTTTGGAGGTTCCGAAAAGGGAACTTGAAGTTGAACCTTCTGATTTGACACTGAACCTCCCGGCCGAAAGAGCAAAGGACCACTCCTGAGAGTAAGACAAATCGTCATGGAGCCCCTGAGTCGTTGCCCGACCTTCGAGATCCATGCCGGATAGCCACGTCCGAGTCGCTAAAGCTGGCATTGGACACCCGCAGGCGGCCAGCCCTGAACAGGTCGCTTCGAAAGCGAACCAGGCGAATGTTGCTCTCACGAAACGGGGCGCCAAGCGGCGAACCGGAAATCGAATCCGCACAAAACACGAGCCATTTGTTCCAGAGGTCAGCTTCCTAAAGGTTGTTGGGATCCCAGACAATGTTTTGGTGCTTCAGTCTCAGTGTAAGAAAAATGGTCTATTTGGCTCCTAGCTGTGGAACCCACTAACATACCTCTCTTGAGCATGCCCCTGCAAATGGAGCTCTCATCAAGAGATGCTTAAAAGGCTTGAGGGATGTTGGAGGGTTCTTTGCATATCTGACAGCATGAAATCAATCAGTGTCTAACTTGTTTGGTGCCTTCAAACCACCCCGACGCAGGGCAATGGGTCGTGTTGGAAAATCATGTTTGCAGATGGGTGGGCACCTTTAAGGGCAGGGGAGGAACCGCATCATACAGCAAAGCCAAACGGGAGATGTGAGGGACCAGGAAAAAGATTGCAAATGTTAGAAGAAACGAAGGGGTCAAACTAGGACCCTTGAGCAACCGTGCAAAAAAAGGCAGGTTTCCTGAGGGAAAAAGGAAGACACAGGGTCAACCAAGCAAGCAGGTACAAAACAACAAGACAAGCCAGGATATGCCAGAAAAAAAAAAAAACACACAATGGAACATAGTGGAACGGCCTTGGATTTAACAACCATTGAAATGCCACGGGCAAAAAACAAAAACAAAAACAGAATGGACCCTGCAATCAACAAAAGGCACAGACCCCTTTGAGACGTTCTTGGCTTCTACCGTGTAAGCCACATCGATCCCAATCCACATAAATGCCAAGGTAGGTTCCTTACTGTAGCTTGTTATTCATTTAGTCTTGGAGTTAGCTAAATTTGTTAACCCTGGTGATCACCCAGTTGCCACGCTTGTAAGTCCGCACGGATACGAACCATTTAGCCATTCGCGCCGGGCCGGACCATCTCACAAATCCCCTTTGCTGCTACGTATCTTTCCAAGCGCTCTGTCATTCTTCGGTGTGTCAAGATGAGGGGGCCAAATAAAAACGAGTTTGGCGTTGCTTTGGTTCAAGCCAAGGTGGCAGCGGTACAACAAAGACAACCCAAAGCCTGGTTTCCTGTTGGTTTCCCTTCAAAACAAACGCAAAGGAGACCCAAACCATTAAAAAACAGGAGGTATCCCCAACAGCCCCGGAACCCCCTGGAACCCTCCGGAACCCTCCTGAAAGCTGCCCCACGCGACCCCATAACTTCCTGCCGGGGAACAAGAAACACTTCCCCGAAAAGAAAAGGAACAAAAAGACTGGTTTCTTCCGGAACCCTCTGGAACCCCCCCGAACCCTCCGGAACCTTCCATGTTTGCCCCTTCATTTCGGCCACACGACAACCGCCCGCCAAAGCTCGCGGAGCGCGCCGGGACGGCGCGTGCCTGTCGCGCAAGGTCTGCAACAACTCGCGGCAGCTGCAAGCCAAGCGCGCCACGGGGTGAGGGCCTTCGGGCTCGCGACTTGGCGCGACTTGGGCCCCCTCCATATCGGTGTTTTTGTTTGGGCCCCTAATTTGGGTTGTGCTAAAGGGAAACGAAAGGGAAACCATATGAAACCAGCCGTGTGTTTCCCTTTCTTTTGGGGGGGGAAGGGCTTTGCTATTTGGAGAAAAACCCGCAATGACATGGCAACCGTCTGCCAGGGCGGGGGGGGGGGGGGTAACTTGTTCCGTCTTTTGTCCTGTTCGAAAAAGTGAAGGTACACACAAATTTTGGGGGTGTGTTTGGATCGTTACCGCTTCCACCTTGGTTTAAAGGGAAACCAAAGGAAAGCCGAGCTCGCTTCTATAGGGCCCTCTCATTTTGACACACCGAAGAATCAAAGCACGCTTAAGGTACGTAGCAGGAAAGGGGATGTGCCCGGGTGCCCGGTGAATAAAGTGAAACAAGTTGAGCTTAGAAAAGCCTTTGGCCCGGAACGCGTGGACCCGCACAGGAACCCCATGGAGGACCCTTGAGAGACCGCACTTGCAACCAGCGCATCGGCCTGATCCTTCGTCATTCCATTTTCAGCAACCGATGTGTACTCCTTTTGTCATTTCGCTAAACCGATTTTTGTTTAGGTCTCACAAGAGTAGCCTTGCATTTCCAGAATGAAAGACAACTTTGAACCTCAGGCTCAGCTTGCCTCTTCTCTATGTTGCACTAGATTTTGCCACAGATGCGGTATGGAACCATGCGATATCATGTTTTTGACACCTGACCAGAGCTGGTTGCTGTTGACCCCTCTGCAAAGAGTTCAATTGTGTGGTTTCCATGGAAAACCATTGATTTCTCAGAAAGGTTAAGTCTAAAGATCCAACCCAATAGCAATCAAGGTAAGATGTTGCAGCCGAGGTCAACGTTCCAAGTCATTCGGACTGTGCAACGAGGAGCGCCTCCGAGCAACTCCAGCACGAGCGTGGTGCGCACGTCCTTTGGGCTAAAGTTCTAGGACCGCGTTTCTGAGTTTAGCTCGAGTACGTCCTGGGGTTGCCCATCAAGGATGACTTCATGAAGATAAGCCAACAAATCGGGAGGCCAATGAGGGGGGTGGCAAAAACACCCTTCGGAATGCAATCGGCGATCGGGCACTGCTCTGCCTGGCTGCCATTTCCGCCTCCCTTTGCGTTTGCCCCCTGCAGGCGCCGTAGTTACGCATGTCCCCTTAAATGGTGCCATGGGAAACGGCAATGAAGCCTGCGCTACTAATGCAAACCCAGGAAAAGCCCCTATTTATAATTATGTCGAGGCCCTGAATATATATATATATATATAGTTGGAGGTTCATCACTTTTGGAGGGAACCCCCCGCCCCCCCCCCCCCCAAAAAAAAAAAAAAAAGCTCAGGCGACATCCCCAACAGCACCACAACCTCCCAAGAATCCTCGCAGAAGGGCCCGGACCCACCTCACCACCAGTTTTGCTGAGGATGCCGCTTTGTAACTTTATGAAGCAAAGCTAAGTCGGGGCCCGACAGCACTAATCGGGGCCCGATCGCCCGACAGCACAATCGGGGCCCGATCGGGGCCCGACGGCGCAATCGGGGCCCGAGCGGGGCCCGACCGAGCGGGGCCGGACGGGGCCCGACGGTGCAATCGGGCCCCGACCGGGGCCCGATGGTCGTGGCGCGGGCCCCCACCAACGCCAGCCACCCATATTATAGCTCAACGCCGGTTTTCCTTAGGATGCGGCCTTACAACTGTATCTAGCAAAACTAGGCGATGCCAGCTTGGTAGGCCCGCAAACCGGCTTGCGTGAAACATTGTTGGTCAGGGCTGCCCGAAAGCTTTTGCAGAACCTGGTGGAAACCTCGTGGAGCACTTTTGGAACTTTACCCCGTAGCCCTTGCAGGCTTGTGGAACCCTTGGAGCTCAACCCACCAAGTAATACTCAGAAATGCCAAGCATGTACTCTGCTACACAGTGAGTGTGATCTGATTTGCCACAAGCCAAGGCGTTGCCTGAGCAAGTGGGCAAGTGACAAAACAGTGAAAGTGTGCTGAAAACCATTGATTTCGGTTTTGCTTAGTGTTCCGCCCATGAGCAAAGCGATCTTCTGAGCCCTCAATTTACTGCTCCGATGGCTTTTCAGACGGTGGGCACATTGCTTCCTTGCAGAACATTTGTTGTCTACCTCAAACCACCTCGGACCACCCCGCAGCCCTCGCAGAAGGAACCCTGCTGGAACCCTTAGATCAACCACCCCGGACCACCCCGCAGCCCTGGCAGAACCTGGTGGAACTCTGGTGGAACCCTGGTGGAACCTGGTGGAACCTTACCTCAAACCACCCGGACCACGAACGCTGGTGGAATGTGGTGGAACCTGGTGGAACCTTACCTCGGACCACCCCGCAGCCCTCGCAGAACCTGGTGGAACCCTGGTGGAACCCTCGTGGAACCTTACCTCAAACCACTCTCGCAGAACCTGGTGGAACCCTCGTGGAACCTTACCTCAAACCACCTCAGACCACCCCGCAGCCCTTGCAGCTGGTGGAAGCTTGGTGGAACCCTCGTGGAACCCTCGTGGAACCTTACCTCAGGGCCGCCCCGAACCACCCCGGAGCCTATCTGGGCTGAGACCCCAAAGCGTTCAGCTGTTGGGGAAAAAACGGGGTCAGCACTAGGCCCTCTCAAGGCGCCGTGTCGACATGCGACTTGTTGCGTGAGGTTGAGTTATCCTTTCGTCGACCCCGAGCCTAAGATGATCTGGCCACAAGCCTGACTTTCCTAGCCCACAAACCAGGCACGGCATCCCAAAACTGGGCACTCCGTTCTCTGTTCCCCTGCGAAACGTGTCACCTTATAAGTGGGTTAAATGGAAACCCAACCGCTGAACCCTAAAAGCCTGAAAACCCAACGGGACAGCTTGGAACCGCCGAGAAAAGTAACGGCAGGAAATAACCAGCAAATACACCTAAATCGAACCTGAAAAACCCAACGAGCCAAGACCTTAACAAACCCTCACCAAACCAACAAACTCAACCCAACACAAACAAACGGAACCAAACCCAGCCAAAACCAAACTCTAACCGTAAACAAACAATCAAATAAACGAATCCAACATCTGACCAAGCAAACCAAACCAAAACCGAACCTTAACCAAGCAAACCAAGCAAAGAAATCCGAAACCTAACCGAACCAAACAAACCAAACAAGCGAAGCCGAACCAACCAAACAAGGCGGGCAACCGGAATCGAAACCCAACCTAACCAAATAAACCAAACAAAGCAAAATCGAACCGACAAGCCAAACAAAGGAAACAAACGGGGCAGAACACTAACCGAACAAAGGACACCTGAACAAACCAAACAAGCCAAGCAAGCCAAACCAAAGAAACCTAAACGAACCGAACAAACCAAGCAAGCACAACCAGAGAAGCCTTAACCTAACAAACCACGCCAATAAAACCGAAACCTAGCCGAGCGAACTCAACAATCAAACTCAACACTACAACCAAATACACCAAGCAAAGATAACCTGAACTAAGCCAATCAAACTAAACAAGGAAAATCGAAACTGAGCAAACAAACCAAGCACGCCAAACCCAAGACACATGGCCTAGCCTGGCAAACCAAACATAAGCATAACCAACCGAACCAAACGAACGACCCCAAATCCAGCCAACCAAAGCAAACAAAGGAAGACAAACCAAAGAAACTTGACCTGACCCAACGAACCAAACAAACAAAACCTTCCAACACCTTGGGTCCAAGACCTTCCAACCAGGTCCTGCGGAATTGCCCCGGCCAGGCTCTGCAGGGTGAGGCCTCAAAAGGCCAAGTCTGTGTCTCGCTTGGTCTGCTACCCAAAGGGAACAAGTGGACAACAGTTTTCGGAGGAGTAGACAATGATTTGGAAAACAAATCTATTACGTCCAGGAATTGCCATAGCCCTTTCTGCGAGACGATGACAACTGGAAATCCTTTTGGCTACGCCCAATGTTAGCTTCGGATTTCTGAACCAAAGGACCATACCAATCAGGCGTGGTTCGCCTACAAAGGAAATGATCCATTTTAACTGAGTTGCCCTTCCCGAGCTAAAGGTCTGACCAAGTAGGTAGGCATGGAAAAGCCTTGCGTTTCCCAAAACTGGTCGGGGCCTTGAAATGAGCACGATGGTTAGGCTTTCTTGGTGCCTCCAGGCGAATCCGAAATGTTGACCCCGGATGAATAACGCCCTGGTTGATTTTCATACGGGCTGTGCTTTCGTGGGGGTTCAAACCACTTTGAAAGGGTCACTACCCCCTCTACTACCCTCCCACCAACTAACATGGAAACTCACTGACGTTCGGGGGGGGTCCTGGGTTTGGACCATTTTCATCCAATTTCCTTTTTAAGGGACCATTCCCGAACGCCAGGTTCCAGGAAATTTGATGTTGATTGGCACTCCAAGGCCAGTGCCGGTCTCTTCCGCGCGTTTGCTTTGGGCCCAGCCCGGAAGCCTGGCGACGCCTTCGCGCAAAGTTGGGCGAGCCCTTGTTCTAGGCTCTTCGTTGGAAAAGCACTTCCAAACGGTTCGTAACCAAAACCTGGGCAACAAAGCGCCGCAGGGAAGCGTCATAGGGAAGGTGGTCAAAATCGCGAACCCGCCTTTCCACAGTTGGTTTTGCCCGAGACATTGCATGAGTGGCAAACCTTTTGGGACCCTCTCATAGAGAAAGTGTCACCATGCTCCAACCACCAACTTGAGGATCCGCAGGCTATGCGGATCTATCCGAATCCGACTGGGTGGCTCGTCTTTTGAGGCTGCTTTTCGTTTGGAGGGAAACCAAAAGGACCACCCCCTTCAACTTCGTTTCTTTGGGCCAGGCCCTGCTCATGCAGACGGGCCTTCGCTTCGGCAGTCCAGAACTCCTCGAGTCAGCTCTAAGGAACCCGGTTGAATGGAAGGGCGCCGGGAACCTGCCCGATTTTCTCTTCGAACGACTTGGGCGAACTGGGAACTTGAAGTCCAACCGAACTTGAAAGACCTGATCCAAGAAGAGCTGGTTGTTGTCCATGAGACAAATCACCAAAGGTCCGCCTTGCGAACCCTGCCGAGAAGCATGGACCACTGGGTGACTTGTTCCCCTGGCCCCACTGTTAAACTTTCTGGTGTCTACCAGGAACCTACTATTTTTCCGCAAAAGGCAAGACAATACAAACGATCCTACCCAAAAAGCAGCCAAGCCAAGGTCGACAAACTCTTTCGCCTTGGGCCAATTCCTGACCACTTCACCCAACTTTCTTCTTTCGACAAACCAACCAAACTTGTATTTTCCACTAAATGGTCCAACCCAAAGAAGTGATACTACAGTCCGCGAACCCAGGAAGTGAGGAGCTCGACAAAAAATATGCAAGGCGAAGTCCGCGGCTCCTGTGCCCATGCTGATCTTCAGCTTGGACGGCCTAGGGCCTCTGGCGCCTTGAGCCGGGACGCAATCGGCCTGGAGACTGCGATGGAGCCATGCGAACGTTGGCGAACCCATCCAGCAACTAGGCTTCTTCAGTATTCATGTATATCCAGTTAGAGGGTGTGGAGGCCATGAATCCTAAACACAATATTATATGTATATATATAGCTCACCCAGGGAACTTCGCGTGTGGAAGAATGATCGCGGTTCACCAACTGACAGCCATGTCTGACACAAACGCGGAGGCACCAATCGCATGGACGATTGGTAGCTTGTGCAATTCCAAGTTGGAGGGAGGGTAGACTTAGTTCAAGGGGATGCGCCATGTTGAAAGAAGACTCTCAGGTCTTTGTGTCTTAGTCTTCGCTCAACGCGGCAGGGATCACGTTTGAACGGCATGCCAGAATATTCGCTTCAAGGGGATCTTGCGGACTTCGGCTTACGTGGACTACTTGAAGGTAGGAAGGCGCAAACCCACGCAGTGTAAGTACATAATGGGCTTATGATGGCTAGATGTTGGAGCTAGGAAAATGGCCTACTGCCCAGGGTTCGCCGAAGCTCATTTGAAGTCTGTTAACTACTCCCACCCCACCCCGCCGCTATGGAAAACAACCCCCCCTCAAACAACACCATCCCCCCAAACAAAAACAAATCAATAGGGGGATCAAACATACGCCGTTTAAGTTCAACCTCCAGCAAGGAAGGAGTCCATGCATTTGCGGTAAAGCCCTTCCATAGGCAACATGTGGCAACATGCTATGCTTCCACCCATCCTTTCTCAGGAAGCCTTCGTTGCAACCCGGAGATTTGCCGTGACTGCCACCGTTATTTGCTGTGACTGCCACCATCTGCCACCGTTGGATGTGCAAACCAGCTGGGAACTCCAACAGGCTCCCTGCCTTTGCCGAGCTTCCCACTGACAGATCTATCTTTTTTCAGCTGGCCATCGCCTATCGCATCCTCGCGCGTCCATGCCGGCCCGGCACAAGCGCACTGGAACTGCTACTGAGCTGGAAGAGTCGGCAACGTTTAAGGGAGATGAGTCTGTGCCCCTGGCAGACGTGACTGATCGCATAATGTACCGCGTGTGCGTATATGTATAAAGGTAAATATAGATAGAGAAACCTATACACATAGCACACATGATAACTCCAGTTCTATCCTCGCATAGCACTCAGACACCCCTCTTATAGGCTGGCACGCCAAGCTTTAGGGCTATCATGTGTATACATAAACATGGTTGAGGCACGCCCCCAGTGACACCATAGTTGTGTCCGTCGAACTTGTAGCTGGTTGGCTGTCAACATTCTGAACGTTTGCAGCCAAACAGAAACTGACAAACTGGCATTATCCTTTCGTACATTAAGACAAACTGAGCCCTGCAAGCCTCTGCAGGGCAGCATCCATGTGCAATCTGCTTGGCAACCCTAGTAAGGACAAGAACAACACAAATGACACAACAAGGGTTGACCGTTAGAAGGGAAATTTGACAAACAAGAAGTACTTTAAAGGTGTCACTGCACACCTGGTTTGCCTTTGCAGCTTTCCCCTTGGTGGTATTTGGTTGGTGCTTTGGCCTACCTTCCAAAGCATAGGGCTTCAAGTTTTGGGGGGGGGGATGGCTTCGCATTCACCATGAGAACGACTGGGATATCTGCTGCAAACTCACCGTGCCAGGCATTCGATGAGCGTCTTGTAGGTCACCACTTCACGGCCCTGACGCAGGCGGTAATTCAAAGGCTCCGAAGAATCTGTTCAGGTAGTACCATGTCGTACCCTCTCTCCCACTAACATGGCACCTCAGAAACGGCCCTACAAGAGGAAACTGATCTTGCAGGTACGCTTCCACAAGTGCTATGTTAGTGGGAGGGAGAGTGCTCCCCCCAAAAAAGAAGCTTTTGCAGGAGTTTGTCTCACAAAGTACCCCTACAGAAATGACAACTTTTGCAGCAGGCAGGTAGTCTCACAACAAGGCAAACTCGGTGCTACGTATGGTGCAACCTCAGATGTAGAATTACGTCTGTCAGTTGGCCAAGAGCAAACCACCCAACGCGCCTCAACTTATGAACCCAAACGCCACCATGTGCAAACAAATATCAACGGAACTGAGCCCTTTTATGAACTTAACGGTAGCTGATTTGCTCGCGAATTACTTGCCATCTACAACCAACTCGAACTTTGAGCAGAATTCAGGGATGCCCAAAAACAACGCCTGAAGCATTCAGCCCCTCGATTCAAGACCCTTCCTTCTCATGCTCGAAGCTCAGGAGACTGGTTTAGAAAGCCAACACGCAGCCCTTGAGCTAATCCAAAGCCTTGGAAGGACTGTGCGGAGAAGCAACAACTCTGGAGCCAAACCAGGTAGAGTCAACACAGAAACTCAGAGTGAGCGACTTGGATGCGCAAAGCACCCCATTCGCATCTTAGACCCCGGGTCCAAATTCAGGTCACGCCAGAGGTGCTAGCTGACAGGTCTTAAGAAACAAAGGCGACTGCCACCCGGTGACAGCCATCGGCCCCAAGCGCAAAAGACCAAGAGGTAGCCGCCCCGTGCCCAGCAGCCTTTGGGGCAACTTCAGCATTTACCATTTGGCTGTGTCTTTCGGGGAACCTAGCTTTTGGATGGCTTACAACACACAAAGGAAACCAAAAGGAAGACCCTACTCTTGAGTGGCTTACAAAACTCGGTTGCTTTCTGCTCCCCTGCTCAAAGCTTAACTTTTAGTGGTGCAATGGAAAACCCATTAGTTGGCAAAAAGTTAAAGTCCTAACATCGAAGCAAAATGCACAAAAGAAAACCCAAAGGAAGCCAACAGGAAAACCAGGAATTCCCCAAACCAAGTAGGGACCCAGGGAAGTACCGTGGGCTCTCGGATCGCCTCGGGGTGCTGGATGAGGCCTTTCAAGGCACACCTCAGGTGCGATGCTTCGGCCACTTTGGCATTGAAATGTCAAAAAAACAACTCGAATCAGTTGAAATCCGTTCCCCACCCTACTGAAGGTTTATGTTTTTGTTGTCCAAAACTTTGCTTAGGGTCCGTGACCATCTTTAGTAGCCCTAATAACTTCTTGAATGGACCTCAGGTGGGACATCGGCTGATTACTTCCAGGACGTCACTGCATCTCCCTGGCTGAAAAGCGAGCCCAACTCGCGCCAAGTTGAAGCACAGCGCAAGGGGACCGCTTGGAGACTCATTTGGTTGGATTTATGCCACCAACTAAGACTGTTTAACTCACTTCCGATCAGGTGGCTGGCCCAAAAACAGCTCCAACTGTTTGTGTGCCACTAAACTTGTCTTCCCAAAAAGCTTACAGTACATGAACTCAGGAAGTGAGTCAAATGAGTTCCCCACGGTGCCTCATTAACTTTCAGAACGCTTTGCCCGGAAATGGAGCACCCCGGAACATGATTTGAAGGGATTTTTCAGGCCCTAAAAAAATGGGCACCAACTCCAAGAAAAACGAGCCACCCTCCATGAAAAACCCCCCGCAAAGTGTTTGGCTCAAATTTGGCTCAGGTCCCGACACTGCGCACTCCCGGATCTCGTTGTTCTTCGAGCCGGTGCCCTCCGCATACGACGAGAGTGGGACGGCCGGGCCAGGCGTTTTTGGGCTCATGGATGGGTGTCGCGGGGGTTCTGGGGTCGTCGGAGTTCCCCAAACCAAAAAGTTGATCAATTCAGCAGTGGTGTCCTTTAAAATCCCAGCTTTTGGAGGGAAATGGGGGGAACCCTGTGGTAAATGGATGGCATAAACAAACATCTAAACCAGAACCCATCGATTTCCAACCAAACCAATCAGAATGAGTCCGCCATGTCCTCAACCAACGCCTACCAATATTGCCTGCTTGGCAAAGGCAAGGAATGTGCGCAAACACATTTTGTTGACCCCCTGTCTGGGAGAAGAAACTGAGCTTGAGAACCCTCTTAACATTTGCAGGGTCCAGCTTCAACACCGCAAAACAATCATTGGAGGGGGGGTCCGTGCAAATCATTGGAATCCCCGCCCTGAACTTGGAAAAAAGTGGGGTCCTCCCCCGTACACTCCCGATCATTGCACCACCAAAAAGCAACCAACACAAGACGAAGGGGAAGGAACAGTCCCTTTGGGCTAGGATGCGCCGGCCCGTACATAGCGCGAGTCTCTTGCTTTTGTTTGAGCAACGTTGACCCCGCATTAACAAAGCCCTGATTAACTAGTGGAGGGTAACTCCCTTCGGTGGGAATCCGGATCCCGGGTGACACACAATTTGGGTCCACTTTCGGAAGCGCCTCCAAGACGAGTTTGTTCAAGCCCTCCTTGATGAGGTGCACACGTGACCTGAGCACTCACAAGGGCAAAACTTGACCTGTTCTCCACGCAACACCCAGTTCACACTAGGCTCTTTTTGACTGAGCCCCTTTCAAGTACGCTTTCGCAAAATTGGTTGGAATCTCATCCAACTAAACTTGCTGGTGCGATAGGCAGGGAATGAGTTCACCATCCCTTGTGGTTTCCTTGAAGGGGACATTCCCTAGCTATCGCACCAGCAACTAAAATGCTTGGCTTCCCTAAGCCAACCAAAAGGGGGTCGATGTTGCCACACGAAACCATGGGGCCCTGGCTCCTGGCATGTGCCCATCATCCGCCCGACAATGGCCAGCACCTGCAAGCGCCGACCAGTGACATGTTGGCTGAAGGGAAATGCAGCAAAACTAAACAAGAGAAAGAAAAGAACGGTCTTGCAATGACACGGGGAACAAAAATGCAAGCATGGAAGTGGACACAGGATGCGTGGACAAGGCTTGCGTGCAATGTCCCTCCAAATGTTCTTCCTGCCGATTCCTGGAGGGAGGTTCAAGCGAAAAGCGTCTGCGAGAGGAACGGTGAGCACAGAGAAACTGTGCAAAACCCTTTCCGGCAACTGTGGGCTTCTGAGTGTTTCACAATGGGGAGGCCGCTAATACTAGTACGCAACCAGTAGTGTTGGACACCACCATCTGGCACAAAGGTTCAGGATGACGTTGAACAACCCCGTGTGCTTGCTGGAGCCATATTCAAGCACAGTCATGGCGTTGGACTCCGCCAAAAAGTCGGCTTTGCCTTCTATGGTTTGCCCCGGAGTGATCAACCTGGCAGAAAAACAGGGGGCTCTTCCACTAAGTGCAGGATCCCAAAGAATGGGACTAATGGCCAACTCCGGCACGACTGCCCTCTCTTGGGGCCCTTCCATGGCAAAACGCCATCTGAGTGTTCGCCAATGTCTTCGCACGCCTTGGAAACCAACAAAGGACAAGATCATCTTAAGCAAAACTGCCATGGAAACATGGAGCCAGGCGAAGAACAAAGAAACATGCCCGGGCGACCCAGTAGTGGATGCTGTAGTCATCATCCGTCTCCTTGGCAGTCATGGCCGACAAGCCGGCTGTCCTTCAAACATAGCCCAAAAGATCCCCCACGAGCAGCCAGGCCTTGAGCAATCTCAAGGGCGCACAGCACCAAATAAGCAGGGCACAAGGGTTTGCTTGGGACCGGTTTGTGGGGATGGTTTGCTTGAACATTTTGAGATGGCATTCTCACCCCTTCAACAGCTTCGGAGGTCCCTGCTTCCAGCACTTCCAAGTAGCTCTTTCGTTTTGTCACCCCGAACGACCTGAACTCCACGGGGGGTTCCCCAAAAGGGCATCTCTTGAGCCATGGGATACGCCTTCCAAGGGGTCTTCCGCGGAAGTCACCAAACTGCGAGACGGGTTACCTGCCAAGGGCCTGGGATTCATGTGCCATGGGATAGGCCCGGGTACCTCCCTTTCAAAGGTCCCTGGACTTTCTTCACCTTCATCCGGCGCGGGGCGAAGGCTTCCAAGCTGAAAAAGAAAACCACCAACCAAAAGTGCATAGATCTGTGTTTGTTGGCTTCCCATCATTCAAATGAGATTCATGTCCGCCAACCTGCTTTGAGGGTGCTCCCCTTTAAAACTCATAACCACCTTGTGCAAATTCCCGCTCATCAACCGATTGCATCTTGATTCGCTGTCCGATTTTGAACTGTGGTGCCAATCCAGCAACAGTACAGCGATTCCAAACCAAAACGCAGCCAAACCAACCAGGCTCGTCAAAGCTACTATAGATTGCGCACTAAACAACACGCATCAGTCACTTCCTGAGTGGACTGGCCAAACAGGGTCCTCACTTTTTGTTTATCGCTGAACATGTTCTCACTTGCCCAAAAGGACCTGGAAATAAAATGTTAACTTTTTGGGGCCTTTACTAAAAATGGACCAAAATTGAAAAACCAAAAGGTTAATAGGTCAGCTTTGGGAAAGTGAGTGCTTCTCCAAAAAAGTATGAAGTCCGGCATAAAAAGTCTAAGTGTGCTTCAGCACCCCAGCCAGAACTGGCCCGCGCCTGATCAGCACCCTCCTCGTGCCAAAACTCGATGAGCTTTTGCGCGCCACCGGCCTCGGCCGCAACATCAGAGCGAGATTCTCCCTGTTTGAACGGCATTCACCCCCTACAAGAACCGGGGGTCTAACCCCGACGCCACCAATTCAAACCACCAATTGACCACTCGATCATAGCTGCTTTGAAACCGTCTTGAAATTTGTGCGCGTGCGACTTGATGTTCAAACAAGAGCCGTCAGCCGGCATTCCCCCGGGTTTTCCGGGAACGAATCTCAAAACGGGCGTGGGGCTGGCATAGTCGATCGCCCAAATGTAAGGCTCAAGCTTTACACAGAGGTTTGGCGTGGTGAAGCGGGGAATAACAAATATATATATATATATATATATATATGTGTTTGTTTTGGGGTTCCAAGGAAATCCATTTCATTTGGGGATTCCTAAGCTAAGACTTTCACAACTGGCATGGTTAAGCCTAACAATGGGTAAAAAGCCCAAGCAGGACCGTCCTTTTCACATCTGAAAGAAAAAAGGAAGAACCAAAAAACAGAACAAAAACACAGGAGAACAAAAAACGCGCCTGGAGGCGCCCTCGATCGGGGTGCCTGGTGCTTGGCTTGGAGGCGCAAAACCGGCGGCTGAGCTATTGGCTTGGATGAAGCCCCGCTGCCAGACCGGGCTGTCGCGGCGATTGCTATTGATCCAGTTATAAATCACCTCGGAGAGCGCGAGGGAATGCCAACTAGGTCCTCCAGTAGAGAGGTTCGAATAAGGGTACCAACTGTTTTCTGTAGTCTATTTTAGTAATTAGGGGAACCCTCCCCAAAGAAACGCAAGGTCTAGTCACCTTTTAAGGCCTCTACAAAATGTAGGGACCCAAAAAAAAAGCAAAGGTTAAAAGGTCGATTCGCTTTGGGCAAGTGAGTCCCAGTTCAGCGAATGGACATGTCATGGAAGTTTTGACGGTTTTCTTCTTCGTAGCTTGTGGCTCCAAAACTGGCTGGTTTTCTCGAAAGCAGGGCGAAGGAATCACCCAACGAATCCTCCAACTGGTGGCTGCTAGTTCACAAATAAAAAGGATTTCCTACCGAGAACTCAACAGGGGGAACCTCTAAAACTGGGAGGGCTTTCTTGTGGCTTCCCCTTTGAAACCCTCCCAGCGAACCTTAACTTTTGGTGGACACTCACAATCTTTCAGAGCGTCGGGTTAGGGCTGCGCGCCCCTGAGCAATATGTTCTGTGTACCCATTTGGGCTGAAAAACAAACGTATGAACCCTTTGCACCCTTATACCCTAGTATCGGTTCGTCTTATGTTTGCTCCTCATGGGCGACTCATCGGTTTGCAATGTTTTGGGGGCTACGAGTTGTTAAGTGCACTGTGAGTCATCGACGTGGCCAAGCAACATACACAAGAAAAGCAGGCAGCAGGCAGCGGCGCACGGATTTGTTTCGCGTGTTTCAACAGCAGGTTCGGTCATCAGGAAGAGGAACTCGTGGACTTAGTGACTTGAGGTAAAGATAGCAAACCAAAGCGAGGGCGTACTTGCGGGCAGCTGGTTGGATTGAGGCATGAGTATCGGCTAGGTATCGACAGAGTGAGTATCGCTTCGGCGCCTTTAAGTGTCCGGAACCTCGGTTGAGCCACAATTGCCTCGTATGGCTTCTCAACACTTGGCGCAGCTCATAAGGACCAATTCGAACCAATTCTGTCTCCCTGGCTTCTATTAGTTCCGCTTGTTCTTCCTCATTGGTTTACATTTTGATTGTTTTGGGCCTGCGCAACAAACAAGCTTTGGGACAGGCCCTGACATAACGGAAAGGCGCGGGGTTTGTATTTCGAGCGATCATCAGCACACGCAACGGAAACTCAGCTCAAAAGGGTTGGCAACCAACAAGTGGTGATTGAAACGCTTAACGCAAAATGTATGCGTCTCTTCCGCCCTTTATGGTGGCTTGGGGCGGTTGGCATGCAACAGCATGGAATGTCTCAGGCATCAACATCTCACGCTGTTGATGGAGAAGCAAGCCAAGGGCCAACATTTGCTTCAAAGGATCTGGAAGTAACAGGTCAACCATTTTGACTTGGTGAAAGTTCAACGAGATTCCCAGAAAACAAAAACCTTTCTGCCAATCACCTTCAAGGGCAAACTATAACTATAAAAAAAGGAAGTACCCTCCCCCAGGCTAATTGACGTGAAAGCTCCCAGGACTCCTTTGGAAGACTTGGTTCCATTTACAGAGGCCAATTGGGGGAGCCTCCCCGTTAGTCTGAGGGAGTGTAAAATTTGACACAGTTGAATAATGCCCACACGACTGACTGAGAAACACCGGGATCCACGAGAAGGCGGTTGGGTTCAGGGGCGGTCGTGAGGGGCGTTGCGTCTGACCTTGTAGCAATTGACCAGGCGTCATACACGTGTATATATATATATATATATGTGCCCAGAAAAATGTGGGTCAACCAGGAGCTAGGGATGGCAACATGTGGGAGCCCACACTTGCAAAGGAAAATTGGTAGCATATATGGAACAAGTCCTTTCCTGGGAAAACCTCTCCCCCTCCCAAAGAACCCCCCCAATTTTGGCGAATGCATGTTCAACCATTGTGGTCGATTACTTTTCCTGAGTGCATTGGCAGGAGAAAGCCCAGACTTGTTGCTGGCCACTGAGAAACGGTCTTCCCAAAAAGTTTAGAATCCAGGCTCTCGAGCGGTGAATCCAGTTCTCGCAGGGAACTCCTGGACCTTCTCAAAACCCTGGCACAAGTCGCCCTCAAGTCGCCCAGGGCCGGCGCGCTCAGGACGTAGTTCTTCTTAAAAAGAACCTCCCCGCACACCTCGAGACAGTACACCGATCCAGACTTGCACAGGATCCTGCAAAGCCAGGGGAAACCGCAACAAGGGGTACGCTGGTACGCCGCGTACGCCCCAAGAAGAAGTCCTATATGGCTACATGTATGAATATATATATATATATATATATGATATGTTTGGCTAAAACAAACAAACATATACTAATAGATCTATGTACATATGTAAGTCTGTATACACCGGCGTACATCAATAGATTGCCCACCCCAAACAATGATCATTTGAAGATCTCCTTTTGAAACATCGACCCTTGTTGAGGTTTCATCTGGATTTGCAAGGGGGAAGGTGTTTAGTGTCATGCTGTTTGGTGTCATGGTTCCTCGTTCGGACTGTCAAGTACGTCCGGAACATGTTTGGGCGAAACCGGCAAGTTGCATAGATCCGTCGACACTCTCCGCATACCTGGAAGGGCAGCTTCCGAACACAGTGCCAAAGGCCCGGGCGTAGTGGAGGAGCTTAAACATCTCCCGGAAGGCTTCCTGGCGTCAAGAGATGCACGATGGATAATAATCATCTCCTGTTTGTCATAAAAGGCTCGCAAGCTACCACTGAGAGGTAATAACATCCATGTCAATACCTTACAAAAGCTGTCAAAAGGTACTCAAACCCGAAGAATGAAGACAAGCCTTCGACTCCCTTTCCTCGGAAGACCGGGCGGGTACAAATATCATCTCTGAATGCATTGGAAAGGGTAACCAACAGGTTTCCCTCACCCCACCAAAATAAAGTTCACTTCAAATGGGCTCAAAGGGCAATGTTTAAAACCGATGCATAGCTTATTTACAATCCTTGCTATGGTAGCAAAGAGCGCCATGTTTTGCAGCCATCTACAAACAATGAACAGACAAACAAACACAACAACTTGCCAACAACACTGAAGGCTTTCCGAAGCGGACTGGCCCAAGTCTGAAAACTCGTTCTTTACCACTACGGTCTTGCCAAAACAACACAGCAAAAAACAAAACTTGACTCCGGAAACCTGGGACAAAGCAGGATGGAAGTTGGAGATCCCCCCCTTGGTGAGGTCGCTCAACTTTGCCCGTCATGGCAAACCATGGAGCAGCACTGGGCGGGGGAGGGGAAGTGAGTTGAAGTGCAACAACGAGTGCAAGACTGAGAACCCTGGATGCTTTTCTGGACTCGAGCCTCGTCGGTGGGCGGCGGATACTTCCTGCTGTTTCGCAGTCTGAACCTCGGCGATGTGGCGTTCTTGTAACTTGAAACGGGTGGAACCGAATCAGGTCCGCTTTTCCGGGCCTCAAGTCCTCACTTGCCCAGTTCGGAGCTGGAAATACAAGGTGATCACCTTTTCGGACCTGTACGGAATATGGACCACATCAGGGAAACCAAAAGGTTAAAAGGCCGATTCGCTTTGGGCAAGTCGGAGTCGTGAACTTTGAGTCGGGCACACCGAACGCGGTTGGGAAAAAGAAGCAGCAAACATATCCGGAGTCCTCGGGAGCTGCCAGGTTTGATTCCAACCCAACATGCTGCTTGCTGGCTTCGTCAAAGCCCCGTTGGCCACAAAAAGGTGCGGGATCCGTTCATAGGCGAAAAGGATCGGTCCAGGCCCACAACGTGACTATAACTCGGTTGCTTTCTGCTCCCCTGCTAAAAGTGACTAACTTTTAGTGGTTTAGTTCGGAAAACCCGCTAGTTGGCAAAAAGTTGCTCAGTCCTAAGATCCCTTGGCAAAATGCACCAAAAGTCCGAAGGTCTCAGGGAGTGAGCTTCCCTTGAGGTGGGATCTGGTTACAGGCGAAGCCAACCATTCGATTCAGTCACGAGTTCAGCCTCCCGCTCGACAGGGGGCAACGGGTACGCGAAGCCAACCTCAGACCAAAACAAGTGTGGCGTTCAGGCGTGCTACATGGAGGGGTTGGAAGGAAGCAAATGTCCAGCTCCTTATTGTTGTTGCCGCAGTTAACAACTGTGCTATTCAGGAAGCAGGCCCTAGGCACCCCCGGGGCCCACTAGTTTAGGCCAAGTGTATGCCTCTTTCGAATCAGCGGCCTTTGGAAGCACAGGGTCGCCCTTTTTTGGCAGTTGACGTCAAACGGGCAAAGGGAACCCATGCAACGGGACAGTTGAGTGACTGTATGGGCGATGCAGGGAGGAAACAAAGCCCCCCTCCCCACTGCCTAGAAAGGTTCTCCGCTAGAAGCGGTTTCCGTGGAAGGGAGGCTTCTAGAAGCAGTATTCTTAAATTTCAGTTGTTTTCCTGGCATGAGGTCTCATATCCCTTCCGTGAGAGAAAATCGAAACGGCCCGAATGGAGGTCGTAGTTTCACACCCCACCTGCAGGTGAGCATATAGGATCGGACACCTTGTCAGGGATTAAATGTAAATTGCAAAGCTGCCAGCCATCCTAGTAGGTATGCAGTCGGGTTCACCACGCATTTGTTGTCTCCAGTTGGGAAACCTGACTTGTCCAGTCCGACTTTTGACCCATTGGTTCCCTCTTGTTGGTTTACTTGCGGAAGCTTGCAGAAGATCAACCTACATGTCAAGTGGGGTTCGCCAATTGAAACAAAATCCATCTGAATCGATTGGACACTCGCGGATCGGATTTCCCCGGCAAGGGGCGGCGTTCGGGTCGGGCTCTTCCCGGGCGGGCAGGGGAATCTCCTGACAGACATGCAGCACCTCGATCCGGGCGTCTCAACCAATATCCACGTGGGTCCTTTTTTGGTGGTGCCTTTTTTTGGGCGGTTTTAAAAGGAAACACAGAGAAAACCAACAATTTTCAGGATCAATGCAATTCTATACGTCTAATATTTGACTATGCCAGGACAACTCATGTTCCAAAACACCTATGTCATGTCACAATACTTCTCGTGCATGAAGATTTGCATCCGGCGGTTCAAAGCCACACCCTAGGCCTGACATGACCCCAGGGAAGGGCTGAAGGTTCGAGCAAACCGTGTCACCAGGTCCCGGCCCCTGTTGCAAGAAACCCGAAGGTTGTTTGGAGACTGGCTCCAACGATGTTTCAAGGTGCCCAACCCCAGCCCTTTTTCCAAAGTTGCCTTGGTGTTCCTTCGCGGGGTCCATTTACCCAGAGAAAAAAGAAGTCTCCTGGTCAGGGCCTAGGACGATGGAGCTGTGGTATCTCCCTGGCGAGCCATCGCCGGGTCGGGTTTCGAGGTTTTCCATTGGCTTTCCGCAAGCCGCAAGCCACGTGGGGAACCCAATTTGGGTTCTCAAAGGGTACCCGAAAAAGACATCCACCCATTTCTTGCAACCCCTGCACCATCAGAATCACTGCTTTTCCCGAAGGGAGCACAAGCATATACTGCGATCTGCACATGATTCCCTTCACGAATTGTCCAACTTTTGCAAAATGCATTTGCAGGATGCATCCCCCCAGTCAGTGCGGATCCCAGCCCTGAATCGAATCCCAAACTGCGCCACGGCGCTGACGGGCCGGCAGCACCCCATCCCTCCCACATCTTCAGGTGGTTCAACACCTGGCCAAGCTCAGTCAGCGGAAAAAAATGGTGACACCGGCCCGGACACCCGTGTGTAGATGCGCGTCGCTTGCGGCAAATCTCTTCAAAGCCAGCTGCACCTTCTCCGAAATAAAACAAATTCCGGAGACCGGCAAGAGGAAGCCAGGTGCCTCTCCATCCCAAGCGAGGGATAAGCAGGGCTCTGGAGATCTGCCGAGATCGGAATCGCTTCGGGGTCTGTCTGGCCCGCCGAAAAAACCTGTTCCGCAATACCCCAATTTGCCAACCCAACTAGTTCACCGCTTATAAGCGGGTCCGTTGGTATCATAGAAAGTGGCAACCATGTTGGGGGGGGAAATGGGCCTAAGTTGAAACCAGCGAGAAGAAGATACCCCGTTTGCCATGGCCTCCTCCTGTGTGTTGGCGGACGTGGCAAAATCCTGGAGCTCCTTAATGGCCACCTCCTGTCAAAGACGCTGCTCTCTGCTCTGCTCACTTAGGCTACCTCTTAAACACCAGCCTGATGTAAGAGGTTGTCCCATCGGTTCAGGGTAACAAGGCATGTGGAGTCCTGCAAACAGGATGTGTGATTCGAACATGGTTCGACGCCCAAAGCCAGTGACACGGAACGTGGTAACTGGAAGTTCTCAGAAAGGGTTCTTATTCTGAAACGAAAACGCAACCACGTGTTTGTGGAAGCGGCCGTTCCAGCAACACCAAAGTGGACCATCCTTCTGATTTCTGTGTCATTTGTAAGGGCGCTCCCTTCGTATCACCCACAATGGGCCATAAGCTCAGCAATGACTGCATGAACCCGTACATGCAAACCTGGGGCCGCTTGACTGCTTTCCCACAAACAAGCCATTCATACCAAAGGTTCATGCATTCTGCAAGCCACAAGCCCACGCTTCCCACATGCCAAGCGGCTGCAAGCTCCGCCATTTCTCGCGGCTCGCCTGGGCAACAGGTCTCAGCCAGCGAACTTCGCTTCGCGCTTCGCTTCTCAGCGCCTGGGGCCCTGGCAATCGAACACTTCTCGTTCACGCGCGACGGGAGCGAGTGGAGAGGTGAACGGCTGGGAGCTATGCGTCTTGGCGCCTGTGCCTGTCGTGTATTTTGCCTGTGCTTTCGCCGGTATCCTGAAGCCCGGGCAGTTCGTGCAAGGCAGTACATGGCCGTGTGCGTCAAGAAGAACAAGGGACCCTCGGGGGAACGCCTTGAACAGGAAACCTAATTTGACAGTCCCACATGATGAATGCTCGTCTCTCCATAGCGTTCTGTCCAACCTCAGCAAGGCCTCCATGCAAGACCATCCTGCGAGCAGCGCCTATGCCAAGGCTTGGCGTTTGACCCTCTTTCCAGACAAATTACAAAAGGGTAATAGAGCCAAAAGGCACAACTCGGGTCAACGCAAGCGTTTTTCCAGCCGCGGTCTGAGCCATCTCAGTCCGCCGGTTTCTCAAGCAGCGTCTCCTCCTGCAAATCGGGGACCCTACCCGCCCCCTCACACTCGAGGGAAATGTGTTCCCTGGTGAACCAACGTGAGGGTGTCGGCACTGGCGGCCAAAGTGCTCTCTGCTAGCTCGTGAGTATGCACCGGATACATCAGGGATCCCAATTAATGTTGACCTACGATTAGTAAATAGACCATGCATAATGCTAACCGATTTCCAAAAAATATACAATGAATAATGCTAACCGTTTTTTCCCAGGGGGAAAAATATGAAAAACTACAAAATAATATAAAGTAATTCAAAAAATAACCTTCCCCAACATGAATGAATGAATCCTGAGTTCCCCAGCTCACAAAAGAACCTAGAATTCCCATTGGGATCCATGCAAAATGAAGATTTTTATTCAGGGTCAGTGCTCCCAACCCTCATCCCCCATGGAATTTGCATGGTTTCATAATGAATTTATCCAGGGATCATGCCATGATTTACCATGGGATTTGCATGCTTCTGGCATCTAATCTTTATTCAGGGTCAGTGCTCCCAACCCTCATCCCCCATGGAATTTGCATGGTTTCATAGTGAATTTATCCAGGAATATGCCAGGGAAACCTGATTTACCATAGGATTTGCATGCTTCTGGCATCTAATCTTTATTCAGGGTCAGTGCTCCCAACCCTCATCCCCCATGGAATTTGCATGGTTTCATAATGAATTTATGCAGGGATCATGCCAGGGAAACCTGATTTACCATGGGATTTGGCCCAATTCTTAAGTAGTATTCGAAAACAAAAAACTGAGCCCAATACTAAACTCCTTTAAACAAGGCCCGACCCTGAAAATTCTCCCCTAATCTTTATTTATGGTCATTCAGGGGGGGTGCCCTATTTATTGATCATCGGTCAACATTACCCTCCAGTCGCTAAGGCCGTTGGTCTTTTTTGGCCCTGTTTTCACCATGCCTCCCCAAATCATTGGGACCCGGAACTTCTCTATGCGCAGTCTGCAGTTACCGGTCCTCGACAACTTGCACCTGCCACTCGTCACCCTGAGCTCCGGCGCAAGAGAAAGAGACTACTTGGGACCTCAGCCCCCCCTTTTTGGCTGTCCCTGACTAAGCGGCAAGCAAGTATTTTGCAACACGGCTAGCCTTACTTTGAGGACCGGATGGGTTCGAACCCAGGCCAGTGGGCTCATGGCTCTACACGGGAGGGGCTCTGCGTGCGTGTCGGTATATCTATATCTATAATGTATATATATATATATTGTAAATGTGTGTGTGTGTGGGTAAGCGGAAGTGGCTGGCTTTTGGTGACCAAGACTCATTTGCCCCAAGACCCCCGTAGCCCGTGGAACCTGATAGAAACTTGGCAAAATCCTGAACATCCAAACAGGCATTGAAGCCTCAAACATGCTGTCACTGAATGAATCAGGTCAAAGGGTGAGTTAGCTTGGAGCTAGTAGTCAGCTTCCCTCCAAACTGTGGTTTGGGTTGGCGGCTTGGAAGTTAGGGTGCGTGTCCCGTTTTCCCTCTACAAGAACAAAGGGTTGAAACCCCTGCACCACCATCCAGGTAGCCGATTCATCAAGTGTGCCAACTTTAAAAACATTTCCACAGTGTTTCAGGGGGTACTCAATACATGCTTATCCCAAATCTTCTCCAACCTGCGCTTCGCCCCGCCAGGAAATGTGTTTCTCCCTGCTTCAAAGCCCCAAAGCCAAATAAGTCCCCTTAAACCCCTCGGTTTCATTCTTGGTGCAAACCGAACCCCGGCACAAGCGGATTGGATCGATTCCCTGCCTGATCGCGCAGCAAGCCAGCGACATCAGCCTGGCGCTTGTAGAGAAAACATGACCAACAGCTGGCTGCCACCAAACATGTTTGTTCAGGTCAGGAGCATGCGACAGCTAGGGCCCCGACATAGTGCAATCATCCCCCTACGAAAAGTTAGAAATCGCAAGCATCAATGCCCCAAATCCATGTTTAAAGGGGTGGGGATATGCCATGAGTGCCATCAGGAACATTGCCCACGGACGTTCCCTGAGGGGCGTTCACAAGAGATCAAAATTAAGCTTGCTTAAGGGCACGCCACCCTTTCATTCTGAGGACGAAACCTACATGAAACCCGGAAGGCCCATAACCCCATTCCCAGAAAGGACCAGAAACTCAGAAGCAAATTCGAATCCGCGTCCCTTTCCGCTCGCAGGGCCCGGAATCGGCTGATTGACTCCGAAAGGGTGTCTCTGTCTGAAGGTGCCATTTGTTGTGATGTTTCAATGGGGAGCCAACGAAAGTCAGCCTTTTGGCGTTTCTCATTTGAAGACACACCCATATCTGTGAGTTGGCTGTTACGAACACGCCAAATGGAAACAATTTGCAAAATGGACCACTTCGATCAATCACAGCAAACGTGGCCTGCACCTATTTAAGAGAAGGAACCAAAGCCCGTGTTTCGCAGCTTCGTCCGGAACCAGCGTGTGTGTGTGTGTGTGTCGAAAACCAGAGTCTGCGCAATTCAAAACTGAATGCCTCTCGATCAATCCGTCTTGGCTTGCTTTGACCCGTCATCACCATTGATACATGCCTGCTATCCGTCACTATTCTGGGCTGCCCTCAGATCCCCCGCTAAAGTTAAACTTTTAGTGGGTAAAATGGAAACTAACACTATGCACTAAAAGGCTAAGGAGATGGCTGGGAGCCACCAAATATTGTCTCCCAGTGCTCAACTAGGAGCAGCCACCAAATACCAGACCAATACCACATGGGGCCTTCGGCGAGTTCTCCTCGCGTGGTGCGTGGGGTGTGCCGCCAGGTCTCCTAGCGGTTGGTCCCGGTCAGATCGCTCGCGGAAGCGTTCGGCGTAGAGGGCGCCCGTTTGGATCGAGCGTTCCCTGTACCGGGACCGCTGAAAATGGCTTGGATCTGGTCGGAACCCCACCCGAGAAGCACCAGGCCGCAACGGGTCTCAATCAAGGAACATAGGACCGATATATCTACTATGAACCGAGTATTATGTAGTGCGGCTGTGTTGCGGAAGAAGTGGGTGGGTCGTGACGTGCACTGCGTGGCACCCCTACTTGGAGGCTCGTGATGCTTACAGTATTGACTTACTTGCAGAGCTTAGTAAACGATTATCCCAATTGTACTTGACATAGCTCACTTGCGCAACTTTTGATACAATACTTGTGTATCTTGTGTTACGCGGTTAGCTAAGTGTGCTTAACTCAGTTATGTATGTGCACTGACTATGTTGTGGGCGATATGGCGCATGAGCAAATCACGCAGCGTGACATGGAATATCATGGCGCAAGCAGGGCGCGATGCTCGCTTGCAGCCACACACGCCTTATTTTCATCAAGCAAACCGTGAAGAACAAAAGAGCTGCCGGCACTGTTGTGCGCATGCTGCGCCAAAACGTGCTCAGCGCGGCTTCAGGCTTGCATGAGCACTCCCGTGGCTCTGCGCCTTGGCAATCTCCTGCAAGTTCATGGCACTCTGCACTCATGCTTCGTCCACAAGCGTAAGCATAAGCTCTTGAAGAGGTTTGCGAACCAGCTGTCGGACACATTCAAAGATTTCGATACCTCCTTGCTCCTAAATGCGCTTCAGACTCAGCTCCTGCGCATGGAGGATGCTTGGGCGCAGAGTGCCTGCACACTTGTGCAGCCTCGGCCCGCTGCCGAAGGCCAAGGTCAGTGCGCTGACCCAGCTTGGGTTCCCAGGGCGTTGGGTCACATCTCTAGCGCTTATGCTCCAGGATGGGCAGCAGATTTTTGTGCCGTGGTCGTTGTGCAGCCTTGACTGATCTTGAATGTGCCTCCTAGCTTGCATGATGTTGAATATGCCACTGTGGCTGATCTTGAATGTGCCTCCTTGAATGGCTCGGAGTGCTTAGGCTTGGGGTCGCAAAGAGCAACGGCAAGAGATGCGCCCACGACAGCATCCCCCGAGTTGGGTCACAACGCTGGGACCTCAGCACTGTCAAAACGAACCAACAGTTCTCGCAGGCCAGAGCCCAAGTTCCCTGAAGGACCAGTGTACTATTTGCAGCTTACGCGTGTTGCTGTGCTTGAGCCTGGTTTCAGGAAAAACTTCGTCACAGTACGCCGAAGCTGGGAGGACAAGAGCTGATGCGTTCTTCGAACAAAGGGGCCATGCCTGCTGGGCTTTCCAGCATGCGCCAACAAGGCTATGGGGTTGATGTGCCAGATGGGCACTGGAGCGCGCGCTGCCGACTTCGGTCGCGCAGATTAGCGTCTCACCCAAAGCTTGCTCGAGCCCGCTTGATAGGTGACCTGGAAACTGCATCTGGCAGCTCTCCATGATCCCGCAAGGACCCAAGCACTTCCGACAAACGCTGTGACACGTAGGACTTGCGCCCCAATTGGGCGAGCAGTTCGCGGGAATGGCTCATGCCCTGCGGGCGAGCGTTTGCCCCACAAGTGCGTGCAGACAACGCGAATCTGCTTGGGGATGTGACAAGGCGTACATCAGCCTTCTCCCAGAACGTGAATCAACGCGCAGTAATGAACGTCACAGATTTCTTCTGTGTATGTGTGTGTCCAGCAGGTGGTGTGTAAAAACGTCCCTGCTGTGTCAAACAATCTGGTCTGTCCTACGCTGTCAAACGGGAAGCAAGACAATTATGTAGCGCTGGCCCATTCACTCTTGCTGAGCACCATAATGCCAATGCGTGCACGCAGTGGCGCCCCAGAAAATATGGGAGCTACTTTGGCACAAAGCATGAAGATGCATGAAGCTGTTCAGGTGGCGAGCACCTGCACTTCGTTCGGACGGAGCTTCAGAATCTCCCGCCACGACATCGCGCGGCACTTTGCCCTCGCCTGCTCCAGAGAGCTCGTCAAGCTCCGGAGTACAAGCCATGGTCCGTTGGACACACTCTCTGCACAAAATCAAGCACGTCAAGCCCATGCCCAACCTGTTCTTCAACGCGTGCCAACTTGCAACGGTGCATCCTTGCAGGTAAGACACGCAGACTTGCCGTGCTCAGATCTGCATTTTGCAATGACAACACGCTGCGTTTCTCAATCTCGCAGAAGGCAGAAACGTTCTCCTAGCTGCGCGAAGCGCGTGAACATGCGTGGGGTTTCAAGGGGGCTGGCATCCCCACAAATGCACTTAGCCACAATAGCGTAAGTGGCCCAACTCAGTTACCAAGTTACCCAAGCCACTTACACACCTAGGCTGTTGCCTACTCTTAAGCGGGGTAAGCAAGCACAAGTGATTATATCGCATAGCAAGTGGCTCGGCGCAGTTATCTAAGTAGCCTAAACTAACAGTTTACTACGCATGCACCATTTATAACTACAATTGCATTGAATTCAACATGGTTGTAACTCATGATGCGGCACACACGTAAATGCTCCTTATATAAATACTTACTAAGCAGGGAGAGCCTCCAAGTAGGATTTGTCGGGGCGTTCAGGGAGGTGCAGTATCCCTCTTTCCATGCGATTTTGAACTTATAAGCCATTGAGGGCCTTGAGAGGTCGCGCTTAAAAGGAACCAGACTCCACAGCTGCACCACGCGCAGCCGAACCTCTCCTGCTAGGTTCTGCTGGTCGGCTGGGCAAAGCATGCTTACCGTCCTTGCTCGGGTTGCTTCCGGCATTCCTAGACGTGCACGCAACCCTGGCCGCAACCCACCTGTAAGTTTTGACGTTTTCACTCTAGGATTGCCGCCATTGCTAACCTCTTTTTACGTGGGCCCAACTTGGGCCCAACACACACACACATGCACGCATCCATGCCCACTGAACTTAATGTTAGATAGCGATTAATAAAACGGGAGTGAACACAGAAAAAAAAAAAAAAAAAAACATCTCAAAACTATTCACTCTCCTGAAAAGCAAAAAAGGTAGGTATTACAGAAACAAAATCTGCCCGAAATCTCGAAAATATGTCCCCTTCCAAGAATGTACTATTTTTGAGGGTTGAAACGTTTGAGTCCAGCCAGACATGTCCAGAATTTCTGGATTGCTTCCTGTCCCAAACCACCAAATTCCTTATCAATCCCTTTCCTAGAAGATGCACCCTGACAAATTTTCAAGGGGGTGGCACACGGAACCTCCAGGAAGGCAATAATGCAGTTTGCTTAAGGGTAGGGAATTGTGAAAAAAAATGGCCAGGGCAGCCTGCCAAGAAGAAGAACCAATACTAAACCAATTCTAAACTGTAGTGAGTCAACTGAAATGAATACTGAACTAATACTAAACCAATTCTAAACCGTAGTGAGCCAGCTCAAAGGAATACTAAACCAATGCTAAACCAATTCCAAACAATACTTACTGGAAAACTACTCAGTGCAGGTCCCAGTCTGACCCCCATTTTGTTTTTGGGGTTCTCGCTATTGACCCCCCCCAATTCGTTTGGGGGGGGGGGGGGTCTTTATTAATCACTCTCCAACATTACTTGCCAGGCTGAACAAACACACACACGCACACACCGCACGCACGCACGCACGCACGCACCTACCCACCTACTCACGCAAAGCTTAGCTCATGTAGGAACAAGGTATTGTGGAAAAGGCCACAAGAGACCCCCCCAACCCCAGCTCGAAGTGAGCCTCTCCACCCGAAGATCTAAAGAAAACTCACGGAAACACTGGCCCCAAAGGTGATGTTAAAAACCAAGTGACACCTCAAGGCACCCTGCACACTTAGGACAGAACCCCGAAAAGTGACCAACGCAACGGTCAACCAGCTCCAACAACTCAGGAGGAGGTCACTCTTTTGCGCAATGCCCCACGTGCATCGGCGAGGTCGGTTCCGACCCAGCTCCGTTGCTTCGAGACGAAACCGCACACGACGGTCCGGAGATTGGCTCGGGTGCTTGGGTGTGTCTAAGATAGGGGGACCCCCAAAATGACTGGTTTGCCCTAGGTTTCCCTTCCATCTTATTTCAAGAAGGGCATTCTCAGACTCGGGAAATCCAAAATGACTGGTTTCCCCCAGGTTTCCCTTCTCTTCTTACCCCAAATGGACGCTGCTTCTGCTCCTTTTGGCGGGGGGTTCCCCATGGATTCCTTTCGCGTGCCTTTCGCGTGACGTGCCAACCCCCGGCCCGGCGTCGGCTGCGAGTCTCTCAGGCCAAAACCTGGAGGAAGGACTGGTTGCCCGCCAGGGCTGATTTTAGCCTGGCGTTTCCTTGGCGCAGAAGGATGGACCCCTCCAGGCGGGGAGTGGCGACTCCGGGGGCAAAATGGGTGGCCCAGAAAGCAAAGCAAACCACGAGACCAAAACCAATAGTAATCTAAGGAGAAAGGATTGACCTTGAACATCCAACAAGAACAGGGAAGCATTGCCTGGGTGGGCCCCGGGGGGCATTGAACTGCTAATGTGTGCTGCGAAGTTGAATCTTGCCACCTCCCTCGCGCACAAAAATTACTGGGCTCATCTTGCAGCACTTCGTACCAAAAGCCCTTGGGATGCATCCTTGCCTGCCACGCTTTTATTCGAGCCCCCTTTTGGCTTGGTCGATTGGTCCCAAAAAGGAGTGGGGGGTTCAACCACCCAGGGTCCCACCCCAAATCCAGTTAAACGTCTAGCGTTCTGTGTGCATGTATGGGTCTATGTATATATATATATATAGATACACGTATGGATATACACCTACGCATGTACACACATATAGTGTGGTATGGTTGTTTGAAACATAGCTATATATATATATGCAAAATATGTATACGTGCCTTGCAGGGTGTTGCAAATTGTGTTGCATCCGATTCTCTTGGAGCTATTCCTTGTACACTTACCTGCACCTTTGTGTGATTGGCGTTTCTTGTGTGGTTGACCGTTTCCTTGTCAAGTCAACGCCTCTATGGTCAGTTGTTGGGCTTTGGGACAAGTGAGACCCAAATTCCCACCAGCACAGGGGCACCGAACCATTGCCAGTGCTGATGGTGCTTGACTCAGAACCAAAAGCAATAGAAGTTGAAGGTGAAGCTGCTTGTTGGATGCCGAGAAAGAAAGGCTCACGGTCCAACATTCGAACCCCTGGTAACTTAAGACTTGTTTCAGGCCCAAAATTGAACAGAACCGATAGAACGAAGCTAAGCCAAGCAGCGCTCTTGACCATTCAAAGCCTTCCAGCCCGGAAGATGCTCTTCAAGCTTGCCCTGCATCAGCGAATTTGCGGCTTGAGGAAAGGGATCTGCAGGGATTTGCGCCATTGAAAGCTACACTTGACTGGTGGTGTCCAGTCAAACTGCGACGTTGTTGAAGGTTCCACACGAATCGAGGGCCCCATGCCTACTGGCTTAGCCCTGAAACAGTTCGGGTGGGGCTGCCAGTCATGTGAGCCATGCGTGAACCTTGGCAAGGTCATTGGCATAGCGCGGGCCTTCATGGCCCTTGGCCCCTCATGGTCTTAGGTTGCTCAGGCGTAAATGGTAGCCAAACCAGGCCAAGGGCATGGGAAGGGAGACTCCTTTGTACTGCACCCCCACGGCGTCAGTGAGAGTCTGATGGGTTGGGTGGCGATTTCAGCGTTTCCCAAATATCCCCTCCGGAACATCACCCTGCCGAAAGAACGCTCGCCTTAAACCTCCCCCCCCCAAAAAAAAGCTCATGTTTGAAACCGCCCAAATGCGGCAAAATAGAGGAACCCATGTTTTAAACCGCCAAAAGGAGGTAAACCCAGGATTAGCATGGGTCGATCCGTTTTTGCGGATCCGATCGCGGCGATCGCCTGGACGAATTCTTCCTGCCACATCTCTGCATGGTAGTCGGAGGATCCCGCCAGCGCGTCTGCGATCATCACCTCTGCAGACTTCTCAGTTTCATGCTCTAAGGGTCCTGATCCTCCATTTGCTTAAGTTCCCTGGGAGAAAAAACATCACAAAAAACAAAACCAAATTCTTGCCTGTAGTGATAGAACTCCTGTAAAAGCAACAAGGGAACATCAAAGCGTACATGGGATGGTTGGACGCAACCATTTGCTTGCTTCTGAGGGGTTCCTGGCAGGAACCTTCCCACCATCATTGAAAAAGACAAAGCCGTCGAATCGCTCACTGGGAGTCACCCTTCAGCCCGCTTGCAGAAGAGACATGAGAGAGCACCCTGCATGTGTGTCAAATGTGTTGATCGGTGAGGCCGCTAACATCCGCAAACCTCTTTGCAAGCTGCAACAAATCAGCACACTCTCAATGCATCCAAAGCCATGTCCGCATGGCACCCACAGCCATATCTTCAGTGGCTGGCATCTGGCCTGTGCCAAAAACCAAATCACACAGGGGGGTTCCCCTGCCCCACACCCATACTTTCCAAGGGGTTCACCTTTTTGTCTAGCCTTCCTTTTTCCAGATAAACGGCACCTCTCAAAAAACCTATATAGGCCTCCGCACAACGTTTTAGGAGCCCCTTTTTCTCCGGCAGTTGCCATCCAAGCCATCCACCCCGAAGATCTCCGGGCGTCGACTCCGGACGACTCCGAAGATCTCCGGACGTCGGAGCTCCGTCCGTCCAGGTCCCAAACCCACGGCGCCTCTCAAAAACGATTTGCTTTCATAACCACCCTCCAGGATTCGAACCCCTTCTTCTCAGCCGGTTCAACCCATCCTAGCCTCAAGAGCTCCGCTCCGAAGCTGCGTCCGATTCCGGGTCCGTCCGATTCCGGGTCCTTCCGAGCTCCGTCCGTCCCGCCTTCATGGTCTGCACAAAGTCGTGCCTGGCCCGGAAGCTCAGCAGCTTCTTGGCGCGGCAGGTGTCCGCCAAGGTGCCCAGCAAGTCGTTCCTTCGCCGGCGAGCCCGGCGAAAAAAGGCAAACAATTTAACTGGTCAACTCCTTGTGGGATGACATGTTTTTCTTTTGACCGTTATTTTGGGGCCAGGTCGCATTTTTCCTGCACCCAAAGCCCAAAAAAAGGGTTTTGTGGGTGCCACGGATGAAATCGCGGGGACAAGTCTTGGGGTGGCCGCATCGGTGGGCTTTGCTTGGGCTCACGCATCCTGGCGCTGGGTTCCGGGCTGTTTGTGCGACATTGGGTCCGACAGTTCCAACAGTTCCAGCCCTTCAAAGGAAACCATGAGATGCATGGCGATATGAATACATGTGTGTCTGTTGTTTTTTTGGTGTTTTTTTCCCGGACGGTTAAAACAATGGAAGCCCAACCAGGAGACCCAAAAAACCTGTAAGCCAAAAACCAAAAACAAAACGATGTTTCTTTGTCTGGAAAACACGGGTTTTCAGATTGAGTGATTTTTAGGGTACACCTGCACATGTTGTGGACATGTTTGAAGCTTGGACCGGACCTCCGGGCATTTCAGGGCATGTTCACTGATTTCAGCGTGGAATGACACAACTGTCCCCAGAAAAAAAACCAAAAAAAAAACAAAAAAAAACTTAATCAACTTCTGAAATCAGCTTTACTTCTCGCATTCTCCCGAGTCTTGAGAACTCACAACTGACTGTCTCAAAAAAAGAAGCCCGACGGTCCGGCTTTAGATCTTTTCTGGCCAAAGTTGGTGCAAACCCTTGAGCCTTGGACAAGGTCCAACGGCACCAACTGGGATTGGAGGAATCGATCCCAAATGGTGCGGAGTGCGTTCTTAAGTCAGCCCGGGCCTCAAAAGCCTAGATTGTCTTGGATGGGCTGGATCCTTACCCAGATCCGAGCTTTTCACCTCAGTTTCAACGTGACTTTCTGGGGCTTCTAGTAGTCACCCAACATGTTTTGTAGAGGAAGTTCCTTCTGGACACAGACTCCCTTCGAGGTTGCAGCTTTGCAGGTGTTTCGTACTCCCGGCCCTCCATTAAACAACTCAGCGTCTTGCGTGCCGGCACGTACTGCTGATTCCCCGAGACCAGGTCTGCCACCTCCTTCACGCTATGCCTGCGACATAGCGTCGCGACGAAGTGGGACAGCAGCCAAACGAACTGGACCATCCTCAATCCTCCGAAAAAAATGAACGGATGCTGAGTGCTCGAAATGGCCACTGAAGGAACACGGCCGGCTAGGCCCATCAGCCTAGGTTCAAAGATTTGAAGCGGTCAAAATCCCCCGCCATTGGGGGCAATGGTTGCCATGGTCTTAAAACACATCTGTCCAAAATCGGGCCCCTTATGTTTTAGGGGGCCCCTGATGTTTCAATCCAAGTCGAACTGGCAACCGAGAAGTTGGATCCGGGTTCCGACCGAGATCCAAACACACGGACACCTGGCCAACGCTTGGCCTTCCTGCAAGCTGGTTCGATTCAAAGCGCGACCCGCAAAAACACAGAAGACACACTCACGGGGCAAGCCAGGGACTTGGATCATAGGAAGGACGAGTCAAGCAAGGCTCCGAGTTCTTTTTGCTTTCTATGGCTGAGTCACTTTCATCTGGAACCGGGGGTCATCATTCTTCCCAAAGCATTGCAATGGTTGATCCTTTCAAGGGGCTTTACTTGTTCGGATCACCGTTGCGGGCATTTGCTTCGAAGTCTCAGCTTTCCTAGTCGCCCAGCCCTGAAAAAAGATATCAAGCCCATCAAACCAAAAGGGGGCAAAGGGATGATACTGAACACCTGAGGTTCCCTCAGCTTGCCCTGAACTAGTGGTCTTGATTGGTGCTTTTGGACTACCTTTGATTGGGCTTCAAGCAAACCAAGGGTCCGAGTTGCGGGGGGACTGCAATTATGAGGTGTTCAACTGGGATATCCCGTGTCAACTAAGGGAAAGCCAGCACAGCACCCGTTTGAACTGATCGTGCCAACAGCTCAACTAGGGGTTCAAAATTGTGTTGTTCTTCAAGGGTCAATTAAACTTACTTCCTGAGCGGATTGGCCGAAGAAAGTCCGAACTTTGTGTTTGCCACTAAAATAGTCTTCCCAAAATAGGAACTCAGGAAGTGAGTGACACAGTGGTGCACAAAAAGGGGAAATCGTTCCACTGAACAACTTGCTCGGGAAATCCACCCAAACAAAATATGGAAAACTTGGCCAACATCTAGGAATGAAATTTTGTCCAACATATGTTAGTCCCAAGAAAAGGGTGCCATTAGTCTAAGGCTTGAGTCCGAATCAATTCGCTTCACCCATTCTCGTTAGACACTACCAGGGGCTTGACAACGATTTTTGAAGAAGGATCCTTGCCTTAAGGTGTGGAGTCTTCCCCGCGAAAGAAAATAGAAACACAAATGGACCGGGTTCAAGCCCCCCGAATTCCATTTTAAGGACATGGAAGATACAGCTGGAGTCCTGCCAAAAGGGCCCCAAGACGTGAACCCAGCCGCGCCTCTCGCCGGAGCCGATGTTGATGGAAGTTCCATGGACGTCGCTCTGGTATCCCAGGATCAGCGACCTGGCCATTTTCAGAAACATGCGAATATTCAAATGCACAAAACAGCAGGACTTTCTCACCTGGACATTTGGAAACATGTGTAAACCTCAGGATACCAAACATGTGACTCCCATCCACACGAGCAGCGGCAAATGGGGACACGAATCGGATCTTTGGGGCTCGCTCGACGTGTTCAACCGCCCTTTTTGGCTGTCAGCCCTGTCACAAATTATCCAGGCCACGAGGAGCACCAAAACCCTTGTTTTTATAACATGCAAATTTAGCCCATAGAAGTCAAGCTCTGTCCCAAGTCGGGTCAGCTCCTTTAGTTTTCTTCATGGGTGTCCCATACGCTTCAAAGGATACATCCAAACATATCATCCACATGGGCATCCTCCAACAAACCCCAGGACCCGGAGAATAGAACACGTCCAACACATCTCCGGGGCACGTGCAACTCGCTCCGAGGAAGTGGGTTAGCCAATGCAAAACACCTAAACTTCATGTTGGCCACTAAAATGGCCATCCGAGAAAGCAGGGATCGAGTAAAAGCCGCTTCTTCAGCAAGCCTGGCGACGTCTGCCACGTGCACAAAGTCCCGGAAGTTCTGGCCGTCCCCCTCGATGAGGAGGGGCCTGGAATCGACCAAGCGGCCACGCGCGGACGCACTAGCAAATGAAGAGCAACTCACTTCTTAAGTGGCCCAAGAAATCTTACTAAAATGGAAGTTTGTAGAGTCCAAGAACTGGGGATCTGAGGCAAACAAGCGAATAAAGAAGCAAAGACAAAGATGCATGCGCAAAGAAGCAATGTTAGCAGGCACGGAAAGAAGCCAAACACATACACAAATCACACGAGGTCACGAGGGAAATCAGCCAGCCCGCAAGCAAGCAGGCGACGCAAAGCAAAGCGAAGCAAGCCAGCCAGCCAAGCAGAGCAAAGCGAAGCAACGCAAAGCAACAGACAATCACAGACAGACATAGACAGAAACAGACAGGCCCAAACAGGCCGAACAGACAGAGAGAAAAGAGAGACAAAAAGAGAGAGAGAGAGAGAGAGAAAGAGAAAAAAAGGGAGAGAGAGAGAGAGAGAGAGCCAGAAAGACGGACAGACAGACAGACAGACGGACAGACAGACAGGCAGGCAGACAGGCAAACAGGCAGGCAGGCAGACATGCAGAGCAGACAGGCAGACAGGCAGACAGACAGGCAGACAGACAGCCAGCCAGCCACACAGACAGACAGACCAACACACAGACAGACAGACAGACATACAAACAAACAAATAAATATACAAACGAGCAACCAAATAAACAACCAGGTGGGAAAATGTCGCTGCTGATCACATATATGGGTTCTGTGCGGTTGGTTTCAGGCCGATGCAGGCTCGAAGGATGTTCGCAGTTTTTCCGTGTGAGATGGGGATCCTAAATCATGCGAAACCGCGCAGGGTTGCGTGTACCTTTTGTGGGTGACCTTCAAGGGAATCAACCCAAACATATGGAAGCCCCTCCCAAAACCGAGTGCTTTGTAGCTTTCGCAAAGGGAGAAAGCAATGGCGGAGACAGGTCAAAATGGATGGCTGGGTCTAAGCTTTTGATTTAGCCAGCAGGCCCTCCCCATCACTCATGCGTGGAACCGCAGAAGCGCAGAACCAGATGAGTGCGAAACCTTGGAACTGCCTTGAAAGGAACCACACCCATTGCTTAGAAACCACAGTTGCCTGCCTCAGTGTCGGAGAGCTCCTTCTACGCAGCTCTTGGTCAAATGGCCCCCGGAATATAGCAACACGGTTCCACTATTAACCTCAGAAAGAACAGAAAAGAAAGCCCGGGTGGGTTAGGGGTGTTCCGCAAGTCAGGATGGGACTGCCTCTGAAACGCCACACCTCTCACGGAAAATCAATCTGAGGTGAAGTTTCCTGTGTTCCCATTCCCACCCAGGCCAACGCAGCACGCATCTGTGTTGTACAAAGAGCAACCCTCTGGAAGTTGCAGCAACATCAAACTCAATGCATCTTCTGCACATGTATGACGAAAACTATGCATCTATAAATCTACAATTTCATATATATATATATATATATACACCTATGGAGCAAATGCTTGCATAATCATGAACTTCAAGCAAACAACACACATCAATTCAATTAATCCACCCGTCCGTCCGTCCATCCATTTCGGCTGCAGAGATCCGAGGCTTCGGCTGGTTCTGCTTGAGCCGGTCGATGAACTTCCCGGTCAAGATGGCATAGGCGCCCTGCGAGGGGTTCCGAGGCCCGTAGACCATGAAGAAGCGCAAGGACAGCGTCGGAAGCCTCAGGGCCCCGAGACGGGGTGTCGAGAAGCCAGGAGCCAGCGTGGCCCAACGCAAACGCGACGCTCACCTGGAATTTAACATGAAACCCACAAGAACGGGGGTGTCCCCCGCAAAAGGAGTTGCCTCTACGAATGATGGCTTGTTGGCTTCCATGAAGTTCCATGTCAGTCCGCGGGGGTGTATTGTTCAATCCCCCGTGATTTCCCCTGTGATCCCCTTTCATGACCAACGGGTGGTTGTTCAAACCAACCTTTCCCAACACTGGTAAAGCAAATCCTCACCCCCCACACCCCAAACACAGTGATCTCACTATTGCTGAACTTGAGAATCAAGGTTTCGAAAGTACAGCCTCAGGTTTGGCGCGCCTTTCCTACCCTTTTAGGGTACCTACAACCCTAGGCTTTAGCCAAGCTGAGCTTTGTAGCCCACTGATGTCATAACTGGGGCAAAGGATGCCCAGTGTAACCAGGGTACATCGCAAAAGTTAGTCCAGCAAGTAAGGAACTCCCAAAACCCAAGCAAAAGCGTGGATGGGGAACTTTTGTGGTTTGCCAATGTTTGCCAGTGACCTTTTTGACTTTTCCGGGGTGGTGTTAGGGTCCTCTTCATGGATGATGTTCTGCCCTGGTCGCAAGGAGGAAACTGCTCATAGCCTTCCCAAATAGATGCCACGCAGCTACATATATATATATATATGTATATATATATATATATATATGTATACACGTAAACAAACGTCCGAGTGCAAGGGATCTTCTTCCGCAAACGTCTTGGGGTCTCCGTGTCTGTTCCAGCGGAGGTATACAAACATGGCTTGGATGTAGTCACGCTTTTTTGCCACAGCATCCTTTGGCTTCAGCCTCGTTGACACTCGGATGTAGTCACGCACGCGAAGGATATCCTGGTTCTACCCCAGTTTTGGGTTGTCGCTGCATATCTGGCCCAAACTGAACGCTGCCCTCACATTTATTTATGGAAGCCAACAAACCTCCGGCCCTAAGCGGTTAGCCTTCCAAAACTCCACCAGTTTACTCTTCCACAATTGTTGGAAAAGGGTGAACACTCGGCCCGGCCCGAATGTGTACAGGTGAGAAGCTTGTAGAGGTTGTCGTTGGTCAGCATGACGAGCTCCCCCATATACTTCGAGGCTGCATAGGGTGAGGTGGGCCTGAAGGGGTCCGTCTCCGAAAACGGCACCGCCTGGTTCCCGTAGTAGGTCGATGAAGCTGCATACATCACCTTCTCACTGGCTCGAAGAACAAATAGACCAACAAAAACGCCTGAAGGAACCAGCAACCCAAAAAGAAGTGAACATGATACCGATAAAAAGCAAAAATAACAAACATGTCAAGCTTTGGTTGCAAACGACCCTTTGGATCCAAGACTAATATGAAAATAAAGTGAACAACCAGAAGCTCAAAATGGTTCCAATCGCCAAAACACCCCGTCACAAAATGTGTACATTCAGGTTTGGAAACTGTGTGTTTTTGTTGGCTTTGAAGGAGCTCTTGGCACCCGAATGCTTTCTCACCCCTTGCCTTCCGGACTTGTTGGGTCTCGTTCGCCGCCTCGAGCACGCGACTGGTGCCCACTGAGTTCCGCTCCACGTTGAAGGTGCCCATCGTGGGGTTCCTGGGCTCGCTGAACTTTTCCCCGATCGACGTGCCAGGGAGGTGCCAGGTAGGAGCCAGTCAAGACTGACTATGGCATGAATATGTGACATGGTGGGCATTTGCGTCCAACCGCTTTTAGAGTGTCCCCCGCTTGACATGGCAGATGATTGATTTTGCAAAAAAAAAAACGTGGCCGAGCGTGTCACAGTCATGGGGGAAAAGGCAGCCAATAAAACTCATGGGCAGGTACCTTTGATCTCAGGATTCGTCTGAGCTTCCACTGAACTGGGCGGAAACTATGACCCCTTTTTGTTTCATTCGATGCAGCAAATTTGGAGGCAACGGGGCGAGAGGCGAGAGGCTAGCGGACTCGGAATCCGAAGACGTCCAGAAGTGGCATCCTCAAAATTAGGTACCATGATGTTTGGAGGGGAGCTACCCCCGACACCAAAACTGAGAGCACCTCGAAATTTCAGGCTCAACTATGACTTGCTTGCGGAAAAGGCTCTTCAGTGAAGGTAGAACCTTGCTGGCCGCGCCCAGGTGAAACACGCCCTGCACTCCCACCATGGCTCTCCTGCGGCTGAAACTCAGCTTTCCCAAGTTGTTTGGGGGCCTGGTGTTTTGGAGTTCTGGGTCTACCTTCCCTCATTGAGGAAGTTCGGCCTATCCGCGTGGGTGGATACCTGGCATACAGATTGAAAACCTCAGCTCTTGAGGCTTGGCACAGTTGAGGCCAGCCTCACACCTCGAAGCTACCCATCCAAATCAAAGAAGTGCAGTTTTAACAGCTAAAAGCCCCTGCACCTACAAAAAGGAACCTCTGTAGAACATGCTGCAAAAGGCAACGCTCTGATTTTGGCACAAAAAAAACTAGAGGCGAATCGCGGGTCTCCTCAAGCTGTCCATATCCATGATGTCCCCGAAGAAAAACTGCAAGCGCGGGTGGCGCAGGTTCAAGAACAGGAGGTTCCTCGGTCCACAAACTCACCCAAAAGCATTTGTGGGCGGGTTGTTTGAGGTGTGGTTGTGATGTTCCCAGCAACGGATCCCACTGTGCAGAGATATAGTTCCCCCCCTCCAAATGAACAACCTCAAAGTGTCTAGAATCCACCCTTTCTCCAACAAACATCAACCACTAGCACAACGCTTTTGGCCGACTCTCCTTAAAACCATGTCAGATTCTAGTGGGGTCCTTTGCCAATTTTTGAGAAGGATAAAGCTGATTGTATAAACCGCCACTTTTGGGGCCCTGCGGACTGTTTTCCATAAAGCCAACTAGGGCACACCAGGGGGTCTGTAAAGTGTCCTATGTTCAAAACCTGTGGGTCATGGTTTTCGGGCTCGAGGAGCGAGATGAAGTCACTTTGGCAGGGTGAAACCATCAAATCAAAGCAGTTCAACCACAGTCAGCTAGGTATCTGGCTGTGGTCGTCGGAAAGAATCCTAAAGCTTGTCTACAAACTCTATTGATCCAAGCGAGCGGGTGTTTTGATCACGCCACATGCGGGATACATTTGCGAGTCCCAAGTGTGGGAACTGCGTCACGGAGAGTTCCCGCTACCCTCGAATCAGCTTGAACAAAAAAGGCAAATCCTGAGTCCATCAAGGTGACTACAAACCAAAGGTGAATTCGCACCCCTAAGTTATCAAAGTGACTAATAAATGCACCTCTATTACTAAACATGTGTCAGGCAAAAATCCAAAAAGTCACCTCCCCCCCCTACTTGCACTAATCAAATACTACACTTCTGATACTTTCAGCACTTGCCTGGTTCAACTGCCACCCACCAAAAACATGAGGCCTACCTTGCTGTTCAAGCAAGGCACCTCTCAAACGTGAAGCATGAACAAGACAAATTGGCATCAATACTTGTGGACGATTCGAATGCAAAAGTTGCGTTTGTACCCCTCCAGTGGCCGGTTGTACATGTCTCTGGGAAACAGCCGGGATCCCTGCGACACCATTCTCAGCTTTAATGATAGGGGGAAGAAATCGATTTGAAAATACCTCAACATGTATCGACTTTTAAGGCCCCAGAGATACAGGGGTATGTGTCAAAGCAAGGAATTGAACTCTCATTCGCCTTTACAAAACCGCCCCTTTCCAAACCTCCAACAAAAAAATACAGAAACGGAAAAGCGCCACATCAACTTCCAATCGCCAATCGCCGCCCGCCCCATCCCGCCCCTGTCGAGCACATGGAACACATCGGTTGTTTTTGTTTCTTTCTCCGGGCTTCCCCGTCTCCAAGTTGTCGAAGACCCGCACGGTGTAGCCCAAGCCCAGCAGTTGCTCCACCAGGTGGCTGCCGATGAACCCGGAGCCTCCGGTCACCAACACCAGGTCCTCGCCCCTCTTGGGGTCGCCTCGTGGGAGTCGAACCATTTTTCCGGTGAAAAACAGCGACACACCAAAACAAGACACCACAAACTGAGGGGGGGTGTTCTTAGATGAAGATGGAACTTCTAGAACGTGGGGTTCTTTAGCTGAAAATGAGGCTTCTAGAAACCCTCCCAAATGTTCGAATTCCCCTGTGGCGACAAGTGACCGATGAATTCAAGCAAAAAGGGCTCAAACTCGAACAATTAGGCCTGAGCCCCAACAAATGCTGCTTTAAGCGGACAGCCAACCGAGGTTGTTAGAACCAGTCGAAGGGTTGGGAAGGAAGCAAAAGAAGGAAATCAACAAAGAAATGAAGAAAGAAGAAAAGAAGGAAAGAAGGAAGAAGGAAAGAAGGAAAGAAGGAAAGAAGGAAAGAAGGAAAGAAGGAAAGAAGGAAAGAAGGAAAGAAGGAAAGAAGGAAAGAAGGAAAGAAGGAAAGAAGGAAAGAAGGAAAGAAGGAAAGAAGGGAATAAGGAAAGAAGGAAAGAAATAAAAATACAGAACAAAGAAGAAGACAACAAAACAGAAACAAATAAATAAGGGAGCAAGCAAGAAAGAAATAACGAACAACAAAATTACATTCTAAACAAACGAACAGACTTAAATAATAAAGGTTAACCTAAACAATAATACTAATAATTATAAAACAGAAAAGACAGAAAAGCCACAAAGACAAAATAAAGAACACATAAATCAAGAATGAACAACAGAAAGAAACAAACAAACGGTTTGCCCCGGCCTAAGGCCTCATCGATTTGCAGGTCGGCGCAGGGGTCGACTCCAGACTTTCCGAAGACGCCGGCAGGGAACAACTGTGCAGGTTGGAAGCTTTGGAAGCTTTGGCTGCCGCAGACCATCACCAGGACCCAAGTAGAAGCGAACGCAATGCCCGCAGGCCATCTCAACGATGACAAACTCACCTGGACCATGAAGAACGCCGCAGCCAAACACCCCGAAGACCCTGTAGACACCAACGAACCCACATGTGGGTCATAACATGGCATTCTAAGCCTACTTGGGGCAAATGAGGCAAAATATAATGCCTGCCTTAAAGTGATGGGTATGTTTCTGTCCCGCTTGTCTCCAATTCAAACTGCTTCAGGTAGTATCCATATATCACCCCCCACAGAAACATAAACCCCTGCGCATCTTGATTATTCTGGGTTACCTGAGCTTCTCCCGCTATGGGTCTCTCGCACGAGGTTAGAACCCACCCAACATAGTTTCCCTTTTGCAAGGAATCTGCTGTGGCCTTAGGAACCCCAAATTATGGCTGGTAACCAGGTTCGGTCATGGCCGGGCTCAAGCCTGATACCTCGTATCCCCCCAAAACAAATGGGTGGTTTCCGCTTGACTAACGGGTGGTTTCCGCTTGACTCCTCCTACCCCAACCAATACGAACAAAGGGCCCGCTTCGGGACACCCGCTCCTTTTGGGGGCCTCGCCGGGTTTACCCTCGTCCAAAACGGCTCAAGTGCCAAGCCGCCGCGCCCCAACGGGGAGCTTTCGCCCCGCGTGGCCGCCTTGGAGAAAACATACCGCCGCGTGCCCGGATATTTGTTGGGTCACCCTCAACATGGCTTAAATTTAAATGACCTGTCACAAATTGGGTGAACTTGAGGACCTTAAAAAGAGTCCCCAAACATGGCTCTTTCAAAATGATGCACATTTGTTGGCGCCGGTCGGGTGCCCTGAATTTCACCGCTGCCGAGCGCTTCACGCGTTCTGGGTCGCGACCTCCCCCGTGAGGTCGCTAGAGTTGCAATCAGATCGATGTATAAGCACGTCGTGTATTACACAAAACGTATTCTGGTATATCAGAGTGGTTTTTACTAGGTGATATTAAACTATGGTACAATATGTCGGTGCTTCACGTTAGACGATGTGATGTGTGCTTTTGTGTTATGTGTCTTGTGTTTAATCGTATTGTCATTGTACCATTGTTATCGGGTGTTATGTCGTACCACCTTGTAGTATAGCGTCCTAATTTAGATTGCCATCTACACTAATTAGCATATACTTATATAGGCAGTGCATATGTATGTCAATATATATATATATATATACATGTGTGTATATGTGCGTGTATGCATCCGTGTGTGTCTACAAGGATGTCGTATATCAAACAAACAAACATGCATGCAGTGCTAAAACCAAAAAACCAAAAGCGCATTTGTCTGCCGCCATCTCCACCCGTTATCACCGGACTCATGGCCCCCACGCTCTCGCGTCGCGCCTGTGAGCGTGACATTCCGAACTGCAGGCAGGTGAGTTCTTGACTTCTTTGCCTTGCCCTGTCCGGCTCGCGTGCGGCAAACGGCAGGGCCCAGATGCAGGTCTCTTTGGAGGGCTTCCGGTTTGTGACGCGTGCGTTCTTTTTGTGCCAAACGGAAGCCATCCTTTTTGGGGAGCCCCTCTGTCGGAGAACGCACGTAGCCTGAGCCCATGGCACTTGCCGAAAACAACCCGAACCGAAGCAGCCAGCACAGGGCACAAAACCGTGGCCACCTTTGAGGTTCCGCCTCTTAACATTCAAAGCCGCATGGAAATGGCCCCTCCTTTTGTTGGTTGACTTTAAAGGGAAACGTATTTCCAAAAAATGAGAAAACAGGGTGGAATCTGGGCAATCCGATCTCCCGCCTGGATCTTTGTCGGTGTCATTGGCTGTGGTTGTCTCTACTTTGGTCGACATTGCGTGCCGGCGCCGGCATCGCTCACTTAGCCACATGCATTTACCAAGCGTCCTGTTTCCGTTGCTTCCTGCAATCAGCTCAATCCTGGTCGTGCTGTTTCTCTGCCACATGTGGTGTGAAGAATGAGCTCCACATCTGATCTGGGTGAGCAAGTGCCATGATTCGCATGGGCGAATACGGTTCGAGACATGGGCGCAACTGGATTCCTTGCAATCGCAAACGATTTTTGAGCCCAGCGGACGCAAGCAGCAAATAGTTGACCGCGGAACGCCAGCAAGTACTAACATGCATCCCCAAGAGCGGAATCTTGGGTTCATGTTAATCTTCAGAGGGGTAAACCACATGCCGTCAACCAGTCAGAGGCCTCCCTATGAGCCTCTTGCATGTGTTAAGTCAACACCAGTGCGCCCTCCTCGCAAGACGCGTACAAAGTACGTCCTGGTTCGTGTCTGGAGCTTACCTGCATCTTCCTTTGCAGACAACTGGCAATGTATCCACTGGCCCCATTCTTCTGCCCTTATCACAGTCACCCAAGTGGCAGGTCGACAGCAACCACCCCATTTTCCAACCAGCCAGAAATAGTTCAAACAAACCCAACCCCGGCACTGCGTCAGCCAGCACTGGGCTCGGGACTTCGACAGGCAGCAGCAGAGCGTTCCTTCGAGTTGCAGGGGCAAGCCATCCTTTCACCGCTACAAGGCAGCCCTGTGCACAGAGTCGGGAAAGTGGCCAGGAGTCTTTTCGAAAGGGAGGTTTTTTTGAATCACAACCGAACCATTGTCAAACCACAGTTGCAAGGAATATATTATCTTTTGGCGGCCTATTAACCTAGGAGCCTCTGTGAGCCCGCTGTTGCGCGGATGCGAGGCCCAGCTAGCTTGCAAAACCAAAGCAAGCAGGAACGAGTCCACGAGCATGTGGGACGTTGGGCTTATCCAAGCCCAATGTTTCAAATACGAGTCGAAGCAACGAGCTATACAAGTCGAGATGCTGTTAGCCTTGCTCGCCACGTCCTGAAACATGACCTCTTAGTTCTCCGGCCTCCGAAACCTTGTTAGATTGGTGGACAAACTGGCCTTAAACTGGGGTCAAACACCAATGTACATTCAGAAAGGGGATCATATCTCACCTACAGGCGCCTCAGTATCGGGGACTGCCGACAAATGCCATCCAAAAAACCAAACGATCCAAGGCAAGCATTGCGTTTTAGCAACCAAACACTCAAAGTCGTGGGTTCTTGGGCCGGCGATTCGGGTGGTGTGGGCAGCGAACAGGCATCCCAAAGAGTTTCTCAAAATCATGTCTCCACCTTTCTTCCTCCCCTCATCCCCCTGTCTGATCCTTTGTCCCCATTTGTATCCATCTCTTGCCCCTGTCTTTCCCTTTTTGACTTTGTCTTCTCCAGGAGCAGGGAAATTCCAGAAAAAAAGTCTTTAAAGTTGGTCATAGTAGTATTGGTCTTTCCCTTTTTGACTTTGTCTTCCCGCATCTCTTTGTCACCTTGGTCACCAAACTCCCCATTCCCGAAAAATCCCCGGCAGAGAGAGAGAGAGAGAGAGATACCACCCCGAGCGAGCCGCAGGGGGCCGTAGAGGAGGCTGGGCTCTGGCTCGAAGTGCCAGCCGGTCTCGTCCGAGTATCTTGGCAGAGATGGGCTATGTTCCACCCCTCCAACTGTGAAAGGAAACCAGGACAAGGGCCATCGATTTTCCGGGGCCAAATTTTCTGGGCTTGATGGTCCACCATTTTCTAGTGATCATTTCATGGGCTATGTCCCACCCCTCTGAGATGAAACCAGGACAAGGGCCATCTATTTTCTACTGGTTGCCCCTCACTAAAATGGACCAATCAGGGAAACACAAGGTGAAAAGGTTGGCTTTGGGCAAGCGAGGAGATGGGCGACGTTCGACCCCTCTAAACATGCGAATCGACCGAAACCCGTGACCCGTTGCATGGATGCGGCCACATGTGCGTTCTTGGTGCAAGCTGGAACCCGGCGATCAGAGCACTTGTTTTATTATTGGAAATTAACATTGCTTTAACATCCTCCTGCATTCCCTTTGAAGGGGCCCAGGGCCTAGTTGATTGATTATGGTGGACCTGTCGAATCCAAACAAGTCATCGTGTTTAAGGCTGCGCCCTTCAATGACCTGGACCAAAACATACCTTCTACCTTCACATACCGGCATCCTTGATATACCCGAGGAAGGAAGGGGGTTCTGGGTTCCGTGGCAGTGTAGGAACGAGAGTGAGTGTTCGCGGGGCATGTGCCAAACGAACCGGAAGTTAAATAGGAAGTGAGTCATGTGCATTTGATCTGCCTGAAACACAATGCATGAATAGTTTGAAGGCTTTTCATCTTCAAACCCGTTGGAAGCAATCACATAACATTCCTTTCCCATAGATCCAGAGTGTATATGCTAGCTGGTGCTTGGAATCCTTCAAAGCTGGCTCATCTGCTCCTTGGTATGCGGCACAGTGGCCATCTGCTCACAATGGCTCATCTCTGAAAGCTAGCCGAAAGTGAGGGTTCGAACTTGGCTCCGGAAAGATCTACAGCTTTTGCCCGGTTCACAAAGACCATGTTCCCAGGGCTCCCCGAACCATTTCAAAGGCACCCAGGGTGCCTTATTTGCCGTTCGACCACATCTATGACGTACCCCACTTCAAGTAAGCTCACTTTGGGCCGGACAGGCGCTATTCAAACCCATATTTTCAGAAATCCTTGACCATGCGAGTTCTATTTGTAGGCACCACATTTCGTCCCGCCATTTGGGCACAGGAAAAAACACAAGAGGAGACTTCCACCGAGGGCCCGGCGCCGGGCCGAGGATCTCCACGCCGAGCCCGGGTTGTGCGTGGGCCTGCGGAGAAACCACTTCGTTTTGTTGTTGTTTGTCGTTTTTGCAGTGGGAGGGGGGGGTGGGGGGGTCCCTTCTAGAAAACCATCAGATCCCTGGTTGAAAAGAACGCTGGTTGAAAAGAATGGGGAATGAACCCCTAGATTTGTCGATGTTTTCTTTTTTAGGGTCTCAAAAGGGAAATGTATGCCTTGAGGTGGTTGGTTTCATTTTGGTTTCCGTCTTGATCACAAGAAAATGGTTCCATCTTGGTTTGCTGTTGGTTTCTATTTTAAGATTTGGTGTCCTTTTGGTTTACCTTTTGGTCCCCCTTATTGAAATTGCATCCAAAAGGGATCTGATTTCTATTGCACTGGCTGAGGACGTGTTTTTTTGTCTCTGGAAACAGGGAAGTTCGCCCAATCAGCATTTGCAGTTGGATCTGCTTGATGGTTTCCCTCGTTACTTATGGGGTCTGGGATTGGTGCTTCTCAAAGTTGAGAATCCTTGTGGTTGCTCATCGCACATTTATGGTAGAACCAAGAGCCCGGTTACCTGACACAATGGCAACTGCGTCCGGATGAATCACCTGCCAAGCCTGACATATGGGCCCATCAGGAAAGGACCCCCCCAAACTTCAGGCTTCTTCTCCTAACTTCAGGAACTTCAGGGAGTGAGCTCAAACTTCAGGACCCCAACTGACATATGGGCCTAACTTCAGGTACTTCTCCAAAGTTTCCTTTTGCTCAGATTCAAAGCCTACAGGAACTCAGGAAGTGAGCCATGGGCTTCCGCCGCAAGCCAAAGACCAAAATGGGGGGGCCCCGTTTGTGATGAACAGTTTCCCCATCATTCACCTTAAAATCCCACACATCCGCTTCCCCGCAAACCCACGGAAGCCAAATCTCAAGGTTTCACCGTGCACCGCGGACCGTCGTGGGCCCCGCCTTGTCGTAGAAGAAGTCCCCGCCCGAAATCTCAGAGGACGCGAGGACCTCGCGACACGGGTTCGAAACAATTTTGCGAGTCTCAGTTGCCCAGTTTGGATCCAGGAATCAAAGGTGGGGGTGTCCTTTTGTTCAGCTCGGATTACCCCCCCCCCCAACATAGGGCCAGTCAAAATAGATAAAGGGGAAACCACATGGATAATCCAGGTGCATTCGCTTTGGACTTCTGTGAGTTTGTTTCACACCTTTTACCTCAAGGAAGTTTAGCCAAGATTCCGCTGGGATAATCACCTTGACCAGGGGGGCTGCAAGGGATGGTTCAGGGTCAGTCATTCCCTCGATTTGATGTGCAGTGCGTTGGGCCTCCTGGTTCTTGATTGAAGCATGGGAGGCCACGGCCTGTTCAGCTGCAATTATTCCAAACCACCAATCAGACCCGCTTGGATTGATGGTTTGGATTGGTGGGTTCGGGCCGGGTCTCTCCCAGACTCTAGCAGGCCAGCTATGGTTCATCAAACCACCAACTTTAAGGGTTAACTGAGCTGGCGTTGCAGGCGTTGCACAGTTGACGTAGTAAGACAGCCCAACCCTCCTTCCCCCATTGCAAGGAAAAGCTAGGACTCGTGGGAAAACGTTGCTTCAACAAACAAAAGCAAGGCATCCGGAAGCACTGCTTCCGTGCCCTGCCTGTTCTTTGAAACCAATCACCTCACAGAGAAAACTTGTCTATGAATGGAAATCAGCGGGCCAGCCCGTCCGATTGTTAATGGTATGGGTTTGCCGCTGGAAAAGCTCGAAACCACATGCTTGCCTGCAATCCTGGAAAAAACAACAGCCTGCAACTCCATCCTTGCATGCCAACACGATGAAGACATCATGACGCTGACAGGCACCCCCAGCAACATCACACGATAGGATTCTGACCTTCTGCCAAGTTTCGCCCATGCTTGACAACTCGCCTACTGAGAAGGCGGACAACAAAAGTTAGCCCTCTGGAATTCCTGGCTGGAAAGAGGCCAACACTAAAAGACCGAAAGGTCAGAATCGAAAGGTTCGCCTTGGTCCCACTCTCGACCAAATTTGATCATGGATGAGCTGTGCAAACAGGAACCCCCGTCCCCCTACCCCCGGCCAAAAAAGAAGAGGGAGGCTTTTGGATATATTTGGGCACTCCCTTCTGCAAAGGCAGGCTTCCCCAATGCCCAGCTGGATGCTGGCCGGCTGGGAGCCGCACATACTTTTCTCCAGGAGTCAAAGTGATCTTCTCCTTCAACTCTGCGTACTGGTAGCCTTCATCTGTAGATATGATGCCCACCTGGCGGGCTGCTCAAACACGCCTGCCCGCTGTACTTTGTGCAAAGCGATAGAAGACCTTCTCCCAATCCCTGGTAAGGAACAAAATGGCAGATTTAAACACATAATGCTTTGCAGTCTCGCACGAAAGGCAAGCAGAACCTATCAACCATCCAAAAAAAGGACAGGCTCTTTGCACGCCTCAAGTTTTAGGCTCACTTCCTGAGTGGATGGCCCAAAAAAAGTAACCGAATTTGTTGTGCAAGCACTAAAATGGTCCAACCAACCAAAAAGTGACTAAACTCCATGAACTTGGGCAGTGAGTAGAGCATCCCCCGGCCAAAGGGGCTGGCGCTCCTGCTCAGTGGGCACCGAGGGGACCGCCGCGCTGGCGATGTGGTGCAGACCCTCCTTGTCCTGCACCGCGTTTTTCGGTTTTTCGGCCCGGAGACGGGGACGGTTAGGTCCGGGAGGTGGCGTGAGTATTCTCCAGCTAACCCCTTGGTAAACTCGGGTGGGGTGAATCACCATTTAGCCAACCCTCAGACCATCTAAGAAAAGGTGCCTGTATCGCGGGGCCTTGCTTGGAGGAGCTTCAAGAGAAACCAAGGAACATGATTTGCAGGTAGGGCGATTAAAGCTGCCCCTACCACCCCTCAAACACACCGATCCCAGTGTTGGGCTATGTTCGTCTTCCGCAAGGTGCATGAGGTCTTAAAAGGGTGTAACGATATGGGTGCGAGTGTTGATTGATTGAAACCGTTGGTGGACGAAATTGACATCGAGATTTATATGCAGCTGCCAATGTTCAGGGCTTGCCCATTCAAATTGCCGGACAAATGTATGAGAAACACCAAATAACTTGAGAAGGGGAGACACGAAAGGTAGGATACTGTAAAGTGGTCCCCCGAATGAGTCGTAAAGTGGCTTCCCCGAATGTGTCCTCTAAAGGAAAGGAAGGTGCGCGTGGAGCTCAACAGCTTGAGCATGTTAAGAGGCAATTTCCGTTCCGCGAAAAAGGGAAGTACTTGTCGACCATGTACAGTGGGGCACTGACGAAGCGAGGCAGGGACAAGGTCCACCGTGACTGTGCGAAAAGCGGACCGAGGTGTGAAGCGAAGCGAGCGAAAAGAGTGGCAAAAGGAGCGAAGCTGCCAATCAGGCACGCAGGGTATAGATACATGTACCTGTTGGCATACCTATGCAGACCTGTATTACATTTTTACATAGGCTCTATGCATATAAAAGTATATACATACGTATATGGGTCGGTATTTGTTCAGAGGAAATTCGGAGATAACGTGCCCAAGGGAAGCCCAAAACTGCAACTTTGACCAAAGCCCCACTTGCACAGTAGGCGGTGGAATGAAAAAAGCAAGCCAACAGCTTCTGCTGATGCGTGTTAACTAAGAGGGCGGTTCCCCCTGCGGGCTTTGCCATAGGGAACGCTGAAACAGCCGCATTTAAAGAGGCAAAGGATAAAAACCCAAACACAAAATATGAAAGTTGCGTTCACTAAAGGAAGCCAAGAGGGTCAGGAGTACCCCCCCCCTGCAGCCCCCCCCCCCCCCTCCCCCCAAACACTGGGCCACTGGGAAGCTTTTGGGCAGACAGCTGCAGGCCCCAGGCCCCAGGCGCGAGGCGGCAGCTGAGGCGACGGCCAGGCGCATCAGCTGAACGTTGTGAACTGCTCCCAGCGGCTGACCTCGGATCGCTCCCGCGTCTTTAAGAACTCTGGGAGGAGGGTGCATGACTTCGCAACAAACCACCGGATCAATCATACAGGAATTGGCATGCATACACACATATATATATATGCATTACATACATAGACATATATGTACATATCTATATGCATGAACACATGTGCGCACATACATGTATATACCTGTATTAATCTAGATATCTAGAAACCCACATGTGACGATTTGCTCTGTTCATACGGCCCGGGCCCGTCTTTAAAAAAGATGGCCATACGGCCTTCCAGGTGTATGTATATATATATATCAATATCCCTTGGTTGCTTTCTGCTCCCCTGCTGAAAGTTTGACTTTTGGTGGTGTGATGGAAAATCCATTCGTTGGCAAAAAGTTAAAGCCCAAACATCCCTTGGCAGCATGCACCAAAGGAGAGATGGGTGTGTCTGTTTTTTGGAGCCCCCCAAATGGCTGGGTGTTCCTTGAGGTTTCCCTTTAAAGCCACCAAAGAAGGGGTACCCTCAAAACCTCATATCGGTGCCGCTGACCATGGGAGAGGCAACCGAGGCGCCGCCCCGGAGCGCCAAACGCCCCAAAGCGGCCACTGCCAGCGGCAGCTTCGGCACCTCGTCAGCTGCCCCGGATGGGTGGGTTGGAGCCGGAGCCGAGTCGTCTGTGGTCAGGGTGGTTTGGTGGTTTGGTGGAGTGGTCTCCCATGTACCCTCCTACAAGAACCAGGGGGTCAAAATTATCCAGGTGGTGTGTGGTTTGAAGCCGAGTCGATGGTGTTGGTGCGTAAGGGAAACCCTTTCCTGCTGGAACTTGGATTGGTCGCATTTGCTCTCAAGAATCCAGGGTACCTGGAGCCAGGTGGGTTGGAGCCAGTGACTTGGTGCCTCGGAGATTGGTGCTTTGGCGGTTGAAAAGTGGCTTCCCATTAACCCTCCTACAAGAACCAGCGGGTCAATTTCCCAAACCACCTATCCAAACCACCAACTAAGGGGGCCTAGGGAGGCCCAGTTGACTGGTGGTGTCCACTAAAATTGCCGCTTTGGAAGGTCCAAAAAGAGGAAATGCAGAAATGCAGGGATCCCTGACATGAGCCGCTTTTGGGGTTTCAAACATGAACCTATTGCAAGGAAGCACGTCACGTGCGAGCAAAGCCCAGGGTTCGGGCTTTTTGGACACTGGCGACAACTACCCAGCTGTTGCCCCCACCAAGACATAATATGCCGGATTCTGCTCCATACTGAGCATTAAAATGAAACAAAGTTCACGCACATCCCAATGAATCACTTGCTACAGATCCCGCGCTCAGCTCAATTTGGAGGACTGATGACGCACACAGCAGGTCACTCCTGGGATTAGGAACCGCACACCGCAATGACCGTGTCTGAGTTCATGAGTTGGTTGGCCCAACGAGAACTTCGAACTGTGTGTTTGCAGCACACAAAAGTGATCCTCCACAAGGAGTAACAAGGGTTTGTTTATCTCGCTCCCGAGAAGGGAGATGCTCAGATCCCCACAAGTGATCTTCCACAAGGATCCACAAGGAATACAAGTTTCATAAGCTGGCGGCGGATATGGAATCTGAGCGTAAACCTGGGAGTCCGCAGGAGTCTATTCCCATGTTCCGGGAGGTTCCCATGAGAATTCGTGAGGTTATGACTACCTTTGGTGAATCCCGGTATTCATGGCCGAACCACCTCCATTTGCTTAAGTCCCCTAGAAAAAAATCCAGTAGTGATAGACTCCCTTTAAAACCCTTTAAAACCAACACGAACAAAAAAAACTTAACCAAACGGAAGACCAAGCCCTCGCCCAGCGCTCCTGGATGTCCTTCCTCCCCCCTTTCAGGGGCCCGGCAAAGGTGAGACCCGCAAAGCCGGTGAAGTCCCCGCGCTTGCGCACCGGCGCGGGGGTGGGGTCGCAGCTTCCTGGCGGCGAAGAAAGAAGAGGCGAGTTCCGATTTTCGGTCTTACCGGGCAAATAACCACCTGTGGTATCCCCACCCTCCTTTGAAATGCCCATGTAGCTCAGTTGCATTCTGCTCCCCTGCTAAAAGCTTAACTTTTAGTGGTTTAATCGCACGCTTGTTCGATCCGGTTGCCTCTACGGCCCGCTATGTGCAGCTGGAGAGACCTGTTGATTGTACAACGGGACATGCAAAAAAAAACTACTACACTCCTTGAATCCTCTGGATTTTGGTCCAAAGCTGGTACCTGCGAAATCTCAGCCTGCTCTTCGCTCTCCGGTGTGTCGAGCACCGTAGTGAAGTTTAATGGAAAATCCATTCGTTGGCAAAAAGTTAAAGTCCTAACATTCAAGCAAAATGCACCAAAGATAGCATATATAGCTTTCAGCTGGGGAAATATGATCTAACCGAAAAAGGGGATCACTATGAAAGAAACCTTCATGACGCCGCGATCCAGTGAGGTCCCAGTTCTTTCACGTTAGTTGCGAGAGAATCCCCCCCACCGGAACAGCTCCCAACGGACAGTTCCCATCCTCACCCTGCAAGCTTCCATTGAAAAGAGGGTTTGGCAACAAGAGGGTGGGCTCAAAGAGTTGGGTAGATGTTCTAATGATTCTTTTGTACTCACCCAAAGCCGCCAGAAACCCAACAAGTTGACCTACTTGGCATAGCAGGAACTAGCTAACTAAGGGAACCAAACCACCCATCAAAAACCTGAAAGGACCCTGGCTGGTTACCAACTCCGTCAACTCCGATCTAGTTGGGAACCACCAGTAAATCCCTAGTCAGCCCGCCTGTAAACCATGATAATTGGGGTTTCCAACCATTTAGCCTTGCAATCAACCAGGGATGCTGGGTTGTAGGATGGAAGAGACTGCTGCAGCCAGCTTTCAAGACAATTGCGAAGACTTGTACGAGGAAATGGACCCTGTAAGACAGGGAAAGCAACCATTGAACATTAGCACTAGGGGGCCATTCAACCCAGGCAAAGTTCTCGTCGCATTCCAAGGCTTGCTGATCCAAATATGTTTGCCAAAAACACGCCCTCTCTGGGTAGCGGCACCTGCCAAAAGTTGGAGAAGGGATTGCTTCATCTAACACATCAATAAATTAACCTGTCCCGCTTGGCTCTTCCAAGCTTGCGCGAAAACATGCGAAAACGCTTGGGTGGGCAAGGCTTTGAAAGCTTTGGGCAAGGCCCCACGTCTTGCGAAAGGCGCCGGGTGTGCGTGCATCGTAGTTGAAGGTAACCTGGGCACAGGACAAAGCTAGCTGTTTATTGCCCCTTGCGCGCACGCACAGCCACAAATGTTCCCAAACATTTTGCTGTAAAGGTTGAAGGAACAACCAGAGAACGTAGCCAAGATATTTGACAAGGATCCCTGCTACAACTGACAAGCAGAAATAACGAGCACCTTAAGCAAGTCCAAACAGCTACGGGAACCCTTTCTCCTGGCACAAATCGGAGTTTCAATAGAAAGCACCCACGCACCACTGGAAAAGTTAGCTCAATCGACACCGCGGGACCGCTGGCCTAAGCCGAAGCTGGCTGGAATTACACCTTGCATGGTGGCGCTTATTGGCGCTTGGAAAGGAAACGCTTCCGTAGGGACATGGTCCCTGCTAAAAGCAACCGCCGAACACAACTGAAATCATTGCCGCAACAAGGCAACATGTCATCCTCTTGAGACGTCCTAACTAACTAATCGCCAAGCTGCAGGTCTGTAGAAGTTGAGGAGTGGTCCTGGTCGAAACGTGCGATTTTCCGCGGCACAAGGCTCCAACCGTCATGGGGTTCTTGGCACCCGGCAGCCCATGACGCCCATGACACCAGACTTTCCGTAGCCACCACTTTCCGAGCTTAATTCAAACGGTGGGTTTCTGTTGGTTTCCTATTCCCCTAAAAAGAAAAAACGCAATCTGACTGCTGCCAAAGCTCTGGTCGTCAGCATAAAGGCGGTGACGGGATGGGTGGGCATAGGGCCTCCCCTTGGCAGCACCTGCGAGCTGGTAGGGACAATGTTGCTCCAACCTGCTTTTGTGTTCATTCCCAGTTTACTTGGGGACTCTGCTTGATTACTTGTTTACGAGACCTCCATTTTACTTGGAATGCAAGCCATAAGCCCTCCCACCCTCCCTCCCTCCCAGCTTTTTGGGTACAGTTGAGTAGAGTTTCCGCGGGAGGTGGAAGAAATGCAGATTCGAATGGCCCGATGCTTCTTCCCTCTTAAGAGACAAGGCACTCAAGCTTCAAGCCTTTGCACCGTGGTGCAAAAATGCCCAGACTGCCTTCAGTTCGGAGAAAGATGACAATTCCCTCATCTTGGTTCAGTCATGTTTCCATCATTCCCTTTGGGCTTGACATGGGGTAAGGGGATCAATAGAGTTGGGTGAAAGCAATTAGCCGGCACAACTACCCCGTGTTGGTTTTGTCATGCCCTTTACCTATCCACAACAACAACATGCCAACCTTCACCTGTGAGTCGCACGTGGCCATCGCTCTCCCCGACCCGGCTGCACAAACACATGACCGCCTGGATGTCGTCGAATTGGCACTTGTGGTACCCGCAACTCAGCGCCACCTGCGAACAAAACATGGCGCTTGAACAGTAAATGTGCAATGCGCTGAAACCATTGCTCTCTCTCTCTCTCACTCTCTCTGCCGTTTGCGTTCAGAGGGTCTCGACTCAGCCAGGCAATTTTGATCATCCCCCAGCCTGAGATGGGCAGTCGCCCAAAAAAACAATGACTAGTTGCAGCTGTGGGGCAACCGGTTCAACCATAGGCAACCGGTTTGCCGCTCAGATTTCAAATTCAAACCCATTGAGACTTGTGGGTTCAAATAAGGTGGGTAGAAAGATTTACACAGGCCTTAGTCTAAAACACATATGAAGCTAGGTAGTAGGACCACCTACCAACATGGCCAGTGCGGGTTTTGGGCTCTCAATTGGCCTTCCCAAGAGGCTGCGCCTGCCCTACTGGGAGGCTGGTATCGACGATGCTGGCCAGTCGCACACCATCCACCTCAAGTTCGCACATATCCCCTAGACTCTCGCTCAGCTGGGATCCTACAGGGCACGTGGGGGGGGGAATTCCCGCAAAAGAGTTTGGCGACCGCTGCTTCTTTGGCTCACAAGCCGGGCTCGCAAACGCCCGAGATCAACTGCATGGAGCAAACGCCGATCGCCGAATCGCGTCAGGCCCCGGCAAAAGCGGAGATGCGGGCCTTGAGCACCTTGCCCGCGAAGCCCGGACGACAGTGCGAAACTCTCGGGCGTGTCTCAAAATAAGAAACACAACCTGGCGGGTTCCTTCCGGTTGTGCAATTCAATCCCCGCCCCCAAATTGGGAAAACGTGGCTCCAAAAGAAATTGCAAGCAAAAGGGTTGATTAGGTTGAGACCATCCGCATACCTTCGGTTTCCGAACACACCCAGGACTCCTCCATCCACTGGGGCCGTGGTTTAAACACCTGGCCTCCAGTCGGAGTCGCAGCCATCCTTTGCTCGCGAGCTTCTCTTCGGACTCCAGGCCTAAGTTCGGGCCGGGGCCGACCAGTCACTGGAAAGAGACAGCGCCTGAGAAAGGGCCGAATAAGCTCTGATTGGATCCGTTGCAGATGTTGCACCTTGGCAACCATAGCAATGGCGCCAAGGGCAAATAAACTAAAATAAGATGATGCTTTAGCAATGGTCTACGCCATGGGCAGCTTCAAAGGAAACCCTAAATGAGTTGACGCTTAAGCCGCGTAAACAATGATGGCTGGACCAACCCTGCTCCGAACTTTTCGGAAGTCCGTGCGGTTGCCATCAACGTCACCTGTCAAGTGGTGGGTTCAAGTTCATGTTGATTGACTTTGATCACCTGAGCCACGGTCGAAGTATACACTCACCCTCACTAACATGAGTTGAATATGCGTCTCGTTTCTTTGTGCATGTGGGATATTTGGTGAGCCCTCCAAATGCCGCATCAAAAAATGGACCACTGGTCATGCTGACCGAACCTTTTCAAACAATCATAAAAGTAGACATGAGGTCTGCTCAAAAAGACAGTGTTCTTCCAAACCCCTCCTGTCATCTCCTATTGTAGAGAGGGGGGCCGAGCTCTCACTTAAGAAATCCAAAGGGGTCCTTCACGGCCTTTGCGTGATTCACGCGTCACCTTTTGGTTGGCAAACTCAGTAAGCTTCTCTTTGTATTTCGGTCAATGTTCAGCCCCCGGATTCAAATCTCTAAGCCAAGGTTTGCTGAGTTTAATGTTACCCCACATGGGAGAGTAAGACGGCCCCCCAAGTGGAGCACAAACTTACTGGATATTTTTTGCCCAAACCTCGCATTACAGTAACCTCCACAAAAGGTATGGACAGCCGAGGCTTTGCAACTTTCTTTCGATGGGTCGAACCCCCGGATCAAATGGAACCCAAAAAGGTCCCAAGAGAAGATTCGTCTGCAAACTAGGTTTTTGTTTTCTTGGAGTTCCATGTGGGTCTTAAAATAGAAGACGTCCCAATTGGAAGGTTTTTCCCTTTTGGCTTCCTCCTAAAACATCCCCCCATCCACGAAAACCGGCGTTTTTTTTCTTCCCTTTTTGTGGATTTGTCTTGTGGCTTCGCTTCAAGTAAAAGACTCACGTAAGCCCAGGGAACCAAGCGGGCGCCGGCCGGGCGAAGCCGAGGTCGAGGCCCAACGGCCCGGCAGCCACAAGCTCCGAAGCCACGTAGAGGCCCCACAGCAAACCCGGGCCCTTCGTCACCTAGCGGCGCCCCAAGCGGGGCGGGGCCCCGGAATCGGGGAGAAACGGACCGCAACGGACCTTGAAAAAACGGAAGCCCAATGATTCGCCCGAGTGCACACCCTACCAAGCCAACAGGGGGTGCCCCGTTCTGTCAATTTCCCGGGCTTGACACGTAGGTGGCCCTTTTACCGAACGCACTCGGATTACCACTAAACATGAAGGTTGTTCGGGTTCCATGTCAATCTGCAGAAGGGTCCTTATAGATGTGCTTGGGATTCTTCTTGCCCCCATGTGCCATCTGCTCTGAAGTGAGTGGCCCGCAGCAGACGTGGGCTGAGTAGCATCCACCAGTACTTTGGGTCCAATTATGGCAGTCAGAAGGGCGTTCCTTCTGCGATTCTCTCGGGCCTCCACGACATACCCCGAGCAAAGGCTGAGGATATACAACCGTCTCGCTTAAACATAAGTCACACTGACCAAAAGACTTGGAGCCATAGCCTGCGAAAAGTCCAATCCGGTCGAAGCCGATTTGAACCTGTTCCCAAACCAATAGGTACTCATGAACATTTGGAGATGCGAAATCCACAATTGGAGTTCCAGACGCAAAATGTGTACTCACGATACGATGCTTGCCCCATCCTCCAATGTTTTGGCCCCCTGAGCCACAAAGTGCGACAGTCGCTCGCCTGCAGGCAGTAGCCCTCTGGCCTCAGCGACCAGAAATCGATCGCCTCTGGTGGCCTGAGCCTTTGGGGTGGGCGCGGGGTGGAGAAAGCTGAGAGGTCCCCAAGTTCAAATTCTACGGGGCAATGGCATCAGAAGCAGTCCATCAACCACCCGTCCCGGAAAGCTCCGGCCTGGTGCGGGGATCTGAATGGGTGTGCCCGAAAGAAGGGACCACCACAAGTGGCAGGTTTATTCTTCGCACCAAATCCGAAAGGACTCCCTGAATGTCAGGAAGCAACACTCGCAAATCAATGTAACAAGATGAGAACTGATACCGGCATGCTAGTTTAATACATGTGCAACATCCAGCTTATATTTACAATCTGGAATGATATGTGGCCAAATCATTGACGTCGCTGCCTAAAGGGCCTGATAAGGTCTGATGGGGTTTATGTGACTTGAGTTCACTGTGAGGGTGAACCACCATGAAAGTAACGCCCACCGCCTGCAAAAAGCAGAATGGGTTACATGGAGGTTTGACAGGTGACAGGGGTATTCCAGAGATACTTGGTTAAGCAAGTTAAGTCGATAGATTTACACTTAGATCAGTGGCAATTGAACATGTCACCGAGTCACCAAGGGGAGGGCGGCAGGAGAACTCAGATCCTAAAGAAATTAGCCAAAGACCCACAGAGCTACTAAACAAAACGAGGATGCATCCTAGCAACCCTCGCGAACTTTCATTTGGCTTGCCTTCTTTTTCCGGAAGCCCGAAGCGCATGGGGGATGCGCTTTTGGCGCAGGCATCAGAACAGGGGGGCTACTACTACTGTTGATACAGTTTCCTCACTGACACAAAGGACCTGAAAACATAAGGGTAACCTTTTGGGACCTCTACTACATATGGACGAAATCAGAGAAACCAGAAGGTTACAAGGTCGATTCGCTTTGGGCAAGTGAGTTTCCGATTCGCTCAGCGCAGCTGGCCCATCCAAGAATCCAGCTTCCCGCCGGTGTTAAAGAAGGTGTAGCGCAAAACCTCGACCATGCGGCGCACAACAACTAGGAGCTCGGCTGACTGATATTGATCCTGGACAGGATGATTTACCCTGCTGGACTAGGGGCTTCAAAGGTGATCTGGACCCCTTTTCAACTATGCCCGTGTTTTATTTAGGCTTCTTTTTCCGTCCTGGCTAGTAAAATGCTGTATTTTACAGCACTTTCTCACGAAATGTGCGTATTTTACGCTAGTTCGTCAACATCATCAGCATCGTTTTCAACATCCCCCGCATGTCCAGCCAACATCCCCAGCAAATCCAGGGCCTGGGCTTCCTACATCCTCAGCATCATCAGTTCCTCTCCGGCAAGGTAGGTACTAGTAGGCATTTATGTATGCATGTTAAAAAGCAGCGGGGGTGTCCCCTCATGATGGTAAAAGTGAGGGAGGATAAGCCAAAGCTAGAAAGCGGCCAAACGCCACAAAGCCAAAAAGCACCTGCCGCAGCGGAACTGGCAATGCAGAGGATGCGAAAAGCCAAAGCCGCAAAAGCCGCATGACCCCAATAAAAAGCCGCAAAACAACAAACAGAGAGGAACTGTGCGTGCAGAGGATGCGAAATGAAAAGCCACAAAAGCCACCACAAAAACCAACGCAAAAAGCCACAAAAGCGACAAAGTCGAAAAGCCACCCACCCTGAAGAAAAAAAACTTAAACAAATGGCCCTCCGTTGATTTATGGGGTGATGAAAGCTGGGTTGCCGGCCCGAGCGCAAAGGCCCACGTAGGCCTGGCGACTCCCTCCTTTTTGTGATCTCCGGCCCTTTTCCGCACTTGTGCGCATCGGGAAATACAATTTGTGGGCAATACCCTCCTGTCCACTAACGCGGAACCCACCTTGGTGGGCCCTGTCAAAGGAAAATCGTTCCAAACCAGGAAACCGAACCGTCAGGTTTTATGTGGACGGAGGATTTGCATTTTCTTCTTCAGGGCCAGGGGGACGAGGACCTTCTGATGAGGCGCATCTGTATTCCAAAGTGGGAGCCGCTACCGCAGTAACTATCTTTGACTATCTTTGACCCTTTAAAGGGGCTTCCTTAGTATCACAGAAGATTCACAGTCCGAAACCCAATATTTCTGGGCTCCCTAAGTGTAACACCAGCTTCCCCCGAATTCGACTTTGCAAAGGACAGAGGCAAAGTGAGTAGAATCCAAACGGAACTTCCCCTCCCCAAAACAATGAGCCTAAGGAGAACCGCACTTTCTGGCAAAGTAGCAAGGGCCTACATGGAATGTACATGAGAAATAATTCCTCTTTGCATTTCGATTAATCATGTAAATAATATGAAATATTCAGGCAACATGGTGTGCCATGGATCAGCTTGGGCATGGGCCCAATCCATGGACCCCAAGTCTAGCTGAGCCTAGTGTCAAAGCATGCGTGCACCAAATGAAAAAGCGAGCGGGCTCGTTGCCCTGTGCCTTGAGCAAAGACACAAGGAAACACACGAGGGCCCAAAGAAACGCATCTCATGTTTAGGCTCGATCGGTAGCGAGCGGCCTGCGGACCGCCAACTAGCCTACTGGGCCAAAGGGACATCCAAGTCCCAAGACGCTTTCATCGTTGGAAAGCCACGATGCGTACTGCTCCCAGTGCGTCCCCAGCATTGGCAAGGAACCCTTTGAGACTGCCGGATAGCTAGGGATGGTGGCTGAGTGAACAAACATCGAACCCAAACAACTGGAAGTACAACTCAGAAACCTAAAGGGGCTGCGGGAGAAGAGCGGCATGTTTTTTTGCGAATTCCAAAGAACCCCTCAGAAACAAACAAAACCACGGGGTCTCACTGAGCAACTGGGAAAAGGGCGGGTGGGACCCACTGGGCGCCTTGGACGGAGTTGCCAGCAAGCTGACACCCTCTGCATGGCCTCCAGGCGCGGAAACGGGATCGGCGGACCAACTCGGGCTACCCCTTTGGCTGAATCAAGGCTCCTTAGTCCTCTTCAAACACTTCTCCGGCCAGGAATCTTGGCCCAAATCGCCGAATTAGCTCAACATCTTCAAATGTTGGCCCATACAAAGTCAAGCTTAGAATCCAGAATCAGACACCGGGTGGACCCCACTGAAACCCAGTGGAACCGAGGTCTGCACCGAAGGGCGCCAGGGGAGCGAAGCCATTGGCGCTACCAGTGCCCTCGAAGCCTCGCGCGCGCCTTTTTGGGATATGCCGCCCGCGAGGAACCCCGCACAGCTCGGGGCTCGGGGATGGTCAGAACCAAAACATCCTATGGTTGCCATGCGCCCCCCCCAAAAGGGGATCCCCCAAAGACCATGTTCCGAAAGGAACCCTTTTGTAGCCCCTTTTTGGAGCCTTTTAGTTGCTACTCGCCTGTATTGGGATTGCGGGGGCCCATTGCGGGGCACTTGGCAACCATAGGACCATTCTTGATTCGGATTGGTAATCTCGGGGTTCTCCGGATTCTTGAGGGGAAGCAACCCCCTAGAACACCTCCAAAACCAAGGAAGCTGAGACGGGGCACATGACAGAACACAAAGCCCGGGCCATAATAGGTGCTCCATATGCTCGAGTTTTACCACGGACCCACTTGCGAAAACCCAAAACAATCCAAAACATGGTTTTACCCTCGAAGCAAGACACACCCAAATGAGGAACCCCAGAATGGAGCCCGGATTCTGCTTGGTTTCCTTTAGCACCATCCCAAAAAGAGTGGCAAGAAACACCCAAGCAAGCAGGAAACGAAACGTCGCTACCATCGGGAAGAAATATTCAAACCCCGTTAAGGACATTGAAAGAACACACACCAAAAGAATGAGCCCTCTTTAACAATCAAGGTACTTGCGTCGTGCACCTTCTCGGTCCAGCCGGTGTCAACAAAATGCTGATTTTAGACATGAGTTGCGTCTCTCTAGCCCCTCAAAACAGAACATGGCTTGCCACCACTAGAAGACGCCTCCCTATTTATTTCCCTTGCAGTGGCCATCCGTTTGGCTGGGCAGGACTTTGCCCTTTGGGGGCCCCGCGTGCAGAGACCTCCACTTCCAAGTCCGTCCAGTTCGTGCCTGGGGCCCCAGGTTTGGCAGTTCAAAGACCCGCTTCCCTCTGGGAATCAACCCCATTGGCGGGATTGTTGCTAGAAGTGTGTTCAAGCCCGTGGTGACTGAGCAGAGTTTCCATTGCATAAAGGATTTACCAGGGATCTGGGCCTTGGATGTTTTTGTTGGGCTGAACTATGCCTTACTTTGTCCTCGATCCAACGGGATGTCTGAAAGGGGGGGTCCAGGGCGGCATACGACTCAAGAAAAAAGACAACCCCCCCCAGTTGAACAAGAAACAGAGTAGCACAAGAAACACCGTCCAATCCCCTTTCCGTCTCCTTTTGGGGAAGTGTCAAAACGGCTCGCACCCACCCATGAGCTTGCCTTGCAAATCAATTAGACCCCCTTCCCCCCAAAATAAACAAAAGCAAAAATAAAAACGGTAGTGCCTCACACAGCCCACCACCCCCCCGGGTTCCCTGCCGAACCCTACCTGAAAGCTCCCCCAAACCGCGCCTTATCGCCTATCTGGGCCTATCAACCCCATAATTTTCAGCTGTGGGAAAAACGAACGGAACACAAACCTGCGCTTGGCGTCCCTTTCCAACCAAACGCCCTCCCCACTTGCCGACCTCCGAAACGAAAGCCGCGGTCGGGGCCCAAGGCCTCCGAAGAGCGTCAACGGCTCAGGGGCGCTTCTGCCCCAGCCGATGGGCACCTCAAGCACCTGGCACACCAAAGCTCACCTAGCCTCATGTCTGGTTTCCCGTTGCCGATCTGGAAAAGTACCTGAGAATGGTGTACTGATGCGTGTTGTTCCGAGTGCTTCAGGTATTTCACAAACGCAGCATGGCGGGCCCTGCGGCTGCCTACCATGTACGACATGTATATATATATATATACGCTTCCTGGCCAACACATTCCCACAGGTAGCCTTTGGTTTCTCTGCATTGGGCTTCTTAATGTCTGGTTCATTTACACGTCTTTACACGTATCTATCCCCTTCAACATGTTTCATCTTCTGCTCATTTCTTGTGGCCCGAAGGTTTGCGAGAGAGGGGTGTGTGTCTCCCATTTCGTTCAAGAGGGGCTGAGGGTTCAACCCCACCGATCCAACCCGCGGGCTGCGGCGCCGCAGTTCAAGAAACGAAGCGCCTGCTGCTCCAGCACCCGGTTGCGCCTGGCATCGGCTCAAGCTTCGGAACCAAACTGGGGCTGGGTGTCTTTGGGGGGCATCCGCCCCCCCCAAAACAAAAAACAGCAAAAGAGGTATGTTTTTTGTTTAGGGGACCGAGCACCAACCAAAAGGGGCACTTACCCTGAAAGGAAAAGACACCCAAAGGTGGCAGAGAACGGGTCCATGTCGGATCACGTTTCAGTTTTCAGTTGGCTCAAGACATTCGCATCCAAAAACACGGGGAGAGCCATTTGCGACCCACTTGGCTCCGTCAGGCATGCTACATCCCTCAAGGGTCCCACTTCCCCTGGCGCATTTGAAGGTTTACCCAACTCACACGCCTTGTTTGGAACATATCACTGTTGATGATAGTTTCAAGCACCTCACTGGCCCGAAGGACCTGGAACCAAAAGGTGATCACCTTTCGGGATCTCTACTAAAAATGGACCAAATCAGGGAAACCAAAACGTAACAAGGTCGATTCGCTTTGGGCAAGTGAGGCACTGGTGATAAGCATTCGGATTTGCCAACCCTGCTATTGTTTAACAGGCCCAAAGGTTTTTGGATGGGCACTGCCAGCTGGGCGCCCTGTCGCATTGCCGGGTGTTCAGCACAAGTAAAAGGTGCTGACCATGGCTGCGAATGCGTTCTGGATCAGAAAGCTTCCATATATGTCCAGTAATTAGCGATAGAGTCCCTTTAAAACCATTAAGGGTAAATATACAAAACAGAAAGAAAAGCGTAACAAAGGGAAGAAAGAGCGTAACAAAGGCAAAGCCAATGGAAATTCATCAAGCAAATGCAGGAGAAAGAGCGTAACAAGACCCACAAACCGGCGAAAAACACATATCCATCCTCAGATCTGCTTGGAAGCCATCGTCCTGCAGCAAAAGGGGGCCGCCAGTGCACCAAGTGGAGGGTCATAGGATGAGCCGTGGCCATGTTGCAACCCCAAGGGTCAGGGGCCCATTCATTGATTGGTGATTGAGTCATTGCGTCTGGCAACTGTCATTTATGCTGTCACTTGAGCGGATGGGCAAAAAAAGGTCTGAACTTAGTGTTTGACACTAAACTGGTCATACCAAGAAGTAAGCTCGAGAAGTGAGATTTGGAACCGCGGGTTTTTTTTGCAACCCTAAGTCTGGCTTGGTCAAGGGGTCGGCGGCACATTTGTGGATGTATACATTCAACCTACCGTGTGAATTTTCAGGAGGGTGACGGGCACTCCGTTGCTAACGACTAATTCCCCACCTAGCTGCGTTCGCAAGTTTGCTGGACCTCGCCAGTAAGCCCCGGTCAATAAATGGCAGTGATGCGTTTTGCTGCTTTTCGGCGTGAACAACGGCAATGAACCAAGCTGACAGGGATCCTTTAAAATCAAGCAACCAAGGGGTTCTCCAAAACTGTTGGTAGCCCAAAAGAAGTAGTTGGTAATCAACGTGGCGCTAGTTACTGCTTCTTGCTAGTGAACCGCTGTAGAATTGTTGGCTTTCTGTTTGACCACTTCACAATCTCATGTTCAGGTGACTAAGGCCCGTATGAGCTTAAGCAAAGGCTCTTTCGAGTCAGCAACTGGCGAACATGTGGTAGAGCTTGCTTCAAACATACAAATGCAAGGCCATGCAACATGTACATTCATAAGTGTATTATGTATATATATACACATGAGCACGCGCGCATGTGCTGCAACTGTCAGGTATAAGTCAATTGTTGAATTCATCTGTTTCCAACAAAGGGCAAACATGTGTTTCCCGGCAGCAAGGGAAACGGCAAGCAACAAGCGTGGGTGCGAGTATCCGCATGAGAAACCACAGGTTCGTGAACAACATGTGCCAGGGATGCAACCCGGACAACCGAGTCGTCAAACAGCCACACGGACCCTAACAGAGGCACGAACCGAAAGGTCAAAATTGCGAAAGGCACGGATACAGCCACTGGTCAAAATTGCCGAAATGGCCAAAATGGTTCTGTAGGAGACCACACTTGTGCTTCGGTCCCCAAAAAGGAAACCACCAGTTGGATGGCTTAAATTGTGGTCATTGCATCCAACTCATTCCCTGCCGAATGTTAACCCCGGGTCAATAAACCCTGATTGATTAATAGGGGGGTGTCCCCTTTTAGTGGGGTTCATCGCTTTTGGAGGGAACACCCACCTAATAATGGGACGGGTCAACATTCATCCTGGGTCAACATTACCTGTGTTACCACTTGGTGCCTCCCAGCCATTCGGTTCCTTAGCCTTTTGGCTTTTCAGTCTTTAGTGTTTAGTGGTTCAAGATAATTGCAGCAGCAAGTGTTTAGCCTTTTGTGTTTAGTGTTTAGGGTAAACAAACAATTGCAGCCACAAATTAAACCCAGAAGTCTTGTGAAGCGTTGCGCGTCGTTTGCGCGTCGTCTCCTCCACCACCTCGAAGGCGCCGCCCTGGTCCGAGAAGAAGGCGGGGGACCGGCGCAGAGGCTGGGACTCGAAGACCTGGACTCGAAGCCCGGAAATCCGCGAAGCCGCGCGTGTTTTTTGGGTGGGTGGGTTGACAAGGCTCCGTTTTTTTGTTTTGAGGGGGCGATACCGCCTGTTGATTCTTTTTGTTTTGGGGGGGGGGCCGGCAAGGCTCCGTTCTTTGATTTTTTTTGAGGGGCGTGGTCCTTTTGGTTTCCCCCTAAACCCCACCTAAGGGTCTGTCTTTTTTAAGGTTTGTCGAATGAACGGAAGGTGGGTCGACAAGGCTCTGTGACTTTTAAGATGGACCCCCCAAAATGGCTTCGTAGATTTTACTTTAAAACCCCCAAAGGGTCTGTCCTTCTTTTTTTGGGGTGGGTCGAACAATCCACGGAAGGGTTTCTCGAAAAGGGGCTCCATGTTCCATAGGGGGTTGCTTGTGACCTTTCGGGTGCTTGCAGAAAGTGCCCTGAAAAACGCCTGGTCACATGGATCTCTCTTTTAAGCCCCCCAAAAAAGAAATGGTGCAACGGTTGGTTGTCCTTTTGGTCTCCCGTTAAAACCCACCAAAAAGGGGCACCAACTCCAATAAACGCGCCTACAAATCAACGGAAGAGTTTCCCAAGGGTCCATTCGAGAATTTGGCCCTTGTTCTGGATACTCAGGATATCCAAATGGGTTTGTGGCGGGTCAATTTCAGGTTGGTTCATTTTCAGGGTATTTGGCAAATTTCCTGTTGGAAAAATCCGGTAGCTGGCTGCTGTGATAGCAACGCAGAATCTCAGGAACGAGGTCGCAAATTCAGCAGCAAGAGCAGCAATTCACCAGTAGTCATAGGATGTCGACAGTGGGGTGTTCTTGGCCCCTAAAAATACGATTCCTTTGGTTTGTTTAGGACGGGCTGCTGTGCTCTCATGATTTTGGCCCACAAATTACAAATATGACTTCAGGAATTCAAGTGGGTGAGCTACTCCCCCCCCCCAAATGAGCCAGCTATCATCTGCGCTGGATCGCAGAATCTTACCCCAGAATAGAGGCGGCAGCGAGCAACCGGCACAACTCGTGGACAGTGACAGGGATCGAGCTCACCTACTTTGCCAGGACAAATGCGCAAAATATGTTAAAACGAGCCAGCTGAGGAACCTCCTGCTTCGGCCCTGCTTTCGTGAAAAAAGGAAAGCTTCACTCTTCGGGTCAAAGGTGACATTCCTTTAGATTGCTGGGCCCATGCGCTGCCACAAGCACAGCTCAAGCAACGGAAATCTGTTTCGCGCCTCTTTGAAGGGAAGAGGAAAGGCAGCAGGCGCCGGAATCTCTGGCGCCTGAAGGCGGCCGTGCTTCTGCTCCCGGGCTCTTGGAGACGAAGCTAATTTCCAAGACCCCCAAATCACTACCACGAGGATATACTCCCAGGACCGTCTTGTGTGGTGCCGCTTTCTCCTCTGAAGCCCTTTAACCACGGATGCGCCCTTATGTGAGGCAATGCTGGATTGCGGCGCCAGCGCCGAAAACGAGTGCCTGGTTTGAGGCTTTGGGCTGTCAACTTCGGGCTGTTGTGGCTGGCTGGCGGGAGCCTCAGCTGTCCTTCACAAGCTCTGTCACAGCTGTCTATCACGTCTCTCTGTCAGGCTCTGTCGCAGCTGACATCTTTGTGTCTTTGTCAAAGGCTGTGTCAGCCGGCTGACTGTGTGGGTCGGATGCCGCTTGCAATCTAACAAACCCAAACCTGTCGGCTTGAACCCTTGCGCCAACTAAGCTCTACATTGTTCGCATGGCCATCCTGCAGATTCGAAGTGTCAGCGCTGGGCCCAAAGCTGAACTGAAAATCAGGACGCTACCTGTCCACCTTGTGCAAGGCGGTGGCTCGAGGGAAGCTTCGCCACATGAGGCAATTATATTGGTCAGCAAGGGAAAAGCAACCGGCTTAGGCCCCACTTAAACCGCCCATTGTCTCTTCCTCGCCTATAGCAACAAAAATCCCAAATCAAATTTAACTGCACGGCACTTCAATGCTAATTTCCATACTCCGCATCCAAAAAGATGCAACTCGCAAGCAATGGCGCAATCCGGCTGAGGGCCTAGTACATACGTTCCGAGCGCCTCGACTAAAGGTAGAGCGAAACAGAACGGCCCACCAAAGGGGTCAGATCGACTCGTGTTGGCTGTGAATGCCAACCGCCCGAGTCACAGCTGCAACTCTGGGGACACTGAGGACCCCGTTTTGCCAGTCCAAAAGTGTCCCTATTCCAAAGAGACACAGCTGGGTGTATCTTAGGAAACCTATTCAGCCTTGTTCCAAGGGGAAACCCAACAAGGAAGACCGAAATCCATGCTTGGGTTCCCTAGATAGTCAAGTTGCTGTTTTTTTCAGTCACTGTTGTTGGCTTTTGGGGTTAAGTGGATGGAAACAAAAACGATCGCAACTGGCGATCCAGACAAGTTTCGCGCCTGCGACCTGTGCACTTCGCCTGCACCTCGTCGCCCTTGCTTTGTAGCCTCGGGACGCGCGCTTGGCGGACAAAAAAAACACGCTCCAAGGGAAGGCTCTCACCGTGCGACTGGCTTCGGTGATTGGTTCCGGATGTTCAGGCTTCATGTGTTGCCTCAAACGCCTCATTTAGGCGTCACACTTTCCGTTCAAAGGGCAGCGGCGGACCTTCCTAAACATGCTAACATGTGGCCCTGTCAGCTCAACACACGCCCGCTGGCAAATGAGCACAAATTGCGAACAATGTGAGTGCCCCATTTTGTTGCTTTCTCTTTCGAGCTGGCTTTGCAATTGACCAACGGCAACCAAGGCAGACCATGGCAATCATTTATACTTGAGGCCCTCAACAATTCAAACACATATCTATTCCTAACGGCCCATACTCACCGAACCTCAAAAGAAAAGAACACTCTCTTGCAGTTTCACATGGGGTCGGAGTCTCCTGTTGGGAAATGAACTTGTTTTTGTTGGGCTCCATGCTAAATTTGTGTAGGGGTATATTTACCCCCCCCCCAAAAAAAAAAAACAAAGAAAGAAGAAGTGGTTGTCCTGTTGCTTCCCCTTCGAAATTAAGATCCAACCAAACGGGGGTCCCCTAAAAAAAGACACATCAAAAAGTGGACATGAACCTCTTCTTAAGCTTCTCCGTTTTTTTAGTGCTTGTTTTTTTTTTTTTTTGGGGGGGGGGGGGGGTAGGGGAGCATCAAGCGGAGATCCCAAAACTTTTCGTGGCTCTAGGGCTGGCACTCCCTGCAGCGTTGTGATGGTGACGAGGGCATCCACGCCCACCGAAATCCTACCCCGGAAACGCATCAAAGATATATTTATGGTCAGGCCCCCCCCCTATGAACTACCTGTCCTTCTTTCTTCATAACATGACTGCACAAACCCTGTATTTTTAAACACTGTTTGGCTCTCTCGACCATAAAAACAAGAAAATAGACAGCATATTCATATATCTGACACCCTCGCAAAAAGAAAAAGAGCAAACACATGGAACCTGCAAGGAACATGGTCTTCCAGGAACTGATGGTTGGAATTTCTCAAACTGGTGAAACCCCTTGAACCGTTGGTTTCTCTTTAGACAATTTCACACCCAAGTGGCACCCGAAAACAGGGCGCTGGGCGGGCCTTCAAGCCATTCGATTTGGGGGTTGCGGGCTTGCGTTGAATGTTTTTGGGGACTCCGAGCAGATCAGCACAGGTCATCGAATCTGGTCATGCTTGACAGCCTGACTCCTGAGTTGACCAGGCTCTGGAGACACAGGAGGAGACGAATGGGAAATGGAGGCACGGCTGCAGAAATGCACGGCTCAAGTGCAGAGTCGTGGCCGGTCTGCATGCTACTCCCTGACATGTCGGCTTCATCAGGCGTTCGGCAAATCCTGTCCTGAGTCGACCCTGCTCATCTACCTGAACGTTGTCCAGCCGCTGAAACCTCAGCATGATGCGAATCGCAGGAATTCAAAGATAATTCCCTTGTCTCAATAAACTGGGCTGTCCTCAGATCCCCCGCTAAAAGTTTAACTTTTAGAGGGCTAAATGGAAATCCCCACTAGACGCTAAAAAGATTTGAAAAGCTCAGGGGATGGCTGGGAGCCACCAAGTAAGGAAGATGATAAGTGAACAACACATCATGGGGACACCCTCCAACTGACTCGAAGGCTCTCCAAGGTTTCGGCAAACTTCTCCGAGGGCGGCGCCAATGGGTGGCATTCGTGGACCACACCTGCCAGGTTGCGAATCCTTGGGCAAGGAAACTCATGGCCAGCCCGGACACCCAGGAAATGCCACCATTTGCAGAAGCCCCCGGGGAAAACATCCAGTGGTGACACATCCCCTTTAAAATCAACAGGGGAGCATAAATACCAAATACTCTTTAGCAAATGGAAGAATGGGATTGATTGCCTACAACGAAAACGTGTTGCTTCCCAGGGTCCGAGAAAAGCCACACAAGATCAAGCTGCCAACCCCAGGTGCCACATTTTGCAGATTCAAGCCCGAACAAAACCGATACCCTAAAACGAAGCTCGCAAAATAGACCCAACGTGTCCATATTGTCCATCATACAGTACTCATACCCCCCCCCCCCGGCCCACCACCACTACTCTCAACACAGCGGACTTGGCTCCCGCCTCCAACTCCTTGCCGCGCGCTGCGGCGGAGAGGTTGCCTAAGGCTTCCGGAAACGAAGGCAGGCGTGATTTGGGAAGAGCCCAGGGAAGAAACACGTGGCACTTGGGCAAAACATAGCTTGGGCAAGCCTAAGATTTGGCTTGGGCAAAACCCAACAATTTGGCTTGGGCAAAACCATGGCACTTGGGATCACCCGCCTAGCCATGTACAAAACCGGGCACACACATTTAACCCATTGGTCAGGCATTTGAGCACTAGAAGAGCATCGCCTCCAAACCATCCCGGAGATCCGTCCAACTGGACCGAAAGTCAACATGTGCCAGGCACCAGGGGCTGAAATTCAGGGCGCCTTGCCGGGTGAACGCATTCAACACACAGAGAGCCATGCGTGAGACACGTCTTGGAAGAGGTGGCCCGTTGGCACTTTGGCCTTTCTCAGAAGTTTCCGTCTTGTGTGTGTGTGTGCCAAATGAAGCACCAGGCAACACCACCACTCAGCGTCCCGCTGCTCAGCTGAAGCTGCAGCATCTGCTCCCTTTTCGCCTCCACCGTGTGGAAGCCTGGGAATTCGGGGAATGCATGGGTCTGGTCGGTTTTGCTTTTGAGCCCAGACTTGGCCTGGTCCCAGTCCGGCCAAAGGAACTGGGACAGAGTCTGAACATAGGCCAACGCTAGAAACAAATCCGAAGCCGAGGCTACGGCTTGGAAGCCCTTCAGACTTCCATCTGCAAATCTTGAGCATCTCTACTCTTGGTATGGTAGCAAAAAAAATGGCTTTTTGCAGACCCCCAGGAAAAATGAACAGCACCAAAAAACTAAAAAACCAAAGAACATGCCAAGAACAGCGAAGCTTGATTCTGCAACTCGCAAATCCCACACCTCAATGAGGTCGTAGGACTTTTTGGTAATTAATCCCCTCAAACGGGTGGAATACTGACTCAACAGGGCACCACCCTCGCGCACGGTCCTCCGGATGCGGTTTAAAGACACACAAAGGCGAAACCGGCTTTGAGTGAAACCGGCTTCAGTTCCTGGGGTTCTGGCACCCGTTCCCGTACATGCAGCGACCTGCCAAAATGCTGGGAGATGAATCCAACGTGCAGCTGGACTTGTAACTGGAAGCCTCCTTCGCTCCTTTTCGCAACCGGAGCGCTAGCTTGTGGAATGTGGGAAGACTCAGTTGCTTTTTGCTCCCCTGCTAAAAGCTTAACTTTTAGTGGTTTAAGGAAAATGATGGAAAACCCATTAGTTGGCAAAAACCAAAGTCCTAGCATCCAAGCAAAATGCACCTCTGAAAGAACTATATAACACCAGTAAACCGGTAAAGAAGCGGAGAACATGTGGGCAAAGGTCAAGAGACGCTCCCCAACCCTCTCCCCATGTCCCCCCCAAATCAAATAAGGTCACTGGTGTACGCCAGAAGGCCGTCCAGTGGTATCTGACAAGTGGGCCCTTTCAACATCCCAGCGTGGTTGTGGAAAACAAAGCCAAGTTAGCCACCAACACAACTCTCTCACTTTACAGGAACTGCCCATGAACTATCACAGAATCTAAACCAACAGCCCCATGTTCCACACTCATGCAACCCAACCTTGGAGCGTCTCCAAGACGATGGTAAAGTCCTGGAGGTCGCTACTGGCGATCGTCACAAACGTGCCGCCCTCCTGCGCTTGGCTTGCCGAATCTTGGAGCGTCAAAGCTGCGCATATTCTGACGCATTTGTTGGCTGGATTGGTCCCGAAGAAGTAACCCGCATTTTTTGTTTACCATTGACCTGCAAAAAGAAGGAACCCATGTAAGTTGAAACGACCACGCTTGTCAGTGTGATAATTTCAATGGATCTGCTCGGATATCTGCCTTCCTATGAGGGCTGAAGGCAAACCAACATAGAGAAAACAAAAAAACGCTACTGCCACCAGTGGTATAAGAGGCCTACGATGCGGATGTACCCGGCTTACCTGTTCAAACCCAAAACTATGATGGACGTTTGTTCTACCATCATCCTGCCCACATTCTACCATCATCCTGTCCACAAGTGGCACAAATTAAACAAACAAACATGCCAACCGTTGACGCAACCACGGGATCGGTATCACGGGGGGGGGCCTTAGAACAGAGCTAGGTTTCGCTGCATAAAAAAATGCGCAAGAGACCTGTTCCAGGCTCAAGGGAACTCTCATAACTCGGTTGCTTCCTGCTCCCCTGCTAAAAGTGACTAACTTTTAGTGGTTTAATTCGGAGCACCCATTGTAGCTGGCAAAAAGTTAAAGTCCTATCATCCCTTGGCAAAATGCACCAAAGATAACCTGCCCGTTTTGATGGCTCCCTTCGACAGACCCACGCCACGTCTCCGGCAGCAGCCCAGCAGCTTCGCCCGGGGGGAGGTAGGACCAACCTGGGCTCAACTCTGCAATAGCGCTCCTTCCCGTGATCATCATAGGTGCCCTTTTAGGGGAAACAGATGGGTTTCCCTGGTGGATGATGAAACCAGGTGAACCAGGAATCGCCATCTGTTTTCTAGCAAAGCGGTCGTCATTGTGTGGGCTGGAGCAAGGGCTCGAGCTCCGTGCAAAACTTGTGCATATGAAAACTAATATCGACACCGGCGCCAAGTCTGACTAATTAGAAAACGCTGCGCACTGAGTGAAATCGGCACATTCGTGTACCCACTATGGGGCGTGTAAACAAAAGCTTTCTGGCCTGAACGTCGCACCATCTTTTGCGTTGCCTGCATCTGGCAGGGCAGAGACATCATGCCACGCAAAGTGTTGGCTTTGGGCTGTGCAACTGCCAAAGCCATCGTTGGCAAGCACAGACATTAAATCCTCCAGCGCTGGACTTCAGTTGAAGGTCGCAGGGAAACGACACTCACGGCCAGAAAATCCACAGCTGCCCACATGGCGACTTGTGACAGCTCATTCAAGAGGCGCACGGAGAGAAATGAACGCGTGGGGGGGGGGGCGCCGGGGGGGGGGGGGGAGGAGCACAGTCCACGATACTGCAGGAAACAAGACGCAAGCTCTGCCTCCAGGGCTTGCACCACTGAGCCACAAAGCTGGCCCGTCAAGGAGCCAAAAACGACCGCCAAATGGCTACAGCAAATTGATAGTCAGAGCGAAGAGCATGGAGACCAAAGTGAGATCAGTGCCAATGCTGCGGCCAGGGCTGACACAGCACTGGCGCCACAGTGGCCATAGAATGGCCCCGGGCCCCGACGGTCACCCCAGCCCAAAGGACACTCCACCATTACTCAAGGAGCTGCAGAGGCAAGGGCTCGAGCTGGGCACCGAAGACAAGTCCGACAAAGAAAGCTTTGTACACGCAGACGTGTTGGATATCGAAGTGCTCGGATTGGACCTCAAACGCTACCAGCCGTGTATTTTCGCCAAGGCCTCTGCAAGACAATTTGATCATTGAAGGGCCACCCCCCAAGGTCATTCCTTCCAATTGCGCAAATGCTTTATGTTTTTTGCGCCAGGAAAGTGTGGCTAAAGCAGCAGCCAAACCACCAAATCAACTCAACAAAAGCAAACATGCACAGAACGACGTTTTGCTCCGCCTTCGCGCGCATGGCGCACATCAACTCAGCGCCCCACCGAGCTTCGTGAACTGGGTGGTGTGGGCGGTGGCCCACACTGGAGCCATGACCTAGCGGTTGCGAGGTGCGCGGCACCCGCTGGGCCGGTGGGGCCGGGTCTGGAAACGAAAGGTTCACCTTTTGGGACCTTCATGAGACCTAGGCGCAAAAGCTTGGAACAAGGCAACTGGTATTTTCGAGTCAAAGGGATCTTGCAAAAGGAGATCCTTGCCCTGGCAAGAGAAGTCAGAGAACCAGCAAATGGGAAGGGTGCCAGGTGAACAATGGAGTGTCGAGTGAGTTGGAGACTTGGAGTCTTATGGCTTTCCAATGGGCAACTTGGCCTTCTCTTGCAAGACGGCTCTGGCTGAAAAGAAGGGGGATTTGCTCCTTGATTTTTGGTGGTTCCTCTTGGTTATCGCTGGGCTTCCAGTTTCACTGAGGGGACAGCAGTGATTGCACCAAGCGCATGGCTGGAAATGCGAGTCCAGACAAGGCACCCGTGGCAGTGGTCGGACACTCCCAGATTGGGGGGAACACCCGAAGAAGCTTTTCAGCTATGAAGTCTCCCCTAAAAAGATGACACCAAAAACGCAAAGCCAAACTAAGCGACTTCCTCAAGGGGTTCCCCCTCAACAACAAGGCCACCCCAGGCCCAAAAGTTCTTCAACCTAAACGCCCGCCCGCCTCATAGTGACCACTCCAGGGCTCGAAGGCGTAGAGGAGGCCATTCCCAAAGCACTCCAGGTTCGGGTACACACTCCTGGCGAAGAGCCGCAAAACGGATTAGAAAACCCATTGATTGTATCAACATTAGCCTCCCAAGCACGCAAACCACAGGCATGTGTAGCGGAATCAACCCCAAACCCAGAAGTCCGTTGCTGCTGACTCAGTGCCACTATGTCACGAAGCGGCAATGTCTGCATCGTGAGCCTAGGTTTTGTCTTGGATGCTGGGAAGTTGCTGAAATCTAACTCAAGCTAGTGCCACGTATGTTCAAGCAAGCTAACCCAAAGGGACACCTATGATCAGTAGTCGCGGGTATGCGGAGGAAGCCTCACTTGCAAGGCTGCAAATTACAGGACCCAGCTTGCTATAGCAACGCCCTGCCCCTTTGCCATGCACGGCCCCAACGCGGCCGGCAAGGCCAAATCAGCGACCAGGCAATGGACGACGTCGCGTTCATCCGAACCTGGCAGCGTCGCCGCATGGGCGTTTCTCAACGTAGTTCCCAAAAACGGTTGATTTCCTTACTTTTGGTTTTCCTTCACTTCATACCAACCCAACGGTCCATTTTGAGAAGCCACATGTCTGCTTGAAGGGCCAGTTGTTCTTTGCGAGTGCATGATCCACTCGGCTTGTCAATGCCCACCCCGTGCCCGTGAAGGGTTACGGTTCAATTGGTCGTAACGTTTGTCCAAGGCTTGGTGAGAATGCTAGAGAAGATTTGAGATTGATACGCATTCCAGTATCTGGTGGTGTTCCCCATGCAGTGATTCGGATTCCGGCCTCAAAAAAAGGATCAACTGGTCGTCATTAGATGAATACGCCCCTTCGCGTAATTGCTTTGCATTAAATAATGTTCAGGATCCTTACTACAATTTGGATGACCATCGGTCTAAATTGCCCGAGTAAAGGGGTCTTTTGACCCCGGCACATATGCTTCTACACCTCCAGCTTAAAGGGGATATGTGGTTGCACTGAAGGTGCACTAAGAGTCACCTAGGGCATTCCTCTTCCCCTGGTGCTAGAAGGGGAATCACTGGATGAACGATTTATCATTGAAGTCACCCCTAGGTTGAAGGGAAACAAATGGAAGCAACCGACCACTGTGGATGGACAAAATCCATTTCGCACCACAGCAGAAACCCCGGAATGATGGATCTCCCCTGTAAATACCAACAAACAATGTTTTTGTTTAAGGGTTTCTTAGCTGGTGCGAAATGGATTTCGCAACCGTCCAAACCACCAACTGCAGCACCTAACACCATCGGTCCCCCATTCCCCCGCCCCAACCACCCACACTCCACCCATCAGCATCACCCCAGTCTCAGGTGTCCGGTTCGGGAAAATAAATAGATGGCCCTGGTAGTTGATTGAACCGCCAGGTAAACCAGGAATCGCCCTCTAACCTTCAACCGAATCAACCAAAAAGGACACCTAACTCCACCATTCCCCCTTCCCCCGCCCCAACTCCATACTCCACCCAAACCTACCACCCCATCCAAACCTCCAACTGGCACACCCAACAACTCCACCACGCCCCCGACCCCACCGCCACCACCCCAGTCTCAGGCTCCTGCGTAGTTCTGGTTGATCATCCGGCCCCAGCAGCCAGCTCCGCCCCAGTCTGCCACCGTGGACAGCTCCTGAAGCCCGCACCCACCGGGGGGTCCGGTTGGGCCTAACATGATGCACCTGGACCCCCAAAACTTCTCGTTAAAATCTCTATTTCCCAAACAAACACCCCAAATTTCCGTGAAAAGGGGTTCCCCCCAAAAACCTGGGTCGAGGTCTCTTCTTTTGTGGGGATTTTGAGGGTCCCGACAACAAGCACGGGGGCGAGGTACTTGATTTTGGGGAAGAACAACTTGGCCACTTAGAATCCGGATGCAACAATTGGAGGAATGCCAACCAAGCTCTAGAAACACACGGTGAATTATTTGGAAGCTTCACCTCCATTCGCGGAACTCCCCTGGAAAAAATGTCCAGTAGAGACTGAACCTTGTTAAAACCAACAGGGGGAAATAAAACACATTCTAGCACAATCGTAAGGCAATGGAACCTTGATTAAACACCAAGCTAACCATGGCAAACCAAAATGCGGTACAAGGGGCGATTCGATTTGGGCACGCCCACTGCCGCCAAGAAGAAAACACTAAACACAGAACAGCTACTGTAAAAAAAACAAAGAAACAAAAATTCAATCAAGTCAACAAGCAGGCAAACAAACACACAGACAAACAAAACGAGAGAAACAAACAAACAAACAAGTAAAGAAACAACAAAGAAACAAGAAAGCAAGCAGCAAGCAAGCAAGCAAGCAAGCAAGCAAGCAAGCAAGCAAGCAAGCAAGCAAGCAAGCAAGCAAGCAAGCAAGCAAGCAAGCAACGAAGCAAGCAAGCAACGAAGCAAGCAAGCAACGAAGCAAGCAAGCAACGAAGCAAGCAAACACACAATCAATCAATCAATCAATCAATCAATCAATCAATCAATCAATCAATCAATCAATCAATCAATCAATCAATCAATCAATCAATCAATCAATAAATCAATCAATCAATCAATCAATCAACCAACCAATGAAGAAAGCAAGCAAGCAAAACAAACAAACAAACAAACAAACAAACAAACAAACAAACAAACAAACAAACAAACAAACAAACAAGCACAACGAAGAAAACAACAAACACGCAAGCAGAGACACATTCAAAACACCCATAACAAAATGCACACTCCTCAGAGGACCAGAAGCGAGTGCCCGGGTGCGGCCGGAGAGTGTCCAGGAGCTGCTCGTTGGGGGTGCCTCAAGCGTCTGCGCGAATCCCGAGGGCGAGTGTCCCACCAGGGCTTTTCCTCTAAACACAGGCCGACAGGATACTAAAGGGTTGACAGGACGCGGTTAGGGTAGCAGAAAAACACAGCTGTCGATAATGTTTTGGGGCTTTTGTGCTTCTTGCTCCTTGTTCCTCTTTTGATGGTTTCAACGCCCGCTTTTGGTGGCTGATTGAAAGGGAGTTTCCTGTTGTCATGGTGTTCGCAAGAAAGACATATCGCAACTTCTGTGGGTAGATGATTAGAAGGAGCCAACCCTGTAGACATACGGTGGACAAATCACAAACCGTCTGGGCCCCCTGTTTTCCCCCTTGATGGGAAGCTAAGGGGAGTCACACAACACAACCATGTACAGGACATGGGAAAATCTGTACTTCCGTCCCTTGGGTTTTGCCCCCTTCGCCTCCCTCATCAAACTCACAGATTGGGCATGTAGCACCCATTGTTTCAACCGCCTGCACGGGTTGCCCTGCGCTTCGACATGCTCCGGCCCTGAGCCACAGGCAGGGGTAGTGCAGACCAACAGCTGCCACCAGCTGCTGAAAGCGCCTTGCAGCTCGTTCCCGGAGGTGCTCAGAGGGTAGAACTTTGGAGAGGAAAGGGAAACATCCAAGATCAAGAAACATCGGTTCTGAACTGTCCACAGTTCTGCCCTGAACTTGTCGGAGAGGGAAATCCAAAGCTCGCAACACCGGCCCTGAACCGACCATCCAAGCAGCCGTCAGGAACATTGGTTGATGCGCCCTTGAAATGGGGGGGGCTCTCCGCCCAGTTCTCATTTCCAGCGGAAGTGTGGGTTGCGGGTCCAATGGAAAACCCACTGCTTCCCAACAAGTTAAAGTCCAAAGATCCAATATCCAACGAATATCCAACCAATATCCAAGATCCAAAGATCCAAAGATCCAATATCCAAATATCCGACCAAACAGTTTTAAAGAAGCCACTTCACCCAAGCGTCAGCCGGAAGCCGAGTGCCAGGCTCATCACGGCTGAAGAGAGCCATGAACTCCTCCGTGGGAGGCTGGCCCGGTGCCGAGTCCTCGGAAATCGCAGTCAGCTTCGGTGGACGGAGTCCTACACCACCTAAGAAGCCCTGAAAGGATTCGATTCCCCTATAAATAGCAACGAACAATGGTTTCAACCCTGTTTTCAAAGTGGTGCGAAATGGATCTCGCAACCATCCACAGTAGGCGGCCTTGTGGAAAACTAGAATCGATCCAAAGCAGTGCCGTCTATCTCTGATCAAACTAGCCTGAGTCGGCTGGAGGCACTCGCCCCCTATGATCCCAATGCACTGACCAATTATTCGATGATTTGGGGCGCGTGGGTTGGGACGGAAACGGGCAGGACCAGCAGCTCGTAGCTATGGCCAACCATCACCATAACCCTCTGCAAAGCAAACCCTCTGCTTGAGAGGTGGACCAAAACTGGCTAAACAAGACTTGAGGAGCGGGTGAACGAAAGCTAGGAGTTGTTGCATGAGGTGGGTCGGTGACAGAGTGGATTCATAGGTAGCTTGTGTACAACGAGAGGCCCGGCAAGATTCGTAGGATGCGACACGCAAACGCACATGGTGGCGTGGCAAACCTTGAAAAATGAAAACAACGAGAGGCGTCAGAAGCTGTCTGCAAGCACCTCTGGGTTCTGCATGCTGCGTGTGCAAAGATTCTTGCGAGGTGGTTTACCGAGAAGACTGAGGTCTCAAATGAACAAGCTGAATCGTGGAACATGTAAAAGTTCGTAGCACCAAGTCCAAAACGGGCAAACCGAGACTGCTGAACACTGAGCCACTGCCCGGGGGGGGGGATGGACCAGGGAGGAATCGAGCCTGAGACCCGGGAAGGGGGGGAGGGGGGGGGGGGGTCTAAATAATTGATGTTTTTCAATCTTTTCGGCTCAAATAATTGAAAAAATCAATCTTTCGGCATTTGAGCCCCTTACCTTGCTTACGCAAGGAGAAACTTCAGCTAGCTAAAGCTAGCTTTCGTGATCAGTAGCAAAGTGGCACTGTTGAATTGAATGCCAAAAGGACGACCTTCAAGCAAGTTTGAACAACGCGTGCCCTGGTGAGGAGCCTGAGAGTGTTTGTTTTTGTTGTGACAGGCGAATTCAGGGTCTATCAAGGGGCCACTTCCTCATGCCTTCCAGGGAATCTTCTTTCCAGAAACCACCACAAGAAGCTCAGGGTTCTTTGGGCTGCTGTCGGTTGAGACCCGCACCTACTGCAGTTGGCTACCCCTAGACTCCAGCTCCAATTGGAAACTCCAGGGCTCCTTGCACTTGACATGTCTGGACTGAAAAAAAGGGAGGGCAGGCTCGTCGCCATATGCCAGAACTTCCAGTGGCACCACGGTGACCTTTCTTTTCCACTTCTTGACGCAAGGAAAAACATCCGAGCCGTAAACAGGGAGTCGCTGAGTGACCCCTTGCAAGCCACTGATGGCTTGTTCTTTTGAAAATGCCAAAATGTTCAAAGTTAAAACCCATAAGTTTTGAGTGCGTCACCCTCCAAAAATAGAAAGCATCGGAAACGGCCCACAGGTCCATCGCCAACTTCGGCTACAAAAAACTCCCATTGGGCCCCACGCCAAAAGCACCAGCTGAGTCTGCAGCTGGGCCGCCTCTCGTTGGAAATGTGATAATCGTTGGTTGACTGGGCCTTTGGTTTCGACCCTCACTGGCTCTTCGTTTTTGAACCCGTTGTGCGTGTTGTATTGTTTCCGTGTGAAAAAGGTCAAACAGGGCCCAAAAACAAAAGTACCAGGTGGACCTTGTTGGGGCCATGTCTAAAAATGGACCATAGTGGGGACACCCATCAGGCCAAACAGTCGATTCGCCGGGCTTACTTGTGCTTCAATTCTAAGGCCGCCGTGACCTCTCAAACTCATGGACCTGGAGGAAAGGCATCCGCCTCGGAAACGAACCAACTCCAATGGCAACACCTGGAGGGGAAGCAAGCCAAATGCCATGGGACCGCAAAACAGCGCGGCATTTGTGGAGGAAACCTCCTTTTGAGGGGACCCCGCTTTTGGGTTACACGTTCATCTGTGGGAGAGTATCCACCTCCAAGAACCATGAGGTCAGCTTCCCCTTGGTGGATTGAAATTAAAAGGCTTCAAACTACCAAACGGAGGGCTACCTGACCAATCAACTAAGAACTAAGGGCTAGCTGACCATGGGTTTCCCATTCTATTGGTCTAAGAACCTAGGATATTTGTGGGAGCTGAGTCTCCGTGTGGCACTGTGATGTCTCCTCTTGAGTCCTTAACTCATGGAGAATTCCCATTTTCCGAAGCCATACCCACCACCGCAACAGTTTCTGATTTGTTTTTATTAAACGAAAACAACCTCCATGTGTTCAGTTGCACCCGTGCCCGTGCCCAAAATTACGTCGCCTTAATGGCGGCCGCCAAGTCGAAGATGTACCAGGAATCCCCTGAGTGAACTTGGCCAAGTGCAACTCCACAGTTTGTGCCTGTGTCTTTTTGTTGAGGTCATATACCCCTTTTCAGGTAGGTTCAACGGGAAACCAAAATGAACAACCGAACCCAAAACACAAGATGCCCACGAAATGAACCCTTCAGATTAATGAAAGTCAGGGTACTTATCAGGGGTCAACGTCAGCGGTGGAAGGGGGAGGGGGCAAAGGCCCTAGTCGCGGTAGTAGCACAACTAACCGTTTGCTTAAACATCAGAGGTTTCGTATCAGAGGCTGTGGATATGCAAAAGCCATGCCATGTGAAATCAAGAAAAGGCGGGCATGTGTCTAAACATGCCATTTGCCCAACCATCTTCACTATCTCCGAAGGTTCTCAATGCACTATAGGGTAAGATAGCCACGGCACCAAGGCGGAAGAATCTGGCTGCAGGGTTTGACTCTTGAACCCCCCTTCTGTGGCGAATACAGGAGCCTAGCAGAAGACCTGAGCAACATATAGCCCTCATATTTTTACAATCCCCGGATTCAACCGCCAAACCCCATGAACCACGAATTCGGTCCCGGCCCCTTTCCGAAACCCCAGAAACGGGGGCAGACGCGCGCCAGGTTTGCCCCAAGCAAGCTGAGCTCGGAGCCCCAGGGGCTCTCATTCCAAATCCCCATGTAGTCGATGTCTATCTTGAAGCGCTCCTGGCTTTGTAGGGGAGGTGCGCTCTGCAAAAGTGATGAACCCCCACTAAAAGGGGACACCCCCCTATTAATCAACCAGGGGGTTGGTGGTTTGGGAGCTTGAGTGGCCAACCCAGGTAACCAGGTACACACACACACGCCCCAAATTGAGCAGGCTTCTTGCCTGGCGCCCGTTCAACAAAGTACAAAGATTCCAATCCTTGGGGCAACTCGGATTCGTCACTGCTTCGATCCGGAGAGGTGACCATGCCCCCGGGCCCGCAACATGCCTGGAGCCCACGAAAGGATCACGGTTGCTTGAATAGAAGCTAGTGTCTGAGCAGGTGGGCTGGAAACGGCCAACTGACTTCAGGGCCCAAGCTATAAGGCCAAAGGTTTGGGAAGGTCTTCGAGCTGGCGTTGCGTCGACGGGCCCAGAACCAAGTTCTTCAAGGATGCATCCCAAACCCACCTGCTTCACAAGGATTTGGCTCCTCAAATGGGAACTTAATTATGGGTGCGGATTTATTTTGGGAGTTTTTTTCGTTTTTTTTTTTTTTTGGATTTTTTTTCGTTTTTCGTCCGGGCCAGCAAAATGTTGTATTTTACAGCATTTTCTCGCCAGCATCGTTTTCAACATCCCCCGCATGTCTGACCAACATCCCTAGCATCACCAACAAATCGTGGGTAACAAAATCCAAAAATGTAGCTGGCGGGTTGACGGGGTCAAAACAATAACGCTTCAAACAGGAGGGCATTTCAATCCCAGCAAAAAAATACAAAAAAAAAAAACAATTAAGAAAAACAGAGCGGGGTAGTGATGATTCGAACAGGGGTGCAATTAAATCTCTGCAAAAAGTCTAAAAAGTAGCGGGGGGGTTGGGGGGGGGCGGCAGCCCCCCCATGATGTTCGAAGAATTGATGATTCAATTAGGGGTGCAATTAATTAAATCTCTGTAGAAAATCTAAAACGTAGCGGGGGGGTTGGGGGGGGGGCGGCAGCCCCCCCATGATGTCGGAAGAAGTGGTGATTCAAGTAGGGATGCAATGATTCAAGAAAGGGTGTGATAGAATTTAAAAGGCAGCGGTAAGGTTGGCGGGGGTGGCTTCCCCTATGATGTTCGAAGAAATGCATACATACAGACATACACGGACTACACAGATTACCTCAAATGTCGTATTTTGCAGCATTTTCTCGCGAAATTGGACGCTCGAAAAAGTGATAATTCAAACAGGGGTGCAATTCAATCTCTGCCGGGCCAGTAAAGTGTCGTATTTTACAGCATGTTCTCGCGAAATATACCCCGCATGTCCCACCAACATCCCTAGCATCACCCACAAATCGTGTGACGGGGTCAAAGAAATGATGATTCAAGTAGGAGGGCATGTCAATCCCTGTAAAAAAATATAAAAAGTAGCGGGGGGGTTGGGGGGGGCGGCAGCCCCCCCCACGATGTTGTTTGCAGAAGTGATGATTTGAATAGGGGTGCAATTAAATCTCTGCAAAAAGTCTAAAAAGTAGCGGGGGGGTTGGGGGGGGGCGGCAGCCCCCCCATGATGTTCGAAGAATTGATGATTCAATTAGGGGTGCAATTAATTAAATCTCTGTAGAAAATCTAAAACGTAGCGGGGGGGCGGCAGCCCCCCCATGATGTCGGAAGAAGTGGTGATTCAAGTAGGGGTGCAATGATTCAAGAAAGGGTGTGATAGTGTTCGAAGAAATGCATACATACAGACATACACGGACTACACAGATTACCTAAAATGTCGTATTTTGCAGCATTTTCTCGCGAAATTGGACGCTCGAAAAAGTGATAATTCAAACAGGGGTGCAATTCAATCTCTGCCGGGCCAGTAAAGTGTAGCATGTTCTCGCGAAATTGACACATTTTACACTAGCCCGTCAACATCCCCCGCATGTCCCACCAACATCCCTAGCATCACCCACAAATCGTGTGACGGGGTCAAAGAAATGATGATTCAAGTAGGAGGGCATGTCAATCCCTGTAAAAAAATATAAAAAGCAGCGGGGGGGTTGGGGGCTGCCGCCCACGATGTTGTTTGCAGAAGTGATGATTTGAATAGGGGTGCAATTAAATCTCTGCAAAAAGTCTAAAAAGTAGCGGGGGGGTTGGGGGGGGCGGCAGCCCCCCCCCATGATGGTCGAAGAATTGATGATTCAACTAGGGGTGCAACCCCCCCATGATGTTCGAAGAATTGATGATTCAACTAGGGGTGCAACTAATTAAATCTCTGCAGAAAATCTAAAACGTAGCGGGGGGGTTGGGGGGGGCGGCAGCCCCCCCCATGATGTCGGAAAAACGCCACCTGCCGAAGAGGAACTGGGAATGCAGAGGATGCGAAAAGCCAAAAAGCCACCAAAAGCCGCATAAACGAGCAAAAAGCCTAGAAGCCCAGAAGCCGAGAAGCCAAGAAGCCGAAAAGCCGAAAAGCCAAGAAGCCAAGAAGCCAAGAAGCCAAGAAGCCAAGAAGCCAAAAAGCCAAGAAGCCCAGAAGCCGAGAAGCCGAGAAGCCAAGAAGCCAGGAAGCCGAAAAGCCAAGAAGCCAAGAAGCCGAAAAGCCAAGAAGCCAAGAAGCCGAGAAGCCGAGAAGCCAAGAAGCCAAGAAGCCAAGAAGCCGAGAAGCCAAGAAGCCAAGAAGCCAAGAAGCCAAGAAGCCAAGAAGCCAGAAGCGAAAAAAAATCCAAAAAAAAAAAAAAAACGAAAAAAAATCCTAAAATAAATACCCCTCCCTTAATTATATGCACTGGCCCCTGTGAATTAGGAGGTCTGAATCCGCTTTTGGTTTCCTTTCAGGAAGCGACACATTTGACAGTTTGGGTCACTTTCAGGCTTCCAGTTGATTAGTTCCCATGCCTGAATTAGGCTTCTTTTGGATTACTTCCACAAAGCCAAGTCAGATTCGCGGGTCCTTGATGCACTTCAGCCAGGCCACGTGGTAGAAAATGTTGTCCTCGCTTGCAGTCCAACAAACTGCCGCCATACACCGAGGAGTCCGGAAAACTTGGAGTTGTGCCAAACAAAACGCTGGCATTTGCAAACACATTGCAGGGCAAGGCACGGACAACCACGCAACACAGTTATATGGCTGTGGCTCAAAACAAGTACCAAAATAGCACCTTGGTAAGTGCCACCAAAGACGAAACGCCGCGTAACCCAGCTCTTTGTTTTTGAGCCACACCCATATCAAGACATGCCAAAACATGCAAAAACATACTAACCAACGCATACCAAAACAGGCCAACAGCAACCACGCCATGCTTATACACATACTCACCCGCTTCAACACTCAAGAAACACCAAGACAAGGCCGCCATCATGGACGCCCACAGGCACCGCAATTCCATGGCCCACCTCGCTAAAGAAGGTGCCGTTGCCGATCCAGCCCGGAACACCCCAGGCCTCAGGCAGGAAGCTCACCTGCCTTTGGGGTAGAGGCGACGCAAAGCATCACTTGCCAAGAATCCTCTCTGGGATTTGCCTCAAGCCTCAAATGGTGTTTCCTTTGGGCTTCCGATGGCTTCAATATGAGACGTTCCCTCATCTTGAGGCACATCCAAATGGATGTGTATGTCTTGAGGGCACCCACGTTTCAAGCTTTACGGGAAAATCAAGAGGACGGCCACCATTGGGCCTATCCATGTCACTTCAGCGGCTCAGCTGGCGGGGCACCAGCGCATAGGTCCTGATCTCCGGATTCCGGGCCTCAGTTGGCATCGGAAAACAACCAAAACCATGTGGCAGAAAAAGCAAAAATCGCGGCTTATATATTTATGTGGCTGTGTAAATGGAACCAGGGACTAAAACCTGCGGTCCCCTGGTGCTTAGTTTTGACCCATACCCACATGCGTTTGGCTCTTCCAATCTCACTCAGGTGGAACAGCCCAGAATCAATCTGAACTCCAAACATGTGGGTCGACATGAACCACCGTGGCAAGTTGCAAACTCGTGGCAAGCGTCACTATAGTCTCACCGATCGAGTGGGTTGGCCAAAAGTCCAAACTGTTTGCCACTAACATCGTCCACACCCAAAAGGTTGCAAAGTCCAGGGAGCGAATTCAGGTTCTTTGGCTGTCACTTTCGTCTTGTGAATGGTACTCCAGGATACATCTCTGGTTCATTGATACAAGTGTGTGTCTCAGCTTTTCTGGAAACGAATCCGCATGGAGAGTTCGAGTCCGGCGCCTTGGCTTCCTTCAGCAGCCAGGCCTGGCCATAACTGAGCCGGAATCCAACCCGAGAGCTGTTGGGGAAAAGGGCGCGCCCCTGTTGGTCCCCAACCAGGGGAATCCCAAGGAGTAAATGTAAGATCCCTGAAAGCCGGAACCTTCCCATGCGCGTGGAAGGCTAAAAATGTGGGCAAAAAGAAAAGAGAAAGGGAAAGTGGAAGTCACTGAACAACAGGGCTTCTCTTGACAAAACTACCCTGGGTGGATTCATACATAGATTGTGCAGTTTTGGTCAAGCTTGTAAGTCTGGGCCACAAACCCCACAACGGAACGGCCTTGCCAACACGAGGGTCAAAGAACGGGGGGAGGGCCTGATTTTTGCGCGGCCCTCCTCGTAACTCCCCACTGTGGGATTCGCAGCCTCTGGATTTGGACAGCCCCGGACGGGGGGATCCTTCAATTTTCGGTCAAACACCACCTTTTCCGTATTCACCCTGCAGAATCTGCTGAAAAATGCGGGCAAGTAATGACAATTCCCGGGGGCGTTGCTATAATTTGCAATTTTTTATCCAGAACGTGCATCCGAATGCCAGTGCCTCATAGCCTCTGGAGCAGTCAGGCTCCTCGCCTGCCAAAGGAATGCGCTGCCTCCCCAACGGCCGGCACAGGTTTTGTGCCCGGAGTTCTTCCTATACGAAATGAACAATTGGCCAGCCCTCTCTCCCCAACTCCTAAACCTTAAAGGGGTGAGACTTGCGCATGTGCGCGAGCTGTGTCGGTGGATGTCCAAATACCTGTGCTTCGAAGTGGTTTGGTGTCATCGCTACCAGTTGGCAGGTTGGCAGGTGGCTTTAGACCGACACCTCCCGGAAGAATACTCAATGTGGGAAATCCCCCGAAACTCAGCCCGGTGTCACCTGGCTTATCTTTAAGCTGACATCTCCCGAAAGAGGGTGCCAACTCCAACTAACAGTCACCCAGCTGGGGTACACAGCCCCACTTCAACAACTAAGGCAGCGAGTGCGAAACTGCCAATCTAAGCTCTACACCGCACCTGGGACGGCCTCAAAAAATCTAGCTTCAGATTCGGCCTTTGAAGCGCATGTGCGACGGCTCGGCACCATCAGTCGACCTCATCAAACACCGTCTCGAGCGAGAGGCTTCCAAGCCCCAACGGGAAAACCACACCCACACACCTGATCCCCCAAACCAGGAAAGGAGCCACAGGAACCCGCAGTTATGATCGAAGGGTTCTAAAACTCTTTTTTGTTTGGAGGGAGGGGGGTAGCGGGGTCCACATGTCCCTCCCAAATAGGACAAAGGGTAGGGGTGTGCGCTTTCATGCTTGTCTCTGGGTATCCCTGCCCAGCAACCTGTCTACACAAAGACCCCTCAGTGGGTTGACCCTTTGCAGCGAGCAAAATGCAGCGCGGAACCCACCAAGCGGGAGGACACGCGCACCGACCTGCCGGCTTGCACATGCCATTTTGTCCTCCAGATCTGTCTTCAAACGAGGCGACGGCACGCTCTGCCAGCCTGGGCCACCGAGTTGTCATCTAACCGCACCTCTTGAAACAAAGAAAAGGCACGGTGGATGAGTATGGATGGTTTACTTGCAATATTAGGGCATCCGCCATAGCAGGGAGTGTTCTTGGGTTGTCTTGCCTTTCTGAGAGCCCGCTCCCCAACCGCATAACCAAGTCCATCCAACTGTCTGGGCAACCGCCCAACCCAGATCTTCTCTGAAGCAGTGAAAGCAGTGATGAGCCTCCATCTGTCCGCCTGAGCTGATGCCCTCTTTTTGTGCCAGGTGGCACGCAAGTGCCAGGCGCTCGCGTTGCGTCCGCCTAGCGAGCTCAGTCCGGCAAGTCGGGGAGGTAGGCAACGCCAACAATAAATGATGGCACAATCCGGAACTGCTGGGAAGAACTCTGGGATAACAATTCGAGAGTTTCTCGTCAGCCGGACTGTCAGGCATCTGTATCCAAGGGATCAAAAGAGCGACAAGGCGTTGCTAAGTCGGGGGAATATCTATCATATGTCCAAAGCACAACAATCCAGGGGTATGAACTCCGATACCCCTTGACCCCCCGTGACTCACCCTGCGCCTGGAAGACTGTCCTGGCTGGCACTTCCTTCAGCTCACAGCTGCTGATGGCGAAGCTGCTGCATATTCCATCCTCCTGGACTGGGCAAAAAGAATAAAACATCTCAAAGAGGTTATGCCATCAGTGAGCTACCCGGGCCGCATGGAATCTGACTGGGGGCCTGAAGGGCTGTGCACAATGCACGTTTAGCCTAGCTGCTAATCATAGATATATCCACTACCTTACTCCCCGAGAACCATTCTCAATGAACAATCTTAAGCTAAAAACTAGTGGCAGCACACAATCCGGTTTGCAAAAACCTTGTCGACCTTGAGGGGGGTTGGAGGGGGGCGGGTTTATTAAGCATGTTCCCCCATGAAGTAGTTGGATCTCAAGGGAAAGTCCCAAAGCAGAAGCCTTCAGAAAGACAATGCGCCACTCGGCCTGGAAAATGCTGAGGGCCAGGCAGGCGCGAAGCGCAGCAGCGAGCAACAGAGCTGCCAGGCCTCTCGAGACGCCGAAAAGCTTGGCATGTGGCACTTGGCAACCTGCAGATTGGATCCTGTAGCTCACCAACTGATTAAATAAAGTGTTAAAGAATGGCCTTCATTATGGGTAAGCGTATTTAACCCCCAGGTGAGACAGCTATCGGGCCAAATGTGACTGGAAAGCTGAGGGCAGCAACTCAGTTCTCTGGGCATGTCCGGACTCTGCGCCAAGAAACATAAGACCGGGCGAACGGGTGAGGCAAAAGGCAGGACCCCAATCCTTTCTCCGCCTCATCCTTCTTCTGTTCGACAAGTGAGCATGCTGACACAGAAAGCACCTACAAGGACACACCAAACCCAAAGGGATGATTTTCTTTGATCACCAGACCAGGCCATGCATCGAATCAGTTGAATGCACTTTCTGCAAATCAAAGGTGCTGCCTGCGTGATCCCTGGAGCGGGGATGCCATGAACCTTAGTCTGGGCTCTTCAAAAACGAGCAAGCCCGAAGTTCCTTCCCAAACGGAAAACCCAGTTTCCATTTGTTACTTATTGGGTTTGCATTTTTAAGGGAACTCCTTTCATCTTGGCTCACCGGGAACCACGGGGAACACTGTGATCTTTGCGGGCCCCCATATCTTGACGCATCTATTGCAGTGCCCAGGGTCAGTTGGTTTACTTGCCCTTCAGTTTTTTCATGGGTGTCCTTGGCTACCTATCATTTTGTTAACCAGTTTCTAAGGAGGTGCCAGATGTGGCGTCGCCTCCTTGCAAGTCTTCAGGGCAGCGCCAGCTGTGACAGCGCCGATCTGCACTGCTGTCAGCAGCATGCAGCCTTAAAGGTCAACACTCATTTGTCCCTAAGCCGCATAAGCCCCCGGTCAACATGATGTCCATATGCTTATCGGAATACACCCCTAGCAAATATTTCAATAAACATGTGGCACCTCCAAAACAAAATGCACTTGCCACCCGCAAAGGGAACATGCCGGGGGTATGATTGGTCCACGCCAAACGAAAATAGAGACAGAGAGAGGATGCAGCTAAGGAATACAACTATTGGCGTACCCACCAGCACGTTTTGCTTAGAACGGTAGTCAGTTTCTATCCGGCAAGCACCTTTTTTCTTGGTAGCTGTTGACCCCTCTGTAAAAACTTTCGCCTTTGTGTGTCAAATGGAAATCCACTGTTTCAGCCATCATGTCTCATGCCAAGCCGCGCATATGCACCAGCGCTCTCTCCCACTTGAACTTGAAGGACGCCACTGCGCCGTGGGTCACTTCCGTGGGTTCCAACTTAAGCTGCTGCAAGGTGCGGTACCTTGCGCTCAAGTTGACCCATTGGCAGCCGAAAGGGTATGTGATGTGTGTTAAGGTTGCTTGTTTTTTGTTGGCTTTAAAGGAAACCAAAAGGGAACCAACCATGTTTGGGGACCCCCCGAGAAAAGACACCCCCAAAAACAAATCTGACTTGAAGCCTTTGCTTGCAGCTAAATCGGCCTTCCTGAAGGCATATTCCCAGAAACTGGGGAGGCAAGTGGCTGTCAGCAAGTGCCATGCCGCTCTTGTGCAAAATCTACAGCGGGGTAAGAGATCTGGGCGAGCTACAATAATAAATCGACTGACAACCAAAAATTAAGCTTTCTCTGTGAAAGGAACCTGCGTCCTGTACAGTAAGGTGGCATTGCCCGCTGGTAACTATCATTTTCCTAGATGCAATTGGCTCTGCTCATTCACTTTTCTTCTCACTTGCTGGACAAACACAACGAACAACCCGATTGATTTCCTGTGAAGGGGCAATGCACAAATCGTGTTAAACATTTGCACCCCGTACACTCAGTTTGGCAAAGCTCGCAGGCTTTTTCATGGCCTTTGATGCATTCGCCTTATGTAGAATGTTTTGGCCCTTCAACAACATCCAACCTCGTTTCCCACAAAAAGCGAGCCAAACCGCTAGTACGGTTCAACAATACAAATGCACGAAGGTGCTGCCACACGAAGTGAGCCAAACAAAAACGCGATGTGCCACCACCACCTTCTGCGTTCAACATCAAGCGATCACAAGGCCAACCACCTGCCATAAGGAGGAAGGATTGAACAATCCAGCCACCACGGTGAATGTGGAGGCCTGGATACGTCAAAGACAAGATTTGCGAATGCGTTTTATCGACAACTCCGTCTCCCAAAACATGGCCCCAAAACTAAGGAGAGTTTGTTCCCCCCAAAGCTGGCCCACTTCGTCCCTTTGACCTCGCCATGTCGGCAGATCCCATCCGCCGAGCAGCAGCTGCAAGTCCACCAGCCAGGGCCCGTGCGCCAGCAGCCCGTTGAAGCTGACACAGTCCTTGGACGGGGCGCAACCGCCGGCCGGGCCGTCTCGTGAAGCGGATGGATGACGCAAACCTCCTCATGGCTTATTTTGAGTGGGGTAGGACGGTATGCCCCTCATAGGTGTCCTTTGGTGACGGTCCCGAAACTGGGTCGGGCGAAAGCATACTACGCAAGAGGTGATTTGTCCCATGTGGCAAAGAGTCATCGAGCGCCAAAAACAAATGCGGCTCGCAAAGAAAGCGGACCCAATTTGCATGGCTCTAAAGGCACAGAAAGGTAAACTACCACGAAAAGAGAGCATTTCCGGAAACAACCAAGTGGACAAGATCAGCAACCCAGGAAGAAGGACATCGTTGCCATTCGATCAGCGACAAGACTTTGCCCCACAGAAACACATCTGCGCTGACTGCCTACTCCTAAGTTTGATGCAATTGATAGCGGCTACGTAATTGGAGTGGGGCTCTGGGGTACTCTAAAACCAAAACTAGCATGATCATAGGAGTCACATGTTAAATAGATATGGTTCAGCCCCTTAAATCATATTATAAATGCTGTATGAACCATTGCTTCTTGACTCAGGGTTTCTCCCATGGAGAGTCCCATGAGGCATGAGCTCAGGCAAGAATTCATGCAGGCGTGTTTGCTAGGCCTCAAGACTCCTGCTTGCACCACAAATGATCAAACACAGAAACATCCCCCTGACTTTTCACATCAATAAGCACGGGGCCAAGAAAGCAAGCGGATACTCAACAAGGAACTCCTAGCTTTTCCCGACCAACCAGGGCCAATCGCAACTTCATCGTTCAAACCACAGGCCTCCTAAACCTCAGGCAAGCCACGCCTCCATTTGATTAAGTCCCCAGGAAAAAAATGAGAAACTACATCCAGTAAACTCGATTCCCTTTAAACCCAACAGAGGGTTATTTTGTTCGGTGTTTGTTCGGAGAAAAACAACACATAGGGGTTATCTTGTTCATGTTTGTTCGAGAGAAAACAACATATTCATCTCTTACAAAAAATATTCATCAGCAAATCGAGGCCAACTGTCGGGCACGGGTTCCTGCCTTCACCAGCGCCAGGTGTTCCATGCGCTCGGCTGCAGCCATGCCCCGCCGCCAGCTGCCGGCGTCGGACGCGTCGGCGGCCAAGGTGTTGTGCAGCGCAAGGCTCGGGGCCAGGCGACGCTGCTCCAGGCGGGCGGTCTACGGATCCAGCGCCAATTTCTAAGGGATTTTGTATTACACCCTGGGAATACACCCACTGGGTATTCACCCCATGCAGGCATATTTCCGGATAAAACCGTGTTATTTTGAACCATTCTGGGTCATGTCCCAAGGGTGTAATCCCGGGGTGTAATACAAAAACACTCAGGACATTAAAGGAGGGCAAAGACAAAGGCGTCAGGTACCTTCCCACCCTTTTTCCATGGAACCTGGCGTTTGGGAAATGGTCCCCTAAGGAAAATGGCCCAAATCGTGTTCGGGTAACCCGTAGTTGGTGGTTTGGATTCGTGTTTCGGGAGTTTTCTTGTAGGGAAAACTAGCCCCATCCTCTGCGCACGTTGTCTGGTGTTTCATACTTCGCCCACCATAACTTCACACTCCCTAGTAATGGTACCGAAACACTTCGCTTTTGCAGCCCCTGCTAAAAATGAACAGAACCCCCCCAAAAAACAAACACCTAAGCCCTTGCCAACAACAGTGAAGATAGCAAATGACATGCCGAAGGAGACCCCATGCTGACCGCTTTCTCCGAGGCACGAGACGTGACATCACTTGCCACTGGCCCTGACACGCGGTGATGCCCGCGCTGCAGGCTGTGTGGGAGACTTGGAGCTTCCGACGTGGCATTCCTCAAAACTCGATGGCAAGGGTCTAAACGTTATGCGGGAAGAGGACATGGGAGAAGCCTCCGTGAGTCACAGGGTTTTGGTAAGAAATCGAAAGTGAGTCCATGTCCCTCCCAAGTGGACCATGGACTTTTCCACACCACGGCCAGCGACTCTTCATCAGTATTGGATCACGATGGTAGCAAATGATACGTTAAGGTCACCCGACTTGTCTGCCAACAAGACGCTGCCTGTTTAGATGATCCTAGCTTGTGGCCGGGTTCCAGAAAGAGCGTTCCAACTAGATTTCACATCAATTCCACGAGGCAATGTGAAATGAAAAACACACACGTAGGAGACTCCTCGTGTTTTTCGCACGCAACATGTTTCTCCAGCTCAAGAATGTGACGGAGCAGCCTGACTCCCCCAACAGCTGTACAAGCAAAAGGCTCACCTTTGGATCGAAACCTATGGCTTTGTCACATCGTCGCTGTTCCTTGAAACTCCCTACCAAGAGACATGGGTAGCCCCTCCAAGATCCAACAAAAACATAGGCCAATACAAGCAAACCAGGTAAAAGGCTGCCCACAATGCAACCCAAGAAGCCCAAGATCATCAGTGGTCGTTTCAGGGAGGCCTCATGTTTAGGGCCGTGCGAAGTTCCACAGTGCCCGAATTCCATCAAGCTGGGCAAACTGCTGTAATTCTAAAACCAGATATGAGAGAACCCCATCCCAGCACCAAAGTCAGGGTTCATGGGTGGAATCGCTGGTTTTTATACCCGGGCTGATGTGCCCGTTCAATTTTGCTCAGAAATCACTTGGGGTGTGTCCAAACTGGAGTTTTGGGGCAACCGTAAAAAAAAGGAGCCGATAATTTGGGAGCCGCCTTTTTGGGCACTCCTTTAAGCAAGCGTCCCTGCAGCACATCACAGGCAAAGCGCCAGGCCGACCCGGAACATGCGTGGAGCAAAGCGCTGTGGGCGATTGTGTCCTGGAGAGTTAAGCCCGACTTGGATCTGCCCAAGAGGTATGGAGGTATGATGGCTGCGGGACCCCCAAAATGGTGCTTGTCCTTTTGGTTCCACACTTTGAAACCAGCAAACATGTGTAAAAGAAAAGAAGAAAAGGCGGTGAATTTTGATAGGGGTCCTTTCCAGGGCATTTAGCTTGGGATTTAGGTCCACCACTTTTTGGGGGTTCCTTACCCCCCCCCCAAAAAAAAAAATAAAAAAAAAAAAATAAAAGCCACTTGCATAAGGGCCTTGTCGTGATTGTGAACAGTGCGCATCGTTTTTTTTTGGCCAAGGGAGATTGTGCAGGGTTCGATTGTAACGAACAGACCGCTCATTCAACCGGCAAACAAATGCGGATTGAGCCCCCCCTCCCCACTTGTCCACTTGTAGCCAGGTTTGGGGAAAAAAATATTAGGGTACCTCACGGGATACCGGGATACATTTGGACCGCCCAGAAAACATCGATATTCAGGTGATGTGGACGATGCCCTTGGATTTTGCAGGTTGTCCTATCTTGTTGGATGTGGGGGTATCTTTCGGGTTTGGTGAATTTTAAGGGGGAACCGAGCACCGCCCCAGTTTTGTCCTGGCGCGCGCGTGTCGAGCTTGGGCCTTCCACGGGCAGCCTGGGATGGAAGGGGGGGTTCCGAGTCCTATTTTGAGACAAGGGGCACGGCACTTTCACACGGCTCCAACCGGCGATGTCCTACTCGTAACAATCACACCCAAAAAGGAAGTCCACAATTGCCATTTAAGCAGTTTCCCTCTACTTGGTCAGGGATGGTTGTCCACTTCCCCCAAGAACCAGTGATATTTTTCCCACACCACACAATCAGGGTTGTCACACCCGCATAGGTCCCTTGCAACTCCCTTCCCGAGTGGATTGGCCAATGGTCCTCCCCAAAGTCAAAGTGACCCAAGTGTCCCCCTTGTCCGCCCCAAATAGACCTGACTACTGAATACAATACCCCTGACCACAGCTCATGACAGCAGGGCCCCCAATCAGCCATGGTAGATTTCGCTGTTGCCTCGATGTTCAATGATTCTCTGGGGTGTTGCGCGATTTTCTCTTCATCGGTGTGTCTCAAAATTGGCCTCCACGTAGGTGGTTTCCTTTGGGTTTGCTTCTCGTCCCCTATTTCACCCCCACAGCCACATGTTGCCTCACTGCCCCTCATCTTTGCGGAGCGGCCACAGCAGGCGCAAGCACTGGCGCCATCGAGGCCCGCCAGAGGCCAGCGCAGTGATGGCAACGTTGCGGGCGATAGCGTCCAGGGCAAGCCTCCCCCCCACCCCCCCCCCCGCTGCGGGTGTGCTGGTGCGGGTGCGCGTGCGTGCGCACCAGCAAGCTGGAGTGTGGTGTGGTGTGGTGTGGTGTGCTGGGGCCCTATTTCGAGAAAAAGCGACATATCCTCAGCGCCCCAACAATGTGAGCTCCAAGCAGCCGGTCAGCCGCTGCGCCCCGCATGACCTTAGTGAATTCAACAATGGAAATCCAAGACAGTCCCCCAGGGACTTGCAGAAAGCTGAGGCCTTGTTGGGGGATCCCTCAGAAAGGAGGCGGGTAGGCCAACGCAAGGCCAGCTTAGTTGCCGAAAGGACCCCGAAACTAACCTGAACGTTAACCTGACCATTGTCTAGGTCCTCCAGTAGAGAGGTTAGAATAAGGGTACCCCTTTTTTTCTGTGGTTTATTTTAGCAGGGGGACCCTCGCTAAAAGGGCACCAATTGCTGGGTAGCTGGGGGACCTGACCATCGTGGCAAACTCAACGCGGTCGGCCACACACTCTACGCCTCCGCGCCAGGCCGCCGCCGCAGCAGCACGCCACTTGGACCTCGCGCCGCAGGCCTGGGCCGCGCAGCTGAGTGGCACCAGGGCTGGTGCCGCGAGGCCCTCGAGGGCGGCGGACCAGTTGGAGCCTAGCCAGGTACGTCAACTGAGTAGAAACACCTACGGAAATTGCCCGTTTTGGGGAAATTTAATTGACACCTTCTCTTCTAAAATGACGCCAAGGAGGGTTTGTTTGGATTACCCTTTTGGGCTTCACCCCCCCCAAAAAAACAAAATGGCCCTGTTGAGGGGTTACACCTTCTGAAAAGGCCAAGGCGGCTTCTTGGGCGCCTGCTCGGTGAGTGGTGAATACCGGCCTTGGCAGAACGCCTGGCTCAGAGCGTCCGCTGCGCGGGCCCGGGCCGTGGCGAACGGCGTCAGCTTCAGCGCCACCCAGTGGCAGGCGTCACGCCACGCGTCGCATGACACCACGCCTCGGGTGGTGTGGTGGACAGGCAAAACTGGTAGCAAGATACATCCTACCCCACCTAAATCAGCTGCTAGGTTCACTTGGTAGGTGAGTATCAACAGGATGCCGTACAAGATACATCCTACCCCACCTGAATCAGCTGCGAGGTCCACTGGGTGGGTGATTGCTTACAAGTTAACTGGCATGCGGGACAGGGGTCGCTGCGTTGTCCCGTCGCAACTGAAGCCAAGCATAACGGCTTGAAGGTGTATGTTGGTCGAATGGTCGACATGTTTGTCCACAAGAACCATGAGTTTGCTAAGGTCGTGTCATGTCATGTAACGAACAAATCTACCCACTCATCCTGTGCCCGATTGGCCCAGTGTCTTTCGGCACCCGGGACTTGGCACGTTCCTAGTTGTTTGCGTGGGCGACTTCAAGCAGAGCAGACTAATTTGATATTGCTGAAGGCTGGAGGCTCATCAACTCCGTTCTGCAGATGGAGGAGCCGCGCTCGTTGACGCACCATCTCGGATGTGAGCACGAATTCCGCTCGGCAACCCACCAGTCAAGGCAGTCCCTCGGAACTGAGGTTCGGCCCTGGCCGGCTTGCAGCTGAAGAGGTCAGCAAAGGCGAAGTGAGGAAAAATCCTCAAGTACAATGAATCCTGTTTCATGCGTGCATTGACCGCTATCTGGCATTTTGCCAACCAAAGTTTCCCAAGGCTCTTCAGCCCGTCGAGACACCCTTCCTTGAATGAAAGCAAGCCGGAATTCGACGAGCTGGCCCAAAAGGTGCAAAAGTATTATTGATTTTTGATTGACCCCAGCTGGTATCCTTGGATGGGCCCTCTGCCCAAGTCCTAAACGCTTTCCACGCTGCCCCCGCCCCTAGCGCCTCAATCCCCCCCGCCTGCCGCGCAGCCCAGCACGTCCAACTGCAGCTGCGTGGCCTGGACGCCCGAGCGACAAGAATCATCTTCCCCTTGGCTTTGTGTCGTGTTTTTTCGCCTGTGGGCTGACTTTGTTGCTCTTTGTGTTTTTGTTTGGGGGACACTGCTTGCTTTGGTTGTTGTGTGGTCCTTCTTCTCTTTTCCTGTGGGGGGGGGGGTCCTGTTTCTTTGACTTGTGTTGTGGGAAAACACGTTTTAGGCTTGCTTCAATCCAAAAGGAAAAGGGAGGGGGTCTGGGGAAGCCTTCTTAGGTTGGCCTAAGGGGAAATAAAGAGGCCAGCTTATTTGGGCGTTGCCATTCTTTGAAGATACCCAGCCAAAAGCAAACATGGCACTTGAAAGGGGCCCGGAAAACAACTGCCTCTAGCAAGGACCCTCTTTCAGATTCTGCACATGCACACTCATTTTTGGTGTAAATCCAGCCCAAATGGAAGAAAGAAAGCCACCACCGCTGGAGGTCTGGGGTTCACATCCAAAGCTAAATCAACATTGAAGGGGCACCTGAAATAGCACGAAGCAAAATGCAGTAGCAAGTCATGTTTTCACTTTTGGTCTTGGATGGTGAGAGGGGCAACCAAGCACCCTCACTGACATGTGTGTTGGGCAGTGGGCTTTCGGTTGCTAGGTGGATGTCTTCCGTTTTGGTTGGGCGGGCTGCCAAAGGATGATCCTAGTGGATCGTCACCCGATTTCAAGTAGAGGTTGTACCTGGCCAACCACTTAGCAAAGAGTAGCAAAACGGTCGATTCTTCAACCATTGCACGAAGGACACCTCCGTTTACCGTGGTTTCTAGTTGGTGCCTCACTTGCATTTCGGGGATCAGTTCCAAACACCAAACGATAGGAAAAACGTGGCTCCACAGCTCCACATTTCCCTGTTCCATGCCACTTGCCCAGACAGGGAAAAAGGAGTTGCCCCTTGCCCGTCTGATTGTTCGCTTCAAAGAGAAATCAGGAGAAAAACGTCTTGCCTTCTTGTTGGTTCATGTTCAAGTGACCAAACACCACGGAGAAACAAGGCACTGGGCAAATTGGCCAATTGGGGTTGCAACGAAGGAAAACTACCGAGTTCCCAAAAACAAGGACAAATAACGGTGGATGTCCTAAATACTGCAAGTTCAACACTCACATCCAACAAACAAAAACAGTGGCAACATGAAGAGCAGTAGGGGGTTCCCTTTTGTCTGAGTGATTCTCAAACAAAAAAATGCAGCCCTGGTTGGGCCTTCTGTTGGCTTCCCATTGCATTTGGGTTCTTTTGTCAAAATGTGTTGGACCCCAGGTTGGGCTTGCTGTTTCCCTTTCAGCCCATCCGAGCAGCGCCCGAAATTTACTCACTTTTGGTTCGGCCTTACTATGACCCTTGTTAAACCAGGTGGTAGAACCACTGACCAAAACGGCCAATGGGAATCGTTCTTGGGCGTTTATCTGAAAATGAATCGACTTGGGTGTCTTTTGCAGGGAGGAACCCCCAAAATGGTTGGTTTCCTTTTGAGTTCCCGTGAAAACAAAAAAAAAGGCACCAACCCCAAAAAAGACGAGCCGTCGACCATCGTCGACCCCAACCCGCGCCTCTGCGCCGGCCAGCAGGCGCCAGGCGCACTGCCAGGGTGCCGTCGCCGCCGCCACCCCAAGGCCAAGGCTCGCGTGGCTCGCTGGGGGTTCCCGCGGAACGGAGGCGCCTGGGGAAACCACGTGGCTGTGGGGTATGTTTGGTTTAGGGTTGGCTGCTTTAGGTTTTGATTTGATTTTGGGGGCGATTTGTGGTGGGTTGGATTTACTAGAGTTGGTTTAGGCCGGGTCGATTTTTGTTGAGTTCCACTTTTGGGGTGTTTTAAGCGGAAACCAAAAGGAAAACCATGATTTTGGGGGCTTTGCTTTGAAACGTGCCAACATGTGCCAGGGTCACAAAAGAAGGGAGCCCTGTCCGGAAGTCTCTCTCAGAGATTCAAAGGTCAACTTGAGCTATCCATCCCTGCCCTTCCCTTCAACGCTCTAATTGGGCCATGGGGGCTGAGGGCCTCCAACAGCCCAAAGGAAACCCTACCCCTTCCTCAAAGCTGGCCCAAACCACCCCGAACCAGCCATCTGGTATCTGGGCCATCCACCCCCAAAAAAAAAACAGCTGTTAGGGAGGGGCAAAAAGACGTTCCCACAACATACCAAACAAGTCCAACTCGGGGAGGGACAAAGACCGTAGGGGAATAAGTTCCGTCCAGGTGGACCGACTCTCCCCCAAAAAAGAAAAGCGGCGGTCGCTTCTCAGCCGAAGATCTCAGGGATAAGGTCACGGGCCAGGGCCCGCCACTGGCCAGCGCAGTGTTCAGGACCACCTCGTTGACCCGCACCTCAAGCTCGGAACGCCGGAAACGGGCACCGCTCGGAGCCAACCCCGGGAGACTTGGAACCTTTGCGAAATATGGACCAAAAGAGAAACTAAGAGCACTACCCGTCACTTGACTTGTTCTTTTTGTGGGAAATCTGGTGTGATAACCTTGGGACCTTGGCTCTGGGCAACGGTTGGCCAGCGAGGGACTCACTGACATCTTCCAAAGACGGTTCAGAGCCAAACCACGGAGCAACCAAATCACCCCGCCCGAAGGTTTTCATTTTGCGGTTTTGGGCGAACACGAAGTAGCCCAGGGAATCAAAGAGGTACACGTAATCCACGAAATACCAAAAGAACCCAGTCCCAACGCACAATGGAGAAGGTGCTGATGACCAGGTTGTGGGAGTGACAGTTGAAGAAGATCAGGTTTGGGAAGGTTAGGATATGGTTGCAAAAGAGTAGCTTTGAGGGACAGGCCCAAGGACACCTCGACGGCCCACCGAACACCTCCTACCCCCAGAGCACCGCGGCACCGCAAAGTCTTTTGCGCTGACGAAGAGCAATGCCAGGGTATGGCGTTCGCGCGTGAACCCGAGGGGAACTTGACGGGAGTTCCCAAAACTTGAGCCAAACGGCCATTCGGCCGTTTTGCCACATGAAGAAACAACACGTGAACAAAACACACCCCCCTCATCCGATATCTGGACGAGAGAAAGGATGCGAGACAGTTGAGTTCACGACGAAAGGGACCAACCAAAAATGCCGGTGTCAACTCAGAGGTGAGCCAAACGGCATCACCTGGGCCCCGGTTAAAATCCCGCCACCACCCCGAATTATCGGGGCGACAGGATTATTTGACGAGTGGACCACATGAGTGAACAAAGACATATTGGAGGAACCAGACGAAGATTCCTCTCGTGCCGTTCATGCATTGTCATGGGACGACAACATGCGGAGGGGGATCCTATCTGGATCACCGCGCCTCACTGCACGCCGTGAAGCGGTTGGAGGAGTAGTCGAGTTGGGAGGACATTAGAAAAGGAAGCTCCGAAATTGGTGTGAAAATATCCGGCTACGGCCGGCCCGGCACTTCTAGTGCGGTCACAGCCTCACACAGGATCGCCAGGGGAACCGTCTCCGGCGTGCACGGCAGCGGTGCGGGAGGGACACGAACAACGCCGGATCAGCGGTACAGGGCAATGGAGATCATCACCCCTAGCAGCGCCGCACGGGCGAGAGGAGGACCAGCGCGGTCGCGTTTGTCGGCGACACACGTACTATCCTCGCCCTTCTAAGGCGGATGCTGATTGCGGTACCCGTCTACCACCCTGAACCGGGCTCTTCCCGGTCCCTGGGCGCGTCGTCTCTTCGGCGTCCACCACGGTCACCCCGATCACCTCCTCCATCCCGACGGCGATCCTCACCACCACCCCTATGGTGGTCACCAGCCGGAGGTCGGCGAGGCGGAGGGGGATCTGATTGGTGACGTCGGTCATCCCTGCGCCGGTCCCGGTGGCGATCGCGCCGGTCATCGCCCGGGTCATCACGTCCGCGGCGCTCATCTCGCCCCGGGCCGCGCCTCTCGGAGGTCTCCTCATGACGTGGAGGAGGTCGGCGATCATCGCGTCGGCCTCCGCGGGTGTCCCTGCCACGATCATCCCTTTGTCGGGGCGGGCCGGGATCCTCGCGTCCACCTTTGCCAGGTCGATGTTTTCCTCGACCCTTCCCCTCACCCCTAGGACCGCGATGATCCTCGCGGGCCCCAAGCGCGGTCCTCGACCGATCGTCATCTCGGTGGGGCCGCGACTCATTTGCCGCACGAGTGGTCCGAGGCACACCCGGGGGAAGCTCCCACTCGTCGTTGTCATCATCACGCGGATCATAGCCGCGATGGCCGCCCAAGGAACCGGTGGCATCCCGTGGTGGGGACGCAGGAGTTCCGGGACCGCCTGATCGAAGACGAACTCGGGGAGTCGCGTCCTCGCCGGTGAAAGGATCCTTCTGGGTGTAGAAACCCTTGGTCCTGCCCCTTCTCTCCCCACCTTCCACACCGCCTCTCGCGGGGCCCGGGGATGGGCGGGCAGGCTGGGCCATGCTCTTAGAGCTGGGTTGCCCGCTAGGCGGGACCTGAACGCCCCCCTGCCCTTTTTCGGGCGCGGGGACCCGACCACGAGATGTCCTTCTGGCCTTGGGTTGGTCGGACTCACCCTCCAGCTCGGACTCGGTGTCAGGGACACGAGTATTGATGGCCATGTCCTCTTCCTCAAACGGATCCCCAGTCGTAGTAACGCCTGCCGCAATGGGAGCGGGAGGAGGAGGAGGAGGAGTTGGCACAGCATCGCCAGAACTGACGCCTGCATGCGGCACCACGGGAGTCTCCGGTTCTACCGGGACAGGCGGCGCAGGAGGAGCCGGGGGCGGTGGCGGAGGGGGAGGGATCTCCTCCTCGTCGTCGCCCATGGGCTCGTCAAGGTCGTCAGGCTTCTCGTCATCTTCGTGCGAAGAACCATCCGATCCCAGCTCATCCTCCGCTGATCCAGCAAAGTCGGGCTCGTCTTCGTCCTTCACGCCGGGGCCTGGTGTAAGGCGAATTCCGGGTCGATGGCGATCGCGGGGTCGGAAGCGGTATTTCCTTGGTACAGGGTCGGACAGCTCCTGTTTGATGTCATCCTGGGTTTGAGGACGGTCGGCCAAGCAGGTGTCGTAGGCAACGGTGGACGTCCGGTAGATCAGATCGTCCATACTGCTGAGGTCGTTGAGGGTGTAGACATATCCCTTCTTAATGCCTTCCCGCATCGTGTCCATAGCTCGTTTGAGGCGCGCGGCAGGATCGAATCCGGCCTTTCTCCGCATGGCCTGCAATATCCCGCAGTGCTGTGCGAGCAGCCTCACCTGGAACTTGAATCCCTCCCCGGACACATCGTTGGGGAGTATCGGAGAAAGGTGTCCTGTTCTCAGCCCAATGATATGGGCCTCAAGAATGTAGTAGGACGTGTAGAAGCCGCACCGGTTGGCGTTGAAGTTTGCGGTGGTTAGGCGTCTGCCCCACTCAGCCGCATATCCCTCATATTCTTCGAAGAATTCGGGGACGGAGCTCCCGTTGAAGGCCAGACCCCTTACCAGGATCGCCTTTGCCACCCACTCTTCCACGTTGTTGTCGACCGTGTCACGGTATTTGCCGTCAAGGATTTCGTCTCGGAGCGAGTCGTGAAGCTTCCGGAAAATGCCATCCACGTCCTCTTTGTCAAGGTACTTAGGAGGCCGCATCCCAGACATCAACAAGGACCGGGCATCGACGGCGGGACTCTGCGAGTAGAGGGCCATTCCGATGGCGTTGGCGTCTGAGTTGTTTGTTCCACAGAGCGGGGACGAAGCCCTCGTATTTTGCCAGCCAGGGAGGAACCAACCCGTCAGTGCTCGCTATCGTGCGAGGGCCGCCGTTCGTGTCTCCGGTGGGCAGGACGCCATCGTAGAAGATGGGAAGGTAGCAGGCGGTGCACAGGTGAGCGCCGACCGGATGGGCCGTCATGCACCTATGGCATGGAACGGACACCACCTCGCGGACATGTTCCGTCTTGGTGATCTGATGGTACTTCTCCATCTCGTCCCGACACTTCCTCGGGTTATCACTCAAGGAGTTGAGGAAGTTGGGCGGATAGCACCAAGGCCTCAGGTAAATGATGGAGTCCTCCTTGAAGTAGACGCATCTCCAGTACCCGATCGCGATGTTCTCGCGCGACGCAAAGGTACCCTGACGAGTAATATGCATGCCCCCATTTTCCATGGAGAAGAAACGTGCGTTGCTGTCGGTGATGCGGTCGACAGTGTCGTTGGGGCACTCTCCGTGATCGCGGAGGGATTGATACTCATCCGGCCGAGAGGGAAGGAGCTCGATCAGAGCTCGCCCACCCCGAATGATCGCCCCACGTTCTACGTAGAGCCGATACATTCGGAGAGGCACCACCTTGTAGAGCGTCTTAGGAACCACCTTGGAGGTGATAGGAAGACAAACAGGGCTCTCGTAGAGCATGTATTGGTATCGTTCACGAAATGCCCGGTAATCAGTGTCGGATCCGATTTCAAGCGACCTTACCGCCGCTATGCGGGCGGAACCAGGCAGCAACCGACGCTCCTTGTCACGAATGACGGTGATGATGATCTCGAACATTCCCACCCCATCCTCGAGAAAGGAAGACAGGAGGTATGAAGAAAAGGCATCCTCGGACTCGACGCTGGTCCCGAAGTAGTGGCTCAGGAACCTCTTCAGTTGTATCACCGAAGTAACGTTCCCTTGCCCGCTGGCAGACGAGGCCTCCAACTCTGGGTCCTTGACTGCACCTGCATTTCCAGGCTGCACAGCTGTTCCACGGAGCGCGTCGCGTATTTCCGCGCATGCTCTCCTGTAGTAGTGCGAAGAGGCGCCCGTTCTACCCTTCACCTTCTGACGGATCTCGTCGGCGAAGTAGTCCAGAAGCTCCTCGGGTGCGGGAACAATGGCCTGGATCATCAGGTCAGGATCACTCTTGGTCGGGAGGATAGGCCCTGCCCTGGATCTCACTCCCATCTCCAGGAATCGGGCAATGTCCCCGATTTTGGCGCACAGAGTAGCGATCGTGTTTCCGATCCTGGGGGCGATATCTTCGCCTCTCCTGGCGCCGAGGATGACCACGTTTTTCTTGATGGACTCCTCCTTCAGCCTCTCGAGGTTCCTCCGGGTGCCATCAGTGCCTTTCACCGCGCTGAGGCGGAGAACCGCAGGCTCCGGTTTGTCCGGTCGCACGAGCTGGCCGTCAGGAATCTGGTCGAAAATGCGCGAGGCGGACTTCACTGCTGGGACATTCCTGTACTGATCCGGCACGCTGTAAAAGGCGTAGGCGAGAGTGTCATGCGAGGATGTCTCCCAGTACGTGTACTCCTCGGAATCACGCGGGTCACCGACGACGCGACTCACGGTCCTCAGCTCGGCCAGAGCACGCTCCGCCTCGAACTGCGATCCGATGGTCGTGGGCAGCATGGCCC